GTGTTTAAAAAACACTCCCCAATCTGTGAAGGTAGGCAACATGGTGTTTGTACTTGTTGTCAACATTGAGTTCAGGTGGGAGTTCCATGTAGATTACCTCATCAGTGTCTAACTTCCCATTTAGGAATGTGCTGTGGAAATCAAAAATGACAATGTCCCAATCTCTCCTGGCCGCAACTGCAAGGATCATGTGAAGGGAGGGGAGACGTGCCACTGGCACATAGGTGTCATAGTAGTCGAGGCCATATACCTGTGAGTACCCTTTTGCCACTAATCTCGCTTTATACTTCTCAACCTTTCCATCACTGTTCCTCTTGATCCTGAAGACCCACTTGCACCCTACGACATTGATGTTGTCCGGCCATTCAACAACAGTCCAGATACATACTTCTTCCAGCATGTCTAACTCCTTGTTGATTGTGCCTTCCCATTTAGGCCAATCAATCCATGCACTGGCTTCCTTGACCGTCATGGTATCAGTCCCTTTTACAGCTGCTACTCCTGCTACCATTGTGAAGACTTCTTCGTCATTCTCCTCCATCTCACCATACTCCCCCACAGGCTGCATCCCATGAGGTAAGTCAGTGTTTCTGCTGTCTGTGGTACCTGTACCATCGTGCAGACTCTTGATGTAGGCTGACTTAATTCTTACCCTTCCAGCTCATTGTGGTGGAGCGGGATGGTTCGAAGTGGTGACCTAGATGGTCTGGAGGTTGGTTGGGGTTTTGAAGTAGTCCTTGGCCAGTGAGTGTTGAACCGCCATCATCGATTCATACCATTTGGTTTACTGATTCTTTAGATGTTGAACTGACATCATCGGTGTGTACCGTGTGGTATGTTGGTTCCTTGCCTGCTCCTATGGGCAACTCAGATAAAGGGTGCAGTGCATGAGCTGAAGCCAAGCCCTTTGAATCTGACCCTTGAGCAAGTTCTTGACACCTTGACATTGACTCATATGCACTTTCCTGATAGTTTCATCTCATTTGTCATAGCCAAGTAGTTTTTCATAAAATAAAAATATTATCACTAGGAGGTTTCAAACCTACGCAGTCCAAGAGAAACAGATTTTGATTTTGATTCTGATGATTACTTTATAATTTCATCTTTAGCAGGTTTTGAACCCACGCAGACAGATTTGAATTCTGTTGCATCAACTGCTTGGCTAAGACCCATTAGATGCACTCCTAATGAATCCACTTGGCTAAGACTGGTTATGATGAATTTTTGAGACAACCATCCATGAGCAAATGTTCAAGGTATGTTTCAATGAAAACAAATGTAATTATATAGGTTTCAAACCTGCTCAGTCTAGGATAATCAGATTTTGAATCTATTGTGGCAATAACAAGGCCAAGACTGTTTTTGAGAAAATGATTCATGAAGAAATGTCAGGGTGTGATTTCATAGAATAAAAATATTATCATTAGCAGGTTTGAAACCTGCTTAGTCTAAGAGAAACAGATTTTGACTCTGGTGACAACTTGACTAAAGACCAATGAAAATAAATATCTGAGATGCCGTCTATGAGCAAATATTTGAGGCATGTTCTTATAGAAAAAAATGTAATATTTCACTGGTTTCAAATCTGTGGCACTCCAATAGAAACAGATTTGGATTCTGTTATAACAACCACTTGGCTAAATGCAGCTCTGATCGGCTTGCAAGCTGACCGACCATAAGCATATGTCAAGGTGTGCCTTCATAGAATAAGAATAACATTTTTATCATTGGCAGGTTTCAAACCTGCACAGTTCAAGAGAAACAGATTTTGACTCTGGTGATCACTTGACAATTTTATCTTTAGCAGGTTTTGAACCCACGCAGACAGATTTAGATTCTGTTGTATCCACTGTTTGTCTAAGACCAGTGAAATGCACTTTCAATGGACCCATTCACAAGTGAATCCTCAAGAAAGTTCTTTCAATAGGATGGTCACCATGATTGATTCTTAGGCCTGTTTATCTAGCAATTGCTCTGAAAAAGTACTGATGACAGACCACCATGGTGGGCTGATGATGTTTGTGATGTCTTTTGGATTCACAACTGGGTCATGAGTGACAACTGATAATGGAAGGATCACACATGATTGGACTTAAGGAGGATGTTAGAAATTGGTGTTAGAACCAACAAAATGCTAATAAATGTACCTTGAGGATCTATCTCTAAATGAATTCATTAGGAGTGCATCCAACTGGTCTTATAGCCAAGCAGTTAATATGACAGAATCCAAATCTGTTTGGCTGGGTTCAAAACCTACTAAAGATAAAATTACAAGTGAACATCAGAGTCAAAATCTGTTTCTCTTGGACTGCCTCCAATCCTGTGGGGTTTCTGTAGCTTTCATCCCACTGCCATGTGGTACAAATGTGTTTTCCATCTTTGATCCACAAGGCTTTGTTGATGCATATTGATAGCTACAACTGCAGCAAATTGTTGCATCAAAATGACAAGGATGCCTGACAGCTGATGAACAAGGTCATGGTGCAGTGGGTGTGGGAGAGTGAGGGCAACAAGCTAGTGAGTGAAAAGTCAATAGAGGATCATAATTGTCTAGGAACAAGTCTGACATCAAGGTAAGTAATGTCAAAGTCAGAATTGACAACAATTCAGAATGGTTCAGTAAGGTTCAAACCAAAATGAAACAGTTCAGGAGGACCTAGAACCAAGAACCAATTTCCAATCTGGTTCTGGCTGATATGAGAACCATGGACCAAACTGTGCAGAACTGGTGTAGGTGAGGAATATGTAGTGATGAATAATGGGTGATGTGAGATGTACTCAGATGGTCCTCTGTGCATGAGCTAATGTTGGCCCAAGGGTATTGCTACTGAGAAGGTTCCTCTATGTATATAATGGAGGGAAACACTGAACCAGGTGCTTAGTCAAGCCTGGTAAGGCACATGATGATGTGCAAATATAGGAAGGTGAAAGCACTACAAAGCGCTACTGAATGGTATGATGTGGTGGTGCACATGTGGGTGGTTGGAGCACAGCGACTCTAAATGAGTTGAAAGACAATTAGAAGAAGTCCTCATAAGAATGCGATGATTGGTGCTGAGGTACATTCAGGTGCTTAGTGTCGGTCAGCAGCTAGGAATGTATACTTAGACTTAGAGTCTAATAGTGTGTGAGAAGATGGTGGTTACTTGTTAAGAGAGAAGAGAATACATGAAAACTATCTAAGTACCACTAAGCACTGTCAAGTGCTGAGGTGAACTGGGAAGTGAAGCAATGTAGCACTTGAGCTTGCACTAGGCTCGCATTCTGCTATTTTCCAATGCATGTCAAACACCTGTCATACACAAATCACTTCCCAATGTTATCTAACACCTATCCGCTCAATCCAACACTTACCCGCTCAATCCAACACTTACCTGCTCAATCCAATGTTTATCTGCTAACCCGATGCTAACCTGACAAAAATGTTCTCCCAATGTCATGTCCTGTCATATCTATCCCCACTAGGTGCACAGTTATTCATTTTCACATCGCTAACATTGTAGACCGTGTTATTACATGTCCACAGTACTGCATGTCTTATTACATAGGACATCAGACCCCAAAATTACCGCTACTACTTTCACCTACAGCACTCCGAAATTCTACATAGACACTATATATTTTGCATACCTCCTACCTATTTACTTACCTTTCTACCTCTGAGTAGGAGGAGGTCATCCGATATTTAGTAGTTCTTTACTGAATTCCAAAACATCATCCTTTCCTTATCCACAACTCCCCAACATTTGCTACATTCCCAACACTAAGCTGACACAACCCGAGGTAACCTGCTAACCCAAAAACATCGGACCTGACATTTTGACATTGGACTCATAATTATACCTTCGTACTTTGCTTCCCACTGTAGAGACTGACATCTCTGTGGCCTTGTAGAGCTAATTCTACAACACCCTAATCACCTTCCAAACACAGCGCGACCCATATCTCATTTCTGCGCACTTGGCGCTTCATTGGCCACTCGCGCATACAGGTGCTTTTGTCGCGCATTGGCGCATGTATCCTCGGTTCCGTTGCTCGTCCTCCATCCATCCATTCCATGTCCATTTGGTTTGTCGGTGCATATTCCTATTTTATTCTCATGTATTCTGACATATCTCTGGCACTTGCACACATATTCCGTATGTTTCGTCATGGACCCTTATTACTTATCATCACGCACTCGCTTCGCTTTCCGGCTCGCTTTAGCGCTTGACAGCGCTTAATGCTACTTAGAATATATATACTCCTGCCTCTATGTATAATGATCATCTTCTTCTTCCCGCACATTGTTGGACTCTAAATCTAAATCTCCGTCATATCCACTGACCAACACTAAGCGCCTGAACTCGTATGAGCGCCAGTCCTCATATTCTCAATACAAACATTGCATTATCCGTCTTCCGACTCACTTAAGAGTCGCTGCACTCCACCACCCGCACGCGCACCTCACATTCACTCAGCGCGCGTTATCGCACTTGTCACTCAGTAGCGCTTCATCGCGCTGTCACTTATCGCACTTTCGCTCATCGTCGCGCGCCTCGCCAGGCTTATCCGACAGTCCGGTTCAGTGTTTCCCTCCACTATTATACATAGAGGAACCTTCTCAGTAGCAATCCCCTTGGGCCAACATTAGATTCGCGCACAGAGGACCATCTGAGTATATCTCATACCACCCACTTTCTATCATTCTACATTCCTCACCTACACCGCATTTCAGACTATCTTCCTTTTTGTATAACTAATTATTCTAATACCAAATAGCAAACCCCTTGGGTTGAACACACTTGTCTTGCAAGTATAGCAGACTAGGCTGTGCAAGACCACAACACATTATATTTGGCTGAGTGCTTACTGCATGTTGTGCTCAGCCAAAGTTGTATACCTACAGCGAGTACATGATAATATGTAATGTAAGGGTCTATGACACAAGATACGGAATGTGTGTGCAAGCACCAGAGATATTGTCAGAATGCATGAGAATAGGATAGGAATATGCACCAATGAACCAAGCAGACATGGAATGGATGGACAGAGGACGAGCAACAGAACCGAGGATGTGTGCACTGATAAAGCTGTTTTTGGAAGGTATTCATGCTATGGCCAACATGGCTATCAAGCGAAGGCTAGAGATCCAGCTAACTTCTCACCATCTGGATGACCCATATGTGCTCTCTGACGTATATGCAGCCATATCTTTCTATTACCTAGCATCATGTCAACTGCAGTTCCACTACAAACCTCAACACCGTGCGCTATGACCTCGTCTCCGGCATACCCACCACAAGCTATGCAGAGCACACCGGTTCAGCAACCTAGTCAAGGTGTGGTAGTCAAACAGGAGTACAACGTCCAACAGCGGAACAATGACTGTTATTTCTGTAGCGGAGAACACTTCGCCCATGAATGTCAGACACGCAAGGACTACGTACACGAAGGCAAGGTAAAATGGAATGAGGACGGAAAACTCGTTATGCCCGACGGCCACGATATCCCATACAGAAGGGAGGATGGTAACTTCCAACAGCGCATTGACTGTTTCATACATGAAGGACCCACTATGGGTGCCAATGCAATGGTTCTAGGGAGTATGTTTATTCACGCCTTACCATCAGTTGAATCCGCGCTGGGTATTGACTCACCCACATTTATGCACACCTGCACAAGCCACCAGGAAGAAGACCAAGATTTGGAAGACGAAGAATTGAAACATTTAGAACATGAGGTAAGCGTGAGAAGTGTTTGCCATGGTCAAGGCAGATCGTGCGGCCCACAAATCTGACAAGGGAAAGAATGTACGGTTCGATGGTGTTGATGTGCCCGCGCACGCTAAGCTGGGGCCATCTTCCAAAACGACTGATGTGGTAGAAGAAGTGGTTTCTCCTCAGGTAAAGGCTTCCATATCAAAGGCAGCCAACCCACCAAACCCAGGCGCTACAATACTGAAACCCACAACCACTACAAATATGCCTAGTACCTCATCTCATCATCGGCAACCACAACTTCATCGGCATCTCAGCCCACCAACCCCTCTTCAACTCAATACTGGTATTCCTTTCCGTTGGAAGACAAGGATGTGGATAAGCATGTGGTAGATCGCATGCTTGATTCGAATATCAGCATACCAATGCATGATCTCATCACTGTGTCCACAGATGTCCGGAAGGTGTTTAAGGACATGACAATGACGAAGCGCGTCACTATTGGTGCGCTCTTGGTCAATGAATTGTCAAGTACGCCAGAGGTGGAGGACATCTTGCGGCGTTACGACAGATGTCTATGAAGGAGCGACGACGGCCATATAGTTGCGGAACACTTTGAGTCCCTGTGGTGCATTAAAGCGGTAACCCATCAAGGTCAGGTTCTTACCTGTGTGCTGGATCAAGGCGTGGAATGCATTGTGATGCTGCAATCGGTTTGGCAATTGCTTGGTGGAATTCCGCTCCGGCCCAACCACAAATTGGTAATGGAATCTGTGAATACCTTGTGCGATGAAACACTAGGTGTTATCGGAAACCTGCCGCTAGATTTTGGCACGGCAAGATGTTATTCCAGGTACAAGTGGTTCCGCGCGCTAATTTCGAGATTCTACTAGGACGCCCATTCTTTACGCTGACCAGTTGCAAGATGGAGGATCTGCCTAGTGGCGATCAGGACATCGCTCTCATGGACCCAAACACAGCAAAGGTAATCTGTATACCCACCAATCGATGGTTGAAGAAATGCCCAGGATGCAAGAGTGGTGCGCATAGTCTGCCGGGTTCATGCAAGAAGGGTTTTAGGTATTGATGATCCGCATAACCCGCGGGGAGATGCAAGGACTAATTCTCTCCTGCCTATCTCTCCGAACATTTTGGACTATATTGTACCTATCCCTAACCCTAGTCTCACGCTATCCACGCATCAACTGCTCTTACAGAGCAATAATTTTTCATTTCACCCTTCCGTCCCGCATTATTCTGCAGATTATACTCGTCTAGTTTCTACTCGCTCCGTTATTAACCGCGCATCCCTTGACGCTTTCTCCAGTGTATATTTTTTTGATGGGACCCAAAGTGCGCTGGCATACAAACCAGTCGCGAAGAAGGTCCGCATGGTACAAACCTCTATGCCCGTGGAATACAGAATAATATGGCTCTTACCCAACGATCCCTTGGCCGGTATTCCTACACTGCTAACCCATCCGCCCGACTTCGTTCTGGGTGTCTGCTTTATTCAAGAATGTGCCAATAACCTAGACCTAGATCCTGCTAATTGGTTATGGCCCAAGAAGCTTAAGCTAGTACACTGGCTTGTTTGGGTTCACGAATTAGTGTTTGTGTGGGACACAACTGAGCATGGCCGTCTAAACGAAACCTATTTCCTGCCGTACAAAATTCCTACCATCCCTCATGTCCCCTGGTCAGAATGCAACATCCCTATTCTGCCAGCAATCCATGGAGAAGTCATCCGCATCATCAGAGAAAGATTCACTCCAGAGTATATGAACCATCAACCGCGGCCTACCATACCAGTTGGTTCTGCGTAGTCAAAAAGGATGGAAAGTCACTGTGCTTAGTGCACAACCTCCAATCGCTAAACAAAGTAACTATCCATGACTCATCTCTTCCCCCTTTAGTCGAGCACCTAGCCTCACTTTTTGCCGGATGCTTGGTATTTGGTCTTATGGATTTGATGGCAGGATACAATCAGCGCGTGCTGCACGAAGAATCGCATGACCTGACAACCTTCAGGATGCCTTTGGGTCCGCATCGGCTAACCACACTCCCTCAGGGTCACGCAAACACGGTTCAAGTATATCAAGGCAATACTGCATTTGTCTTACAGGATGAGATTCGGGATCATACCTTTCCGTTCATTGATGATGTTCCAGTCAAATCAGTTAAAACCCAGTATCAACGAGCTGACAGCTCTTATGAAACCATTCCAGAAAATCCAGGCATCTGCTGATTTATATGGGAACACCTAGGAGTTATTAACCACATTCTACAGAGGCTTGAAAATGTTGGCTTAACTGTATCCGCTAGTAAATTTGTTCTAGCTGCGCCTACCGCTGTCATAGTAGGGCACAAGTGTACCTTCAACGGACACGAACCCGAAGACTCTAAGGTGCAAAAGATCCGCGATTGGCCAGAATGCTGTACTGTTACACAAGTATGCAGGCTTTCTAGGGACATGCGGAATCCTGCAGCATTTTATTTGTGACTTTGCCAAAATAGCATGGCCACTGGTTAACCTCACCTGGAAAGATGTTCCCTTCAAATGGGGCAAAGAACAACAAGTAGCTATGCAGACGCTGAAGGACTTAGTAGCCAAGTCTCCCACACTCCTTCCGATTGATTATACCTGCGAATGTGAGGTCATTCTCACTGTTGACACCTCTAACATCGCTATAGGTTATATTCTCATGCAATTCGGGGAAAACAGAAAGTGCTACCCCAGCCGCTTCGGATCCATATTGCTCATGGAAGTCGAAAGCCTCTACTCCCAAGCCAAATTGGAGCTTTACGGTCCTGGTCCAGAAACCCTTTAGGGTCGCATAGCAGCTAGGTTCTGCAAGACCCAACATTGTTCAGACTCACCATCTGAATTGTTGTACTTTCAACGGTTTGTTCCGCACACTTCGTGCAGTACATGTTTATACCTTTGGCATCACCAACTTTACAGTTGAAATCAATGCGAAGTACATAAAAGGAATGATCAATAACCCAGACCTACAGCTGAATGTGACCATCAATTGGTGGATCGCAGGTATCATTTTGTTCTCCTTTACACCTGTTCACGTACCTGCTACCAAACATACCGGAGCCGACGGACTCTCAAGGAGACCGCATGCTGACCATGACCATGAGGACTGGCTTGACCAATCATACTCTTTCGCCTTTGATATCCTAAATGATAGGATGTACAGAGTGGAATCTGCAGGGGTTGACATTACCCGCGTTCTGAACCTCATACCTGTACCATCCATGCTAACCTGCTCACCTTGTATCATCAAATGTTTATCTTCAGTCCCGCAAACTAATGAGCCACTGCATACCTCGCTCGGATACTGTGCGCACACAAGATGTCAGGATAACGGAAGTACAGCACTTTTTAGAGCATCGGAAAAGACCTGTGGATTTGTCAGACAAGGACTTTGAAACCTTCGTAGCTTTCGCTGTAAGGTTCTTCCTGTTCAAAGAGAACCTATGGCGGAAGCACTCTCAAGGCAAACATCAATTGGTGGTACCGGAAGTGAAGCGCTTTCGCATCCTGAAGGAAGTGCATGATGACCTCGGACATAAGGGAGTATTTAGCATCCGAAACCATCTTTTCCTATGTTTTTGGTGGCCGATGATTACTGACAATATCAAGTGGTACAACCTGCACATGCCATGAATGCCAGATCCAACAGCAGCACAAACTGAAAATACCTCCTACCATACCCATTCCAGGCGGGATATTTAGGAAAGTGCACCTTGACTGCATGATGCCCAAAGTGGGCGGATTCGGTCGCATAATCCAAGCATGCTGTGCGCTCACCAGGTACCCAGAATGGCGCATGCTACGGAAGGAAAATACTAGAACCCTAAGCACATTCATATTTGAGGAAATCCTTTGCAGGTGGGGACCAATTATGGAAATTGTGACTGACAATGGACCCGCATTCGTAGCGGCCGTAGACGAGTTAGCCGCACACTACCAAATTCACCCTATCCACATATCACCATACAATTCCCAAGCCAACGGTATTGTAGAATGCTGCCATTACGATGTCTGGGAGGCCATCATGAAAAGTTGCGAGGGGGACGAGTCGCACTGGTACCAATGTGTGCATATGGTATTTTGGGCCGAGTGCATTACGGTTCACCAGGCTACAGGTCTAACGCCTTATTTTACTGTCCACGGTGTAGAGCTGATCTTTCCGTTCAATCTTGCTGAAGGAACATTTCTAGTAATGCTACCGGGACAAGACAACTATTCTATGACAGACCTAATCGCATGGTGCGCCTGCCAACTCCAGAAGCGGCAGGAAGACCTCAACAATATCAAGGAGAAAGTCCTGAAAGCATGGTATAAGTCGATCCGAAATTTTGAGGAGTGCTTCTGCAACTTGATTAAGGATTATGACTTCGATCCGGGAACCCTAGTTTTAGTGCGCAACTCCAGAGTCGAGTACGAGCTGAATCGAAAGACGAAGCTGTGGTATCTCGGGCCTATGGTTGTTTTGTGTCGTACACAGGGCAAATCATATTTTCTGGCAGAAGTAGACAGATCCGTGTCTAAACTTCGCTATGTGGCCTTCCGCTTGATCCCTTATTTTCCGCGCAGTGAAACTAAACTATTGGTTACACATATTACAGGTCTAGGCAACGAGGCATTGAACAATCTAGCAGCAGAAGACGTAGAAGAACCCGACGAGGAAGAAATCAAGTACAACACTTAAACCCATGCATTCCTTATCACCTGCACACTCATTTGATCACCCATGTTCCTTATCTGCACCATTCACTTATGTTTCCGATTCAAAAAGAGAAAAACGCAAAAACATACCTCAGTATGATAGCTTCAGTTTTACCCCAGGTTTCGATCGGCGCTCTTAGCTTTTCATCTTTCCAATACTCACCTATGGGTATGGTAAAGAAAAGGGAAAAATATCTAGTTGTGGCGGCACCTCTTCTCATCAGGAAACCGACATGAAAATGCTAAAAGATTACAAAGCTTTATCAAAAGTAAAATTCGAACAATATCTATCATAATTGTACTTCAAATGACAAAGCTTTGAATACCTGGACTAAGTTGGATAGAAACTGCCAAATGGACATTTGTGCAGTCTCATTGCAACCATCTGTCAGCTCGTCCACAGATTACAATACCTACCAGCCGTGAGAATATATTATTAAGTTGCTCAAAGTCTCCCCAGGTCACCTAGTTGAGTACTAGTGACAATGCACTATCATCCTGACTGTGACATGTGACCTTAGGCCGTTGCGCAATTTTTAGATGAATGGTAGCATTAGATAAAGTCTTATATGGCCGGACTGCTTCGGATCAAAGCTGCCAACAGCCCAAATTTGTGAGGTGATTATAATGCAGTTTCAATATGTTTGTTACATGTAATGTATGCTTACTAATGCAACCTCGACAAATCCTCCCTGGATGTTGGCATTAGGTAGAGTCTTGTGATGTGAGTTTGTTCTGGATCAAGCTATCTTTGGTACAAGGATGCCAGGTAATGGCGACACGGTACCATCTACTAGCTTACTGACATGGCATGGTCATTCGGTACAAGGTGAGTCAGTTAGTCTATTCTTTACAAACTCTTGATAAATTCTGGCGCTAGATAAGGTCTTACAACATTAGCATATTCTGGATCGAACTCCCTTCATCACAAAAAAGCTGTGTGATGGTGACATGGTACCATCTGCTATCTTACTGCCAAGGTATGGTCATTAGGTGCAAGGTGAGTCATTCCATCTATTCTTCACAAACTCCTGATAGACTCTGGCACTAGATAAGGCCTTACGACGTTAGTTTGTTCTTGATTGAGCTCCTTTCATTACAATGATGCAGAGCCATGACAACAGGGTACCATCTGCTAGCTTGTCACCAAGGTGTGGGCATTACATTCCATCTTGGCTGATTGTTGTCGTTATTGGCTGTAGATTTGTCTTCTGATCACTCGAGTGTTCTAGCTGGTCATAACATACTTGTATTGTATTTTATTTATTATACAGAAACATGCTTGTAGGGATACTATGAAGATATCACGTTCAAATCTGTGGCTTGCTTGGTCGCAAGGCGTTTGAGTCGAATTTTTGATAAAGTGCTGTTGGCGCTGATAGGTCGCTTGGCAGCAGAGGAATTAGGAAACACTTGGCTAGATACATAGCAATACATGAGCCTCAGTGATATAGCGAAGAGCAATAAAAATACCAATTCCACCAAGTGAGCAGATCATCAACTTCCTTAGACTCGTCAGGATCTTTGAAGAGGTCAAGGAGGCTATGGTAGAATGTTTCTGAGTCTGTTGTTGTATTGGTCCATGAGAATATCAAGGAGGAGCTTAAAGCAAATCAGACCTTCGGTTGTACGTATGTAAGAGCCATTCAGCAAGAAAGACATGTGTCGACAAACCTGAGTTGCGATGTAAGCTATGGACACGATGGTGACGGAATTCATGCCATGAAGGCGAGCATTTCTGGACCGCGTGGCTTTCGGTTCTTTGTTGACTGAACTTGGAGATGTAAAGACATGCTTGTAGGCCCAATGTCAAAGCAATTAGTAGTGAAGAATTACTACATGAAAATACCTACTCACACATACCAACAAGCGACTCCTAAGAAGACTGGACCATGGATCTTCAGCATCAAATGTATGGTAGGTGTACAAAAAAATGGGCCACTGATCTCCATGGACCAGCATTTCGCCACTTTGGAGGTTCTCTCTCATCCTGTTGACAATCAAACGCAAAAAGGTTGTCAGGGCTGCCAACACTAGAAAAAAGGAAACATACTCTGCATCCTTCCAGTCCAACCCAGCAGGACAAAGGAGTGATCCAGTAAGTTCATGATTGAATCCTTGATCAATCTTCAAGTTCCTGTGTAAAGGGGGCTGGATTGCTGCCCCCTTCGGAGAAATCCAATCGAGCACTGCAGACTTTAACGTTTTTGTATTGTCGCCTCTCGCGCCTGCAGCTCCCTTACCAATCTATGGATTGTAAGCATGAAATTTAGCCACACAGAAAACAATGCACCAATTCTCCAACATGAATGATTCCCTCCTTGGACCTGGTTTTTAGTCGCTCCAATAGACCAGGATAAGAGTCTAAGAGCTGTTCAAAAACTCAATGTTCTCGTTGTTCACTAACAAACACATCAGACAAACAAGTAAGCCAATAGAGACAATGAATTTCACTCAGCAGAGAATTCCTCCAAAGGAGTATCCTCCATTTGCTCCAATCTGAGGATACCATTGGTGAGTAGAGACAGATAATTGCATAGCGCAAATACTGTTCGACTAAAATGACGCCCGTGCGATATAAGAGGGTCAGATGTAGAGCTAGGCAACAGATCAAGTCTGCAAAACCTGCGTCAAATGAGGGCAGCTTACACTTTTTGCGGGGGCCCATTTGGAGGGCCGAGGTAGCACATTTGCTCGGAATGGTAGATGTAGTCTCTTTGGTGGTCATGAGAGTTCGCAAGTCAAAAGTAGCTCGATCTTGGCAGACACTAGAATCTAGCATTTTATCTCTAGCAGTGCATCATGTGGTATTCCAGTAAGCGACATACCTGATAGCAGCCAAGCAGTGGCCAGGGTGGCTGGCGGCTAGGCAGTGGCTGCAGTAACTATAGGCCAGGGTGGCCTGCTGGAGCTGAATAATCTTTCGTCAAATTGCAATGTACCTGATGGCAGTCAAGCAGTGGCCAGAGTGACTGGCAGCTAGGCAGTAGCTGCAGTGATGGAATGGCCTACTGGAACTGAGTAACCTTTTGTCAAATTGATGGTGATGAGATCCACGGTCCAAAGAAAGTGCTGGTCAAGAATAAAAGCTTTCTTGATGTTGTATCTTCTTGTATACCACCGCTAGACTACGATCACCTACTATGCTGAACCTGGATATGCAAAAATCATCCTATCAGATGTCTGGACATGTTATTACTTTGAACCTCCGGTAAACTTGATGACCCACTTATCAAAGACTGGACTTGCTAATTCTGTACGTTAGGATCGAGTTAGCGCACAATATCACTGACAATCAAAGGGGCGAGCCCAAGCCTGAGGAACTCACCAGCATAAGGTAAATGCCAAACACTGTCATCGATTGTTTTCGAAGCTTATCATAGATCAGAGAGGTAGTTGTCGACAAGAATGACCCTAAAACAGAGAACAATGAAGAGTCCCTGGCCGATGTCAAAGAATGACTGTGATATGCAGAGTTAGGCTGCTCGAGACTTGAAGAGCTGTACAAAAAATACAGATTGCATTGGCTAGAAGAAAATTATCGTGTCAGAATCTTGGAGAAATATGTACCAAATGTAATCAGTACATCTCCTGGTCAGATCACATGGGACGCCCCTTCTCCTATTACATGTATGTTCCATGTGCGCTGCCCTTCGATGAACTAACTGTCTTCCTTAGCGGATGTTGATGAGGAATTCGAGGACCTAATTAGAGAAAAGATACCGTAGTGTTAGCATGTCGCATGATGTTGCCGTGCAGACAACGTTGGTGACTCCTACCTTTGTAGGGCAATTAGTTCTATGTGACTGGTCATTGATATTTGGTGTGGTGATGCAGAATTGACATAACACTTAATCGGAATTGTGTGCTGCATGAGTTCACAGGTCAGTGTCAACCAACCTTTTGAAAATACCCAAAAAATTTGAGCCAGACAAAGAATAACTCAAGTATCTGAGGAACTCGACAATCAGGAAGTGGCATCGTCAAAAGACTCTATGGCCAGGCTAGGACCATAACTAGCAACCACCAATACAATTAAGGAACCCACCACAACACCGAGCGTGGTGAAGCACGCAATCATTAAAGGCGTAGATGGCCTAAAGTTTGAAACAACACCTGCAAAGAATCCAAGGATGGAGGTTATCACACTACCGAAAATTTCATGAGTGACACAAATAACCATGATCAATGTTTGCTTACCTCAGTACACAAAAAGAAGTAGGTATACTTGTAATGACGATGAGCATCGCCGTTCTCTTCTGCAGGTAATATACCTGTCCAGTCAGCAATGTTAGGCATGGTTTGCAGAAAAATGGTGTGAATCGAACCACAAAGTCAATGGATCTCATTTTCTCGCCAAAATGCCATACTATTGTGCCCACAAAGATGCAGTTGACACCAAAAAGTAAAGAGCAAGAACATAATGTTTGTGATGCCATTGTTGCGCCTAGACCTGGAATGGCGAGGATAGTGATGTCCAAGGCCATGGAGACACCCGCCTGTAGGAGAATAAGTGGGTGGATACCCTCACTGATGTAGTACCTACCAGAGTAATTTGATTTTTCATCTGAATGCTAAGGTTGTCGACAAAGCTTTTGACCTCCACTCCATTCACGATACCATCAATGGAAGTCCTCTTGATGCTTTCAATCGTGACCGGCATGCAGAAAACTGTAGCTGCAGTATTGCCCATGGAAAAAAAAAGTTTACCTTTTCTATGCTTTTCTTTCACTGCATGGTTGCGAATAAGCCAAGCTTCTGGTTGGTTGTGGTGGTGAAGATATTGATGGTGCCCTACAACTCCATGTACTTGGCGACACTAGGTTTGTGAGAAAGCAATGTACATATGATATATAAAATTCTACCTGTCAGATGGGATATCAGTAGTGGAATTCAATTGTCCAAGCTCACGTACAACAGAACACAATGCCTGTTTCATGTATAAACCCGTTGTCTGCAAGGTCTTCTGTTTCTTTGCTATAAAGATGTTATGCATGACTAGACAAGAGCACGTACCGATACTGGCTAGATGGCTGATGATCTGATTCATTTGGTCCAGGGTCCAGAATATGGAACTGGCTGTGGATTGACTCAATGTTATCGCCTCTGTGTCTGCTAAGCGATTCTGACCATTCCTGTGATAGAAGACTTACCTCCAAGGTAGCAAATGACTTCTCTCTGTATGCTTCTCACAACCAAAAAATTCATCAATGACTGCTGCAAAAAGAATTCGAAGTGTTTTCTGCGGACAGTGAGAAGTGTTTGGGTCAATCAGCTTAGTACATGCTTTATCGACCACTTACCAATACTGAGCCTCAAGCTCGAGTCCTACATGATTGCAATCAGTCACAAAGAAAAGGTGATCTCAAGGGTGACATTCTTACTTTTATGCTCCCATTGGCTTGGCTGGATACAGTCTCGGAAAAGAAGGTAACTGTTCAGTTCCTCTGTCCAGGCAATGATGTGCAGGTCCAGAACCACGAAGTAGTATTGAAATTTTTCTTCTCCCCTGAATATTATTGGATGGACAACCAGTATCCACCCATCTTCTTGCGCTATGGCTCGTAATGCATGGATAAAGTTGTCGATCTTCTGTAGATCCGTGTAACACCTTAGGTTTACCGAAGTATACATTCTCTAAATTTTCATTCAGTGTATCACTTACATGACTAGCTGTACGGCACTCACCTTATCCCTATTATAGTAGTATGTACCACCTAATGGGTGAACAAATTCCTCCCAATGACCATATGTTGAAGGCCTGTTGATGGTGTCAAAGTGAATACATTAAGAAGAAAGGCGACCAACCTAGGGACATCAGTTTTCTTAATACGAACAGATGTATCTTCACATATATCACCCCTACTTGTAGGTAGAAAGAATCAATTGAATGCAATATTATTCGTACATGCGTAGTACTCACAGCATCATCACTTCAGCGTACCGCGGAAGTTGCATTGGCCAAATACTGACCGCATGATTGAGAATCTGTTGCTGAAGACTGGAAGTTGTCTATACCACGTTAGACTCCAGAGGAGCGCGTTCAGAAGGCACAGTTGAACTCACCATCAGTTTCCAGGAACTTGTGAGGAGGTTGTTTGTGCTGTAGTAATGGTACATACTAAGTACTACATACTCAGGCTAGTACAAAGGCGATATCCTGTGTTCGAACCAAACTTCCTTTTTGGAAATTTTACAGTACTAGTTGTCAGCAGTCGACGAGTAGACAAGAAAGCGACCACAATAACAAGCTTCAAAGGTCTCATAAATAACATATCTTAATACAAGATACACAAATAAATTTATGCTGTGGTCCAGAAGTTCAGATCAGAAACTACTGCCCCTACAGCAGCCCAAGTATCAAAAGAAAGTGTTTGATATCAAAGGATGGCGCCCTATCGCAGCACTGAGCTCAATACCAATGCGATGTGTATGATGTTTAGGTCAAAACACTCACATTTGAATTCAGTCAACCCTAGCATCCCTATACATACGCTATTGAACACCTGTCAGGCTATAGCTGCTGGAGACAATCTGACATGTCCTAACAACCAGTTGGAAGTGACCTGAGACATTCCGCCTCATCTCCAAGTAATGACAGAAGCTGCAACAGGAATGATCATTACCCCAGCCTTGCTCCAATGTATGATCAAAAGTAGGTAGACAGGAGGAAACATTAGAACTCATGTGCATCGCCAGTACACCAGTTGCTGCCAACACAATAATCGGTACTAACATCTAACGGGAGACAGACTTCAGTTTAGCTGAATATAAACGAGCCAATGCCGATGGCCATCTGTGAATCAAATTGTGTAAAAGTTGAAGAACATGATATGTTCTAGATGCACCAAAGAAACACTATACATCCCACTTTGCTGGAATACAGGGGAACACTGAAAAATCAACAGTGGGTATTGGAGCAGGAAAGGGTCTGAGGGATTGAGATAAGTGCAGAAGTAGAGTCTATGCTCAACTTCTTCCATGACAAACGATTCGGACCAGAACACATAATAATGGGTTGCAAGTAGCTCAACATCACTGATATGGCGGCTGAGGATAAGATGGCATTGAACTGTGAAAGCACAAACATTATCAGAACAAAGAAATACAGTAATGAGTTGGGTCGACTGACTGCAATTGCAGGCCCAAAGTAAGCGCGTGATATGATATATCCTATCAAAACACTACTCCATACACCCCAGTATAGTGCTTGGAATCGGTTCAAGGTCACTATCCAATGAAAATGCATTATTTCGTGTGAGCGCAGAGAATAGTCTCGAACTTGTAGTAGATGTCGTGGTTGTAGCCATCACTCGAGAAACCATTATCCCAACCAGATACATTTGTGACAATCGGGGCCCAACTGCATCATAGAAGAGTTGAGTAATCAGAATGGTAAATGTGGTGGCCTAAACAGAAGAGATATCCTGAACTGCGATAAGAAGTGCAAGAAAGTATGCAAGGCCGATCAACCAAGAACCTGCGATGCCACCAACTACAGTGAGCAGAACCAGGATTTCTGCCCGTGCAACTTCTTCCGCTACTTGAGCTGTTATCTTGCACCCCTCGAGCATGTATGCACCCTAGGTTAAGGTTGTACTGTGAGTCATTAGTACAGCATGTAGAGCTGATCCTCACCTAAAAAAACCCAAGAAGCATGCCAAAGCTTTGAGATTACCAGCCAGTGAAGTTAGCTGACCAGTTGATGAATTTTTTAGTCTAAGCTGAGGAATAAGTACAGACCAGTCAGCCAAGCCAGATTGTTCTTCACTGCTGTCTTTATCAACTGTAGCACTCCAACAAATACGCTCCCGATTATAGCATGCAACTGAGCACCACTAACACCTTGTTGTTGATGTACCGTAGGCTGAAAGATACTCCATAATCATCTTCAACTTATTCTGTTTGCTGCACTTGAACATCATGTCGAGAATGCGGTGCATGGTGACTGCACATAAATCGAGGTCATAATGAGGTGTTGCTTTTTCACAGTCTTTGCGATGCCTTTGCTGTTGCATCCTCAAACTGATGTAAGAAGAGGTCACTGAGCCAGTGTTCGAGTAGTGGTATGATGGCTCACATGAAGAAAAGCTAGCCACGCCAGCCAGAAGGAAGTCATTTCCAGGACCCTTGCCAATAGGGCCAGTATTAAATCGGTAGTAGATCAAGTGCTTGAGATCTTTTGTCATACGAACTTGTCTCATGAACTGAATGAGTGAAAATCAACGAAAGAAACTTCATCTATAACAGTAGTTATGCAAACCTTGTACTTGTACCAGGACCAGCACATACTAGTTACTAATGCACCGATGTGTGCTAATATATCTTGTAGTGCGTCTGCGAGCTAGGAAGTATCAATATGTTGCCAAGGCGGAACTGAACATGGACATCAACGACAAGCTTTGTAAGATGCAGAATCTTGCAACACGAGTGGAAGGAGTTTCTGCAGCGAAATTTTTTGTGCTCCTTTGCAGTCAGCGTCTGCACTGGCTTCAAATTCATAGTAAGTATGATGGTCGAGATGCACATAGTTCAAGTTCTGAACATGTAAATCAGCTTCCATGTACCCCTGCGGTCTTTATAAAAGCTTACCTTTCTCTGAATGAGGAGGTTAAGCATGTTATACCCTTGTCTGTACTGCAAACCGGCTTCTACCTGGTCATTTGCCATCTAGAAGGACTTCGTCGCTGTCAACTGCTGGAAGTGATTCTTTTTAGTCATCACCTTCTCAGGTCGACTCTTAAGCTTGTCGGAGATGTAAAATCAATTGATGAAGATGAAAATTTCCTCTGGATCAAGCTCACAGAATCGGCTAAGTGGATGGGTATTTGTGATACTGACATAGCACTTACCAGATTTCTGGTTTTCAGCACCCATCTGCCTTCTTGCATTGTAACTTGTGAAGGTACACTACATGCTGTTGAAAACTTGAAATTGCCCAGAACATGATAGTCTTGAAGGAGTGTCACAGGCCCCATGAATCACTGCGAACAAGAAGGTTGTCAAACCGCTCGCACCATCGCAGTCACAGTGCACATATTGTTCCCTTTTTTGGAAGTGTCAAAATTTCAATTGGCTCAAGCTTGGAATACATATATTTCAAAACATCGATCGGTTCCGATCTTTTGTAATTCAGAATTGAGCAGTGTAAAAACTGTAAGGACAAGGATCTTTTAGTCCAATACAAATAGCAAGATAGTAGCAAAATTTGAGCAAGACGATACAGCTATCCATGTGAGTTGATGAGATTTAGTACTATGTACTGGTAGTATTTGTACTACAGTCTACTGTACACTATGTTCTATTCTGTTACAATATTAAGTGTTGTGCTAAATCTTTTATGTGAGATGGCCAATTATGATACATTCCTGCAGCAATGAGATGGGTAAGATGGGCATGGTAAATCATGGAGTGGTAGTAACATTTGCAGTCCAAGCTTGCACTTCATCTCTGGAGCTCTAAAACATCTTAGAGGAGCTTGAGACTAGTAAATAGCAACATAGTAAAGAACTCACCCTCTGTATGGCTGATCTTATGTGTTGCACCACACGAATGCAACCGCCGGCGAAACGGCACATCAATTGCCTCATACGATCACATAGCAGCGTCCATGGAGTGGCAGCCTCGGGTACAAAAAGTAAGGTAATTCAGTGACACGGTACACAAAATGCATACCAAGTTTGCCAAAAACTCTAATTGTGACTGTTGAATGTGAGATTTTACCGTCCTACTTACATGAGAAACACTTACAATGACATTGTTTCTTGCGTTTTCTGGGCTGTATACGACACAAGACATGTTCTAGCGAGTATGTTAATAGATCCAATCAGAGGAGATTTAGCTTAACAGGCTTACCGTAACTATGCCTTATTGGGCCTTTGACAGTAATTTTTGATCGATGAGCGATAAAACATATCATATACATACTTATACATACCAAAATAATGACAAACAACTTCGTCAGCGACCTTAATTCTTGAAGATCAAATGTGAACTTGAGGCGCAGTGAAAAGTCCTTCAAGGTGGAACAAAGCAAATCGTGAGAGATAGAGCTTGGTGACCATGTCAGACCTCATTCAACTCACCATACTGGTATCACGATTGCATACAATGTCAGTCGAGCGACATCTATGTTCACCAAGGATATTAGTTGACACAAAGATTGTGCTCGATTTTGTTCAAACATAGAATAGTATAGAATCGAGTTCAATTGAAGGGAGTGAAGAAAAGTATTGGATTGTGATACACAGTGACAGATGCAGTAAATTTTTAAACTTACATCCCCCAAGAAGTCTGATGGTGACTTTGTACAATGTTGAGCTGGTGTCGTACGGCCTGAGGTAAGGAAGCATGTACTGAATGGAACACATGGTGTCTCTGGATGGTGCCGGATGTTCACTAGGACCTTGGCATCTGCAAGATGGGACTTTGAAAAAAATCTCAAGTTATAAATCACGTGATGCAGCTGCATCACAAACTCCAAGATCTCGACCACCATTCCCATTGTTCTAGCTTGAAGGACTTTCGCTGAGCTTGAAGCAGTCACATTTTGCACGAGTTTTCATATGATAAGAATCAGCCTACTGATCGTGTCGGATATGTAAATAGAAAAGTAATTCATTGTTGAGATACACATGTACGAGAACATTCAAAAGGCATACCATTCGAATCACAATGAGTACTATATTCAAGTTGATCAAAGTTAAATAGTTGACTTCATGAAGTATGAGATATGTATTGGCGCCATGGTAATAGCCGGAAAGGCAAATTCTGCATTAGGGACTTCAGAATCTATGATGGACTTAACTTCTATGGGCTGGAGGTCTTCAAGGGTCTTCCTCTGGCCGTCTGACATTACTTTAGGAATTATGTGCTTAGGCTCCAAAATTAAGACATTTTCCTCCCTAAATGGATGAGATGGATGAGTAAGATTGAAATCTTGAGGAATACTGACTGTAGAAAAAGAAGTTCATGGGCTTCCCTGAAGAAGATGTCGAAGTCAACTGGACATTTGTACATGTCATTGAGGGCAGCCATGATTATATGATTATAGGAAACAATGCAGGAGCCTTCAAGTGCAAGTTATCCTGTCTGGGTGAAGTTAACCCCTGATATATCTGATGAAGAAGCACAACTTCGGTCATCAATGACCAACGAGCAAACAAGTAAAAGCTCACAAGGGTACTGAGTACACCCACAACGCCTTTTTGTAGATAACTGGACCAAGATTGTACAGCATCAGGGTATAGATCTGCTAATCTGACTTTTCCTTCAGCTAACTCGGCGATGGGTCGTAATAATGAGGCCCAGAGCACTTCCCGGAAGGCCTGCATGATAATAAGCTCCACCAGGGCTCATTGTACCTGACAGACAAAGCCTTGAGTCTCCACTTTATACAGATTTACAGGTTCTTACCAGGCTTTGGTTCCCTGAGTCGAACAGATTAATCAAGGCTTCTGTTTCCGCTGGTTCTTGTAGGCCACGAACCCATCTGTTACATTCATGCTACCTCTGGCAACTTTACATAGCTCAGAAGTAAAGTCATTGTGGCAGTCTACTAACTGCAAATAACATTTATTAGTGAATGAAGGTAAAGCGAGAAACGAGCGTACTCTATTGCGTATATATAACCAATCTATGAGAATCTCCTTCCCAGCTCTGTCATCAATCCTCACTAACTGCAATGTTAGTTGATGGTGTTGAAAATTGGAGGCAGACACTCACATTTCTCATTACTTAATGATTCATATGTTTGATTGTCGAAAACCAGAGCTTTCAAGAAACAGGTTGTTATCAACTGCCTCGACACTTCTGAAGGTATATTGAAGGGGTTGGCAGGCAGGCCGACCAACAAATACCCTATATAAAGGTATCTTGCCAACTTGTATGGGCGCCCCCAAGGTGACTGCGCCAACCAATTTTTATATGTTGTCCTCTGATGACTGTCTAGTGGATCCTCTCGTACAATTTGCCTCCAATGGAGGTCCTTGTGAAAAGGTTGTGTCCCATCGAAGGAATGACCAACAGGCAGGATCACAGCATTTGAGGAACCGTCACCTTCTTCCTCCAAAGCAGGTGTAAGTGCGCCAGAAAAAGTTGACGCCGTAGTTACGTCAAATATGGAAGGATCATAGTCAAAATCCAGCAGCAGGTAGAGCAACGTGTTATGAAACAATGGCTCAGGGAGTGACTGCCGAGTAATCTGACCAGAGTGCTGCCAAGGAAACTCCTCTGAAGGCTTGATGGGAGGAGGGAATCCATATGGGAACATTGCAGGGGAGAACTGAAAGTCGTGCAACTCATGAAGCTATGTATGAGGCGCATTGAGTCCGACAATGTGCTAGGATTCGAGAGGCACTTACCATCCACATGGGCACAAGTTTCATTTGTGTGCTGGCCCCACAATAAGGGGTCCTAGTATTCTCGAGAATTGCGGCACCACCATGCTATAATGTTCATCTGATGAAAATTGAACTCAGCTGCATAGAATATCTCTTACCTCAATAACCTCATAGATTGTGTATCTACTAGTGTCATTTGTGATGCCCAACAATCCCACTTGTCATAGGAGCCCATCTGCAAGACTGCGACATTCTTCAGGCCACTGTAAACAAGTACAATTATATGAAAAGAATTGACTTTGAGAATGACAAACAGACTCATGTAGGTTGGGGACAGATGATAAGCATGCATGACGTAGCCAAGAAAAGAGAATTGACCAGAAAGACCTTGAAATGGCTGAAAACATCGGTCAATTAGAGTGAGGACTGATGGTTGATAGTGAACCTCATCAATCTGCAGAAAGCAACCATCAGTGATAATGCGAATAATGTCCGGCACTGATGTACTCACTTGAAGCGGAACAAGTTGCATGACTTCGCTCATAAAATGCGCCCAGTGTAATGAGATGAAATATCACAGCTGGACTCAAGGTGGTTATTTACAAATGCAAGGGTCAGGCCCAGTTGGATGAGGTAGAATTTAATGTCTGGGCCCAAAGTGATGGTCTCAAATCTCACACTTTTACTCATATGTTGTTTCAGCTTTAAGTGTGTGGTTTGATTTCTTCAGGATCCACTTTTATTGTAAGCTTCACTCTTTTGTGGTCTGGATTAGTGTCCCCTTTTAGACCCTTTGGTCTATATACTTTTTAAACTCTACATGCTCAGAAGGTCTGTCTTTGTTGATCGTAAATCCCTTTGAGCATTAGCTGACTTTGCATGATTCATTATTCTCACTCAGACCCCCTGCCTTCCTGCACCAGTATGGCAAATTCAGACCTTCCCATGCACAAAACAAATAAAAAACCTAACAACATTATTTTGATTCACGACCAAAGTCTTGATGCAAACTTGGAAGGATAAGTAAAAGAACAATCCAATTCTTTCTAAAGGTCTTGACTTGGTTGAAGAAAAAGAAGAGCAGATTACACATCAAACCTTCAAGTCTGATCCTAATGACCCGGGGAAGGAGAAAAAAAATACAAATTTGTCAAGGCTAATATTTTTATTGTGCTTATTCAAGTGGTTGCCAGAGTCAAAATATATTTCTCTTAAACTAAGCAGGTCTGTAATCTGTATGATGATGTGTATTGAAAGAACTGACAAAATGCAAATAAATGTGCCATGAGAATTCACTTTTGAACGAGTTCATTGGAAGTACATTCAACTAGTCTTAGCCAAGCAGTTGATACAACAGAATCTAAATCTGTCTGTGTGGGTTCAAAATATGCTAAAGATGAAATTGCAAGTGATCACCAGACTCAAAATCTGTTTCTCTTGAACCATGACAGGTTTGAAACCTGTCAATGATAAATTCTTTTTTTCTACAAAAATATGTCTTGACATTTCCTCATGGAGTTTGAAATGTGTTGAATGGTGCATTTTTGCTATTAGAACATGTCTTAAATATCTGCTCATGGACAGCATCTCAGACATTGATCTTGATAAGGAAATGTCAAGGTGTGATTTCATAGAACAAAAATGTTGTTAGTGGCAGGTTTCAAACCTGCACAGTTCAAGAGAAACAGATTTTGAATTTGGCGACAACTTGACCAAGATCAATAAAGATCAATGTCTGAGATACCATCTATGAGCAAATATTTAAAATATGTTCTTACAGAAAACATGTGACATCCCACAAGTTTCAAACTTGTTGCGCTCCGATGGAAACAGATTTTGATTCTGTGATCACAGCCATTTGGCTAAACACAACCATGATCAGCTTGCAAGCAAACCGACCATGAGCACATTTCAAGGTGTGTTTTCATAGAAAATGAATTGTATCACTGGTAGGTTTCAAACCTGCGCAGTCCAAGAGAAACAGATTTTGACTCTGGGGATCAGATGGCAAATCCATCTTCAGCAGGTTTTGAACCTGCGCAGACAGATTTATATTCTGTTTCCATTAACCGCTTGGCTAAGATCAGTGAGACACACTCCCAATAATGCATTTGTCTTTAGGTACAGTCAATGTCACATAGCAGTTCTCTTCTGAACTCTGAGCGTTTGTCTTTAGTTCCATTTCCTACAGGTTATGAGCCCTGGCTCGTATCGAGCCCTCAACTGAAACTACTAGATGAAGCTCCTGCATTCATTTGCTGCTCACCTATTCTCTTCCTATCTTGTCATCCCTCATGGCGGTATCATCATGGGGAAATTTGATCACATCCCTGAACTGTTAGGGTCCGAAAACTATGTCGGATGGTCAACCAAAATGCAATATGCCCTCGCATGTGAGGATCTGTGGTGCCATGTTAATATGATTGTTGACCCTGCAGACCTCCTTGGGACACCATCCATGTTACCAGTTCCTGCTGACCCAGTCAATGTCACGGCTGCTGAAAGAGCAGAGATGCGTGAATGGTTATTAAACGATAAAGACCTCATCACACGTTGTCTCAGTGCATCAGTTGGTGTGCTAGTGTCACAATCGCACGCTGTCACAGCCCATAAGGCATGACAGATGCTCACGGAACATTCTAACAGAACTGACACAAGTGCACAATATCAGCTATGTCAACGTCTTGATGTGCTTCGCATGAAGGACTCAGCTGACACCACGAACTATGTCGGTCAACATGCCGTCCTCTGTGAACGTCTCCATGATTCTGGAGCCCCTCTCAGAGACAGTGACACTATCTACAGCCTGCTCATTGGACTGCCTCAAACCGCCATATGGCAACAGTTCAAATTCATGGTGGAACAACGCATGCACGACGAGATCATGACCACAACTGCTGCCAACCCTGTGACATTCACAGTAGACAGCTGTGTATCTCACATCACCACAGAAGCCGTATGCCATGTGCATGCTTAAGCCATTCATTCCGCTTGTCCCAGGTCTGAATATGCAAATGCTGTCACTGCACCCAACACAGGTGGCTCCAATGTCAACTCCATCATGGGTCTATGCAAGCATCGACACAATCCAGACAGCGTGTTCTGTACAACACTGGGTTGCAATAAAGGTAATCACAATCATGCACACTGCTATGGAAAGGGCAGGGGGATGGAAGGCCAAGCCCCTTGGATGTGGGGGAAGAAAGGTAGAGATACTCCCACAGCTGCAGCCGTCATTGCACCTCCCATGCCTATGGCCCCATCTACGGCACCTACTCCTGTCATTGCCGCCGCAGTTACCAGTCTCTACCAGGATGTCTCCTTTGCGTCCATCAGTGAGATCCCAGATGAGGTCTCATGCGCAACCTCACTTCCCTTTTCCACCATCCTTGACTCTGGAACAACCGTGACACTGGTGAAAGATCGACATTTCTTCCATACGTACTCAATGGAAGACTCAGTGCCAGTTTGCATGGCAAACTATGGCATGCTTGAAACCACGGGCAGGGGAATGTGCATCAGCTGGATGACCATCGGGACTCGTAGACTACGTGTCAAGCTCTCAAATTGTCTACATGCACCGAGTGCAATGCTAAACCTGCTCTCTGTGTCCAGCATGAACACCAAAGGCTGGGATGTGAACTTCAAGGCGAATATGACCTGCGAACTCGGCTACAAGGGTGATGTTCTGGGAGCCATCCCAGCGACGGGGAAACTGTATGCAATAGAAGTAGACTTCATTCCCTTCACCGAGTCCCCTGCTCCTCTTCCAATTGTACCCGAGATCACCGCATTTACTCAAACGCCCCTCACACTAGATCTCTGGCATGCATGCTTAGGACACCTCGGCCGAAATGCTGTTACATGTCTCAGTACTGTAGCGAAGAGCGTATCCATTGACTCAAACCTCCCACTATCCACATGTGAATCATGCATCATGGCAAAGCATCCGCACCTCCCATTTCACTCATCTGAGACAGAGCATACATCCAAGTTCCTTGAACTTATTCACTCAGACCTCTGTGGACCAATTCCAGTCCTCACGCCACACTTGAAGCGTTTCTTCATCGTCTTTCTGGATGACCACACTCACGTTCTCAATCTCCAGCTTCTGGCATCCAAAGATCAAGCTCTGACCGCTTGGACGATGGTAAAAGCAAAATGGGAGAACTTGTCGGGTCTGCATGTGAAAATGTTTCGGTCGGACAACGGGGGAGAGTTCACTAATGATGCGTTCACCTTGTCGCTGGAATCTGAAGAAATAAAATGTCAACGTTCAGCGCCCTATGCACATCAGCAGAACGGCAAGGTGGAACACATCATGCAGACGATTGAGGGACGCATGTATGCAATGCTCGACTACGCGTGCCTCCCCAGGACCTTATGGGGAGAAACTGTGCTTACTGCAGTGTACTTGTTTAACCAGTCAGAGTCTCGCGTGTTACCGCTGGGGAAAACTCCATATGAAATGCTTAACGGGACCCAGCCCACACTGACCCACCTCCACATCTTTGGCGCAGGATGCTTTGCTCACATTCCAGCTGAATTGCAGGAAAAGTTGGGTCCTCGCTCTTGTGAGGCAGTATTTATGGGGTATCCTCCAGGCATGAAGGCCTGGCGTTGCAGAGACACTGCCACTGGTGCCTTTTTTAACTCACAGGATGTCATCTTTGACGAATCCTTCACTAATTGGCCTTTCCCCGATAGTGAAGATGACAACAACAACAACCCACCTTCAGCGCGACCTCCCAGTGCGACCACAGTTAACGCACCAGCTGCGTCACAGACTCCAAATGCTCTGCCGCCAACGGCTACAGCTCCACCACCTCATGTTCATTGTTTGTCTTGTATTCCCATCCCCACTGCAAAAGGGGAGTTGTTCAAAAGCCATATCACAGCTGACCAATCACGTCTTGTGCATCAGCGAGACATTCGCACAGCCAAGATCACAGGAACACCTCCACCCCCTGCTCCACTGGCAGAGGTTCTGACAATGCTGCCTGACGATTCAGTGCCTCCACCTGAGCCAGAAGCGGACCCTGATGCCATCAGGATGAGTGATGATGAAATCGGATTCCCCCAGGTGATAGCTAATCTAATTGTTGCTGAACTTGCTTGCCTCTCAGTGTGCAGTGACTCTCGTTATAATTCACTTGCACCTGGCTATAACTTGAAAGTCCCTCCGGCCACTTACAACCAGGTGTTGAGACACCCCGATGCCAACAACTGGCTCGCAGCCATGCACAAAGGGCTTAACCTAATGTCCAAGATGGGGGTATACGAGCTCATGCCTCTACCCCCAGACCGTCGTGTGATTGGCTGTCAATGGGTTCTGGAGTTCAAGGACGACCTTAAGGGAGGTCCAGTCACCAAAGTGAGGTTAGTCGCACAAGGATTCTCACAAATACCAGGCATGGACTTTGGAAAGATGTTCGCTCCTGTCGCAAAAGCGGCCTCAATTCAGGTGCTTGCAGCCTATAGCGCAGCACATGACTGGGAACTTGACTGCTTTGATGTGCGACGCGCGACACACTTTCCTCTGGGGGAAACTCCAAGAGGACGTCTATATGCATCAGCCTCCCGGCTTCGAACCTTTCGGTCCCGACGGAGAATGCCTAGTAGTGCACCTGTTGTCGTCCTTGTATGGCCTGAAGCAGGCCGCCTATGACTGGTATGAGCTTCTTCGTGCAGTGCTCATCAGCTTGGGGTTCTTGTGCTGCGAGGCCGATTACGCCGTGTTCATCTTTGACCACATTGATGAGGAGGGGAAACATATCACATGCATCATCACTTGGCATGTAGACGACGAACTCGCTGGGGCTAACAACCACAAGTTCCTGGATCAGACTAAAGCAAACATAGCCTCATGTTTTGGCATCACCGACTTAGGGCCTGTTACTAAGTACTTAAGGATCCAGTTTGTTTGTGACCGTCAGATGCGCGAACTCTGGATGCATCAAGAAGATTATGTCATTTATCTTCTACAGGAACATGGTATGTCTCAGTGCAACCCTGTTTCGCTCCCCATGGACCCAAACTTCCCCTTCAGCCGTCCCACTGACATTCATGCTCATATTGACAATCTTGAAGCCGAGTATCAAAAGATCGTCAGGGAACTCCTCTACCTCGCCATGTACACGCATCCCAACATAGCTCATACTGTCATGCGCCTTGTGCAACACAATGCATCCCCTGAGCCAGCTCACTACGCGGCTGCCAAACACGTTTTAAGGTATCTTGCAGGGACCATTAACACGTGAACTCACTATGGAGGCATTGGTGCAAACACCGTGCTACACAGCTTCAGCGACTCTGATTGGGCTTCGTGCCCAGAGGACCGCATCTCCATCTCCGGCTACATGTGGTTCATCCAAGAAGGGCTTAGTTGACTAAAATATACTTTGCCTCCCAAGGCATCTCCTTCGCTATTGTTCTTCAGTTCGTTGGGAATGTTCTACCACAAACATGCATCATCAAGACAAGTCTACACAAGGGCCCAAGAACAGTAAAACTTACAGTGAATGCCTTGCCGCTTAGCCAAAACGAACGTATGAGAAGGTAAACAGCCAGGAAGGCATAGACCCTGTACATAATGAGTCAGCTTGAATAGGAAGACCTGACTTATACAAACCGTAGTGTAATTGCATATGCTGTCCATTCACTCTTTGGTCTGTTACCAAGAGCTAGCGCAAACTGTAATGCAAGGAAGGTAAGATAGATCCATTTGAAAGCCAAGTTCACCCAGTGTGTCTGCGAGCACATGCTCAGTGTCAACCTTTCAACGCTATGATCTCTTCGTGCAGTGACGTGTGAGGGCTGAGTGGTGTAGCACTTGAGCTTGTGCTAGGCTCATATTCAGCTATTTTCCCATGCATGTCAAACACACGAATCACTTCCAATGTTATCCAACACTCATCTGCTCAATCTGATGTTTATCCGCTAAATCCGACACTAACCCGATGTTTCCCACGCATCGGACCCGATATTTTCCCGCGCACTTGTCCTCCCTATGTCCTGTCCTGTTGTATCTATCCCCACTAGGTGCGCAGTTATCAGTTTTCATGTCGCTAACACTGTAGAACGTGTTATTACATGTCCACAGTACATCGTGTCTTATTACATAGGACATCAGACCCGAAAATCAGTGCTACTACTTTCGCCTATAGCACTCCGAAATTCTACATAGACACTATATATTTCGCATACCTCCTACCTATTTACTTACCTTTCTACCTCTGAGTAGGAGGAGGTCATCTGATATTCGTAGTTCTTAGTTGGATTCTGCAATATCATCCTTTCTTTATCCGAAACATCTGACAGTAACCCACCATTCGCTATCCCCAACATTTGCTATTGTCGGAGATATTTTTCTGGCATTGTAATGCTCCCGCATTTTAATGTGCCTTGAAGTAATTTTAACCACCATTACAATTGGGTTATGTTGAGATTGTTATGCCTAAGCTGAGTTTCAATGTCATCACAATAAGCATATGCCCTCATATTATGCCATGCAGCACTCACCTTTATCTAAATCCATCACCCACAATACACGCCAATGCCCAAGACTCTACCCACAAAGCGGCAGAGATCATCAGAGACCATGGAGTGTGATCTTTGTGGTACGACAATTCTGGCTCATGGGTTGGCATCTCATTCAAGGAAATGTAAAAAACACGAACGGGAACAACGTGAGGATGAAGAACTTGCTGAGATAGTTCGGACTGCAGAGCAAAAGGGTAAGCTATCAAATGTTCTGACGTGCTAACACTTATCAATTTGAATGGTACAGAGCATTGAAAAGAATGTCAAAGGCTTCGTAAACAACAGAAAGGTCTTGAATGCGCGCAGTTTGGATCTGCTGGTGAGCGCACACCTACTGATTTTTTTCATGTTCTGACCATTATGACTATATAGTGAACCCCCTCACGATCTGGGCCGCACAAGACAAAGGCAGCGCAGCAGGAAATGAGGGCATAGAGAATGACATTGGTATCGTTACCTCACTGTTTGAACTCATAAGACTGACTAACTTTTATCTACATCAGACATGCAAGGGTTGTCGCCGCATAGACACCAATTGGTTGACTCCGATGCTGCCATATTACCTGACTTTGATGCTCCTGATCTTAATGATCGCAATGAGCTCACTTACGAACTCGATGATATCAAAGTCAAGTACCATCCACACAGCGAACTTCCTTCCACTGTACATCACTTTTCCGACTTTTCCTGCAGCTGCTCTTCAGAGGACCAGGTACCTCGTAACAACTCACCATGGGAACCCTTCCGGACGCGACTGGACTTCGAAGTTGCAGAGATCGCGCTTGAAGCTGCAATGACTGAGGAGCAGACAAACCAACTGCTTGATCTCATACATCGATCCGCCAGTGGCAAGGACATATTTATGTTACAAAGTTACGATGAGGTTCACTCGCTGTGGGAAATGGCTTCACAGTGGTATATGCCGGTAATTATTTTCCTTTTTGTGCATTTATTGAAGCTTATAATGTAGTGTACACTAGTTTCAAAAGGATGTAGTATCTGTTAAGCATCAGGACGAGACACATGAGTTTGACATGCACTACCGCCCTCTCTGGGACTGGGCACTTGATTCATTGTGAGACCATCGTCTTGCACCTCACTTTGTATTTGATGCTCAACGTCTTTCCAAATTCAACGGAGAACAGTTTGTTCGCTTCATTGATGAACCATGGACAGCTAACGCCTTCTGGAATGCACAAGTATGTCTCGCAGCTTCTCATTCATCTATCTAACTGTAACACCCCCAACATTACTGTCATAGTCTCAACTTCCATTGGATGCAAAGCTGCTGGTGTTCATTCTATATGCTGACAAAAATAAATTATCTTCTTTTGGAACTGAAAAAGGCTATCCAATCATCGCCCGCATTGCAAACCTGCCTGTTCACATTCGCAATGGTAATACAGCCCTAGGAGGAGGTCGTGTCATTGGTTGGTTGCCGATTGTTAGAATCTTATAATGTGTGTCACTGCTAGTGATATTACTGACTATGTTGTCAGGTTTCTGAGGATCAAAAACATACAAAAAAGAAGGGCTTTGTAGACTTCAAAAATGCAGTGTGGCACACTTCCTTCTACCAGCTTCTCCAGTCAATTGAGCTGCATTTGAAAACTGGCTACTGGTTTGAATGCAGTGTAGGTTTACAATTCAGAGCAGTGCTATAGGCTCCAAACTGATATCTTTATGTTGTAGGTCGTGCACTGCCTATCTGCTATACTTGTGGGACAAGTGTGTTCGACCCTAAAGGGGAAGCTAGTGCAGCAAAGGTCTAGAAATGGACGCAGAAGGTGCCGCTTGTCAGCCGATGTGAAGAGCGGGAATGTAGCGGCGGCCGAAGGCGCAGGAAAGATGCGGCTGCAAAGCGGCCGATGTGCGAGGGTTTCGGATGATAATAGAGATAAAGGACAATAGAATTAGATGTAAAGCAAGGCAATAATGGATACAATGTGAGCAGTAAACAGATACTGATTGCCAATAGCTACCAACTGTAGGCTAATGGGAGTTGCTACTGGAACGTCCGGAAAACAAGCTACTGAACAGTATGTACTGCTAGTGTTTAAGTATAGCACTAAGCGCTGTCACGCGGAACCGAGCCGACACGCTACTGAGCCGATGCACTACCGAGCTATGTATGTAAAGCTATATGTAATAAAGGTGGTCCGATGCGAAAATGGTCTGATATGTAAATATAATTATGAAACAACGTACCATTGGGTTGGTTTTGGACTATGGATGGGTGTGGAACATCGGCTGATGAAGCATGAGAAAAGCGGCCGCTAAGCGCGGCTGTGCGCGCGTGGGAACATTGCGGCCGTTGCGGGAAAGTAGCAGCCGCTATGCGCGACTCGCGGGAAAGCTGCGCGCATGAGGGAAAGTAATAGGGTGCTGAGGGATACCACAAAAATAGCCTCTACGAGGCTACAAGGACTCCAAGTCCTACAGCTGGGATCAGATCCGATGCCGTCTCTGGCCCTTAATACTGATCTTAAGTGGAGATTACGAAGAACAGTAAGTGCTACCATTAGTTTACTACTCTACTGCCAGTCTAAGGTTTACCTACTGGAGATGTGTCATGGCGTTGATTCGTGGTGTGAAAGGCAAATTTCCGTGTCTGGTCTGTCTAGTCCCTCAAGATGAGCAGTCAGTCAATCGTGTCTTCGCATTGCGCACAAGTTGCAATTCCCAACAGGTCCTTTGCAACGTGAGAGGAAAGCATACGGAAAAGGAAAAGGAGGAAGCTCTAAAGGCTTATTCACTCCGAAATGTAGAGGTATGCATTGCTGTGCCCCACTGACAGACTTGGCGCTGACTTCATTAAATTAATAGAACATATTTTGGAATTTTTTTCTTGCAGATGTTCATCGGGTGGTTTCTATTGATCGCCTGCATATGAATTACGAAGGACTATGGGAGGACCATCTGTGGAAGGACCTTTTATTCTGGATTTCTGATCTTGGATGGGACACTGCTACTAAACTCGATGCAAAGTATGTAATCTTGCATAAATAAAATGCTATGCGAGTTCATCGTGGTGCTGACTTACTACCTTAGCTTTGATGCTCTTCCACGATGGCCGAACTTGACGCACTTTAAGACTGTCATGTCAGTTGATTTCAATGATGGCTCGCTTCATGAGGACATATCAAAGGTATGCCATGCACCAACTTCGAACATGATCTTTTGGTACTGATGCAAACTTTAAATTCAAGCTGGTTCTATTTACAGCGCAGGACATCCTTTGTCAATCACAATCTAAGCTAGGATACCTGCTTCTACGCTGCATCCGCTACTATATTGAGTTTGATATCTATGCTTCGTTCGAAGTTCACACCGAGGATACTATTGCAGCTGGAAGGGCAGCCTTGAATAAGTTCTCGGAATTGATGGAGGTGAGTCATTCGGATGCCGTTAATCTTCGAGCATCTGACTCGTCTGACGAACTTTCTTTAGGAATACATCCCTGAGTCACAGCCTGAAACGAGCAAAAATTGGAACTTTCCGAAGAAACACATGATCATGCACATATTCGATGATATTTTGGCTAAAGGTGCAACATGTAACTACAACACCAAACCAAATGAGAAGATGCATGGTGGTTTATGGAAAATTTACCTTCAATGAACAAACTTCAAGGATGTGGCTCCTCAGGTTCATTGCAGTCCATAAGTCTAATGTTTTACTGACAAGCTACAGATCCTGCAATATGACCATTGGCTTCTGACGTCGACCTCTATGCAGACCGAGCTTGATGAGCTTGACAACTACAATCGAAAGGCTACTGATGACCCAGAGACAAACGAAACTCTGGATGAACTCGTAGCAGATCCTATCGTCCATGTGCACTTAGGTTCGAAGCAAGGCAGACATGCTTTTTCAGACATCATGGACACACATGGAACCGACAGAGCCTTTACCGACTTTTGGACAAAATTAAATGGCTTCCCGAACGTGTTCCTACTGCAGAACGGCATTCCCTTGCCAGATGGTCCAGGAAGGGCCCTTCATCTCCGAGCCGAGGATGAGGTATACTACCTTCATTGCAGTTGATCATCCTCACTGATATTTCTGGCAGATTATGGAGTTCCGATTCCTGCGGGTGAACTACAAGTCCATGGTTGATTGGCGCCTGCACCAAGACTTACTTCGGTGCAGCCCAAAATTCTATGGATCACCAAGGTTCGATTGCATCATCGTGAAAACTACAGACAAACCATTCTTCACTCACCTTGTGTACTTGTTTGGCTGCTCAATTGGTGATACTGATCTTGCTCTGGCCCTCATCCATCCTTATGATGTCGGTATTGGTGTTCGCCAAAGGCAGGATGTTGATTTGGGATTGTGGTGTGTACGAGCCAAACCTCGCTCATCATCTGAGATCATTTCTGTCTGGTCAATTATTTGAGGTGCTGCGCTTGCCAGAGATCCGGAAATGGATGGAGATCACTTGGCTATGCACACTATAGATGCGGAGATGTTCCTTCATGTCAAGTCTCTTCAAGCATAATTATATTTGTTTTACGGTTTTCAGTTTTCTGCCTTTGTCTTCCAATACTCGTCGTTGATCTCCTCATTCTTGGCTTGCAGCAAGCCAGTGAAATGGCGGGTCCTCCACAGATGCCTAACAACTTCTTGCAGTACCACGACTTGGCAACAGAGACTTGTCACCCTATCCGCTTGTACTCCCATTATGTTGATCGCTTGCACATCTTCAGCGTGCGGTTTCGAGGTCCGTATCTTGTCCAAGATTAGGACGATGGGTGGTGAACAGTTCTCATTGAAGGATGCCGTGTGAAATCTCACCAACGAGCAGACCAAAGAGAGAACTGCACAGGTGTTCCTCCATGTCTCTGATGACGGTGTCCAGCAATAACCGTATCCATCAGGTCCTTATGAGCTTTGGCTCTACCACTTTCTCAAAGATCATCAACAAGTGGAACACTGCATTGATCGGTTTGATGACCTACTACTGCGAGGCCGTCATCCACACAAATGAGCTCTTGGGCTCTCTTGTCAAAGGCAGAGAACAGTAACATGTAATACATATGCATTGTGCTGCGGTAATTAATGTGCATCTTTACTGTGTTTCTGTTCAGTCTCTCGCTTCTGTCTCACTTACTCATACCACATCAATGTTCAGATGCAACTAAGCAGGCTGTTTCATTATGGCACTTGACTTCGCAAACATATAAAATATCAGCAGCCTGAGATAGTTTTTGCTTGTCCTGCAAGTCATACTCTCAGGTCTCATCCACTTCACATACTCTGTCCTCCTATTGTTGACCGATGTCTGACAAATCTGATTTGGACTCGTCGAGATCCTCAGGTATTCATTCAAGCTCAGATGAGGACAACTATGACCATCCTGTAGCTCCACCAAATGAAGACACTTCCAAGGAACACTACCAAAAGGTAGGCTTCTGTTCATCTGCTGTTCTGTGTTCTAACATGTTCCACCTAGTATATTAAATACCTGCAACTTCAGCATGGCAAGCTTGAGCAGCGCAACGCAAGACTGAATGAGAGCAACAATGTCCTCAATGCGCAACAGCTTAAACGTTCTTGCAAGCGCCCTCTTAAAGTGACATCCTCCAATATGATATCATCAGCATCCCAACCATCTTCCGCAGGTCTATCTGCTGCACCTTCTACTGCGTCTGATTCATCTAAGCTCAATGACATCGAGAAGCTCATTCTTGGCTCAGTGAAGAAATACGCAATTACTACTGAAATGTTCCTTCCCAACAAAGCCATTTTCAAAACTGAATGTCCTGACCCTCCAACTGATATCTCGAATCCAAATCGTTATGCAAAAAAATCGACTGAGAAGGACAAACTTGTAACCGAGCTTTATGCATCCATTGATTTTGTGTTGCACCCTTGGATGCGAACAAACATCTTTTATAATCAGGTTCGTAATACCTTTGCATTGTTAAAATCAATCCGACTTATAAAACCTCACACAGTTTGGAACTGGAATGCAGCAAGCTCGGTCATCATTTATCAATGGGCTACGTTCCGTGGCAGGTAGCATCTTCAACATGCCGAATGAGTATTTCATGTCGAAATACGACTGTATTTCTGTCCTGCAGGTCACAGACTTGATCGGATGGGAAGCAGGCAAGGGGAAAGTGTATGACGTTTTCAAGGCACCAATACTCTACCCTGATAATGTCATCAATGTGAAGAGAGCATTCAAAAACTGGCTGGTGATTGCAAAGGTAAGAGCCAATCAAAAAGTATCCGCAATTGTTCATATTTTGTTTGGAAGATTATCAAGGTTGCGGTCTGCGGCAAAATGTCGTTATATCCAAAAGCATGTGGTGGCCCGCCTCCCTATGCCAAGATTTGGCAGCTAGCAAACTGCACTCCTGGCCTAATTGCATTTGGTGTCACATCGGTAAGGTTTCAGTACTTCAAATACACTCCGAGCAGGCACTTATTATGTTCGGTTCACCATCTTCATCCTGTCTCCCGATCAAGAATTCTCGGGAGATGGTGTTGGAGCCATATCATCAATCCCATATCACTCAGTCTTCTGAACTGTTAAGAAATTCTTTGTTGTCAAATGGACACATGATCGCATCAAAGATATCGTGCAGCAAATCAATACTTATGTCTTTGATGGCATTGTGAAGACACAGTTGAACAATACTCCAGGTACTATGGTAGAGGATGTTACTGATTCACTTGATTGTGTTATGGCCGCACTTGATGACGACAGTGACTCAGATGGTGCTTCGTTGTACGCTCAACCACATGTTCGAATCTAGACACGCCACAAATCTCCTGCAGTTCTTACCATTTCACTTCCCTCTGAACCTCCAGTACCCCAGACTTTCAACAGTTTCACAGCCCCGACCATTCACAATGATCCCGCAATGCCTTCTACATCGTCTATCTCAACTCGGAGTCTCCCCACTGCTGCGACGTCACACGCAGTTGCGTCAGTTGGGATCCAAAGTGTTCAAGAGATTCCCAAGGATTTCCTAGCTGATACTGGTACTAGTAATACCAAGGCGCAGAAGAAGGCAGCAAGGGGCAAGAGGACTAAGGTTCCTGTTGACGATGCTGATATTTGCCGTTCTTCCTGCAATGCTAGTACTGCAAAATGATCATTGTTGTTGAGTCTTCCTACTATGAATCTAGCCATCTTATGTATCAGTCGAGTTTTTTCAGTAGTAATCAATTTGTTGGCAACATATATGCCCTCTGAATCCCTCCTGCATTCACCCTCACCCGAGGATTGGTGCGCTAGGGCTGTATCAACATCTCTATTAAAATGTGACTTGATCATGTGATTGCAATGCTTACTAATGATGACATTAGCATAACGACTATTTTTTTTCCTCTTCTGAATCTGATTCTGACTTATAACACCCACTGGCATTAAATGTCGACGCTCAACACTTATTAGATTCCAGCCTGCTGGTCCATCAAATTATATCTGTGAGCTCTCGGGTCACAAACGACGTCCGAATCATCGGTGAACTAGTGTTCGAAAGTTCCCAGAGGAACAACTCTCTGTGGATGCCTGGACTGCTAGTCCTCATCAAATGCTTATTACTCTTAGACTCAGACTGTCAATTTCCGCCATGCACATCGAGCACCATCGCTTGCAACTCTTTCTCTGGTGGCTCGAAATTTGTAAGGAATGCTTGGTGAGCTCCACCCATCGACTTCTTCCTATGCTCATTCAATGACTTCTAGCTTCGCCCTTTCTTCTGGTACCACCAATAATTCTTCTACATCGTCCGCATTATTCTGATGTACCCACCATGTACATCATTGAGCACCATCGCTCATGACTCTTTCTCTGGTGGCTCGAATTTCCTAAGGAACGCTTGGTGAACTCCACCCATAGACTTTCTCTTCTGGCACCACCGATAATTTTTCTGCATCATCTGCATTTTTTATAGCAAACCTTGCGAAGATCCCAGCAATAGTGCATTTGCAGTCTTTTGATGTTTTACAAGTCTAAGGTTAATTGGAACGCAGTGTTGGAGTGTGGAGACAATCGAGGCCAGCCCACAGAAGACCAGGAACGAGGAGTCATGAGTAACATGGACGAGCATTTCGTTTTTGTTATAAATCTACTGTAATTTATGTGACGTTTATCAATAATAATTGACATTTGACACTCATTGGAATCTTGCTATGGTTTATTGGAATGCAAAATTTGTCATCAAGAAGAGTATTAAAACTGTGTTGGCATCATTAAAATCCGCATTAAGACCTGGGGTTTACCGTTAAAATGTGCATCAAGATAATGTGGATATCATTAAAATAAGCATTAAGACAGAGAGCTACCCATTAAAATGCATATTACGACTAGGTGGACGCCATTAAAATGTGCATTTTGATGTTCATTAAAATGGTGTGACAATCAATAAAATGCTGACTGTTATATCATAATGGGTTATAATTGGCATACATTGTTAGGCCATTTTAATGGATTAAAATGCCATACAAAAACTTCCAACAATATTCCTGATGCAAACCTGATGCTAACCCGACGCAACCCGATGCAAACCTGCTAACCCGAAACCTGAAAACATCAGACCCGACATTTTTGACATAGGACTCGTAATTATACCTTCGGACTTTGTTTCCCATGCTTCGGACTATCTCCCTTTTGTTATAACTGATTATTCTAATACCATACAGCAAACCCCTCGGGTTGAACACACTTGTCTCGCAAGTATAGCAGACTAGGCTGTGCATGACCACAACATTTTTATATTGCTGGCTACTTACTTCGTGTAGTGCCCACCAATTGTTGTATCTCTACAGCGGTCGGCACAAAGGTCGGAAGATAAGCTATTATATCGCCTGTTCTATTTATCAAATCTGAGTTCACAAGGAGAATATGTCAGATGGTGCACCTGAGCAGTCATAGCAGGGTACAAGGTCCCCAAAACTCAGCAGTGGACCCGGCCACATCAGTACCTGGTGCAGGGATTCAGTGAGTCTCAAAGGCCAGACAGAGATGGGACATACCTATAATCATGAGCTTCTCCAGCACATCTGGAACCATTAACAGAGCATATTGGTACCTGGTGCAGGGATTTGGTGAGTCTCAAGGGCCAGAGAGAGACAGCACATACCCATAATCATGAATGGAGCACTCATGAGCTTCTCCAGCGCACCTGTAACCATTAATGGTACCTGGTGTGGGGATTTGGTGAGTCGAGGGCCAGACAGAGACGACACATACCCATAATCATGAATCGAGCGCTCATGAGCTTCTCCAGCGCACCTGAACTTGGCAGCACATTTAGGAGCCTACAAATAAGAACCAGGTCATCCGTGGCCTCAACATAGTGCGCTCAGACGATGAAGAAAAGGTGAGCATGCCTTCGAGAACTTCATACTAACAACACTCACTGATCTACACAACCAGCGAGACCCATGACTCATCTTGTCCGGCGCTGCCCAATTTTTGTCTGGCCAGTGAGTCTTGGATGCCGATTGTGATTGCCAGTGGTCCAGGTCCAGATAGAGTGCAATTGGCAATCGAGCCCATGACAAGGAAGGCAGCGCTATGGCTGAGTCATCACACATCACATGTCATGTTTGCAGTGTTTTATCTCTATGTCAAACACGTAGGTGACACTATGATAGTGTTTCTTTCCAGTGTAAGCCACTCACTCAGGTAATTTTGTGTTCCCAGTCAAGTACCTGGATGGCATCAATACTGATTACTACTACATGTTGCTCCAGAAGAGTCTATGTACATCAAATGAGACTTAACTACTATCAAGCACCGAGCAACATCACATGCCATGGTTTTCAACCATGTTACAGACCTCAATAAGGATTGCGTTTTGGGTACCGATGGCCGCCTCAATTCTACTCACAGCTTCTAACACACCCACAATTTCATCAATTAGGTACCCAAATTTCCTTTTGAGTCTGTCATGTTTCCATGATACTTTCTTCCCTGGATTGGTACCGCCCTGGGGCAAATTGTCCAGAGCCTCCATATGATGGTAAGTGCATGATTTGAAAAATAAAGCTAGGCATACTCACATTATTCAACTCGTACTGTGACCTTTTTCGCTTGAGACACAGCTGCAGCTTATTGGTGTCCTTTACGTAGTCATTCTGAAGTTGGAAAACTCCTTTCTGCAGTCTGGAAACCAATCTGTGAAATGCTCCAGGTATGTGGACAAATGATTCAAAGTTGAAAATCTTACCATAAGCATAACACCCACAGAAATATACTGGACCACTTTGCCCGTGTGACTGACCTGGGCCAGGGCAGGAGTCCTTGTGACTTTGCAGAGTGGAGCTCCTTGAGCGATGAACACCCTTGCTTGCTCTATGAGCTCCAAACGTAGTATTGATCAAGATCACCTCAGCTCCATCATTAAAGTCAGAGGGCCAAGAGTCAGCACTAGTACTGGATTCTGTGTTGGACATCTTTGCTGGTTCCTCCTTCAAGTTGAGTGATGGTATTTAAATTCAAATCGCTCTACATTTCAAACTTACACAAAAATGACCTTGGTCTGATACAGAAATTTCTTTCAATTCTTCTTGACCCTGCATTCCAGCATACCAATCTCTCGGTTACCAGAAACCAGGTTCCTAAGATCCCATTCGCAAGCATATGAACTCAATGTTGAAAACCGGTAACATTAGACGTGGATGGCCCGAATGGGAGGACGTCCATCATGCAAAAAGGGGATGGACCAGGGTTGAGTTCTGGCTGAAAAAATATTTGCAGCTCCTTCCAGGTCACTCGGGCCGCTTGAAATGATCTGGCTGGCATGCTCAAAGGAGTGACAAGCTTCCTGTTACCCTTCCGAAGTACTTCAGCTCCCAAATGTTGACAAGAACAAGGTACATGTAGTGTAATATAATAACATAATGACAAATAAGCACTCCATTTTCCAGATGCAACACAGTTCAAGTAGGGAACAACAGGAGGGTCTTGGGGAGGTCATGCGCTGGCACAGGGGTCCGAGTCAGTGCAAGGTTGCAAGGTTTTGAGGCAGCGCCAAGTGAGCCTAGGGATTAGCATGGGTATCCTCAACCCACATGGGTCGTGGGTGTGGGTATCTCTGGGGTATGGGTGGGGGTCTGTACTTTGGGTACCCATACCCCTACCCATACCCTGGTGGTGGGTATGTAAGCAAACATGACTTATTTTGAAACTTAGTAACACATATTAGACATGAACCTTAAACTCTAAACCTATGGGAATATATCCCCAGATTGATTACCATAGGAGTGATGGATAAGTATAAAATTTTGAAGTTGTACATTTGCCTTTAAATGGTGATATATGTGATTGTAAAAAGTGTTACCCTGGGGTATACCCACCATGGGTGTGGGTAGGGGTATCTATCTCTGGTACCCTTTGAAAAACCCACACCCACATGGTGGGTGGGGGTATATTGGTGGGTAAGGGTAAGGGTATCACCTCAGATACCCCAGGTTATACCCACGCTAATCCCTAAGTGAGCCTAACGTGAGACATGGAAGGGCGCAGGCTGGAGGTTAGGTGTGGTACTAGGAGGCTGTAGTCCAGGCACAGTGGACAGTAGTCACAACCTGAGATGGCAAGGTGCCTAACCTTATTACATGAGCAGAAATTTCCCTACACTGGAAGCATGGATGACTTTTTCGCAGTGAAAAATGTTGAAAAGATCCTAAAAAAGGTTAAAATAAATTTCACCGTTTTGTGACACCCAAAATGTTAGATAAAATTTAGGCTTTTTTTCCACTTCTCCATGATGAAAAATATTGATCTCAGTTAAATATTGTGTTAGCTTTCATTCACAATATTGCAGCAATAGATACTTGAACAATTCAAACAATTTTTCTGCAGCCAAAACCTAGATAAACTTTTGACTTTGTACCCTGACATAAACAAACTTTTTCATGACTTTTATCATCATTTGTCCTGACACAAAAGTTGGTATTTTTGTTACCCTTTTCCCAATGTTTTTGTTACCAAAATATCTTGGTCAAATTTTGACTTTCATGTGAGACAATATTTAAAATAGTGATCAAACTTAGATTATCCTTTGTTCCCTCACCAAAGTCTACCTTTGTTCAAGATTTGAATAGACTGTTTATGGCACTAATATTTTAAAATTTCCAGCAATAAATCTATTAAATTTGTAGTTTCACCTACTTTAAGTTCAGAGCATATCAAAAGTGTGTTGGTATTTACAATGTGGTCAGCACCAGAATTTTGTCTCAGTACATCAATTGAATGTTGCTTGTATTTAAACTTCACTCATCAGAAAAATTGTAATCATATTTAAAATAATGTTCCTAGTACAACACCTAGTCCAAATGTCAAAGTGGTGTGGATTCCAATCTAAACAGAGGTCATTTTGATCCTCATTTAGACCCGATGATCAATCAGGTACATGGAAACTAGCTATAGAGACAGGTTGGATATCTCAGATGAGTTCCAGATATTCCAGGATCAAAATATTTATGGACATCTCAATCCCAGGATATCCATCCAAATGAGTGTGGCAATCCAACTGGCATCTACTATTAATTTGAACATGGATGTTAATTCAAGTGGCTGGATGCCAATGCATACATATTCCTGACAGATGCTGTCCACTGTAACATGTGTTCTTGGCATTCATATTGGCAGGATCACAGCGGCATCAAGCCAAATAGGCGAAGATGAGAATATCCAAGCACCATCAACACCAAGCAGATCTAGACTGTTCGATTGCTTACCCGGAGAAGATGCTGTAGGGGTTGTTCCTAACGTCTTCCACATCTGCAGCATAGGTGCATACTCCGCTGTTAACGATCTCGGGACTGTACAAACAGCTCAGGTCTGCCTTCTGACGCAGCAAAACTTAACCTTACTCTGAACAGGGTGTGCACCGATTGCCTACTGGTACATTGTTCGAGCACCATCAATTTTGACGTACAAAGGGTATGGCCTGTGGTGCTCAAGTGCAGATTCTGCGCTTGTCTTACCGAAGCTATGTTCGTAGTCTATGAGGTATGGATATGCATTCATCTTGACCCAGAAACACAGCAGCTTTGTACAGGCCTCCCAATCTTATCTTGGGGCGCCAGAAATTCATCTGTCCTCGCCTCAGGCGTGAAGTTGAGAAGGTGCAGAAGCCAGAGTAGAGTACTCCTGTGCCAGAGATGCGATGACCTCCTTCAAGGTAGATAACTAAAATGAAATTGGAGCTCAAGATAAGAGCTCCAATAATCACATGCATACATTTCAAATTTCAAGGACACGGTGGGTGTGAGATGGGGGTCCGTTTGCAGTCGACATTGTGCCCCGCCAGTACTAGGACAAGCACGAAGTAGTTAGTCCCATTGACAAGGCTCTGATGTGTCCTTTTGCAACACCAGAGAGTAAATTTGAACCAATCGAAGAGTATCGCAAGCTGTTGATTCACGAGTCAGCCTTGCATGGGCAGTACACTCAAAAAATTGGGCATTTCACTTATGGCATTTTGAAGCATTAACAGGTCTTCTAGTACTTCAAAACAACCTCAATGTGGCTTAGGATAATCAGGGCAGCACCAATGGATCTGCAGTCGGTGGATCGAGATTGATTCCATGATGTTCTGTTCCTTCCGATCCTTGAAGACATGTGTCACAGGTATCAGCGTGTTGTTTGGATGTGAATGTCGTCTCTACCGAAAATGAGAATTGAATTTGCTGCAAGTCAGTAGTGAGTTGGGATCAAAGTACATAGATACATAGAAAAAGACTCAAATAGTGCTAGTTTGCCTTCACAGCCTAATGGTGGAAAGACGATCGTTCCTCCTGCAAGTTCGCTTGATTCAATTGGCCATCATCATGGGTGTCTAAGGATGAGGGATGATGTTAACTTTGTCGCTCATACACACTGGCAGCAGTGCCTCAACTCGATGGCGCAAGGCTTAGCATGGATGCTGAACTTTAGTCTTCAGTGTTCACCTGAGCCATTGATTTGAAGACAATACTCACCAGCAAGATATGGTAGTCTGAGTCCTATACGAGTGGAAACCCAAACTAATGGTCTTCGAGCTCTATATACCGTGTGCTGAAGGAGAAGAGACCCGAAGTTGACATTTATGATATGGCAGCCCAAGCCACTAGCTGCTATGTAGTTGGAGGCGACACAATTATGTAATCTTGACCAAGCGACACGGTGTAAGACCAGCTGTTGGCTATTAATGAAGACCAGCAATTATAGTGGATTTGGGTTCAAACACCCGCTCAGACTTGCTCTAGCCGACACACATTAAGTGGTTGGACTGGTCTCCTGGCTCGGGGATCTGACAGAGGTCCAGATTTGATAAGCTGCAGGTGCACCAAGCTGGAAAGTCTTTGGATGCAACGGAGAAATACACAGGAATAGATCGTATGTTTATATCTTATTTGATTCTCAGAATTTGCTTGAATGATCTCTACCACATGCGATCTCACATGATGCATAGCTCTAGTATCTACTAGCTATAGCACCTGTATGACCTGCGCTGAGATTCTGTTATAACCGTCGGAGGCGAGTCATCTTCACCATAGCAGAACTAGCATGTCACAGGGCTGTTCGAGTGTGTTTACAGTTACTTATCACTTCATTGTGTCAGTTTATATCATTGGCCGCCCGACTCGTTCCGCGTTATCATACATGTAGTCAAGATGATGCTGCGGATGCTTAGTTTACGAATGTGTCAAAAGGAGCAGCAAAGTTCTTAGGACTTTCGCACCTGAAGCCAAGCTCACTAGGACATAGTCAGCAGACATCTCTATTCAATCACGTGTGCTGGCTTCTTGGGACGACAGAGCCATGCAACCAGTATTGACAACACTACAGACTAGAGTCTGTGAGCTTCCACAATGTTTCCAAACAAGGCGTCGATTAACTCGTCTCTTTTCTCTTACTTCACGACTCGCATTTCTATCGCAATTGTGACTACATTATTAAGCATTCTCGAATGTCATTAGGGACCATGAACTCCTCAAGTGACCATGCCTTGATGAAGGCTAAACACGAGGAAGAGTATGAGGTAAAGGTGAGGTGAAGCGGGCGTATATTTGTCGATTCATCCAAGGGAGGTTTGCTGATGTTGAGACATGTCATGAGTGAGTGATACAGGAAACCAACAGTATTTCTTACCGAAGCAACATTCGTAGTCTTGTACTGCAGTGGGGGCCAACAGCTCGGGGTGTCCCTGTAATATATGTGTCATAAGATCTACATGGAAAATACATAGAGAGCTACCATTGTAACCAAATGCATGGGATTGAAAAGTGAGGACTTTGTTAGGGATGATGTCATCCACAACAGGATAGTGAGTTGCAGCCATAAATATATCGTTGCAGGCATTCAAAGTCAGGTTAAAATCATAAAAAGCGAGCTTGGCTGGGTCCCAAAGGAGGTCCAGGATACCCTCACGAATGCCGGTAGTGACCTGGAGATGGTTGCTTGACGCAGTCGCATTCAACATGCTGTAAAGCTCAGCAAGAGGCAATTTGGCCTTGTCTGTCATCCCAAAGTTCCCATCAACTAAAACGCACAACCACAAATTGACATACACAGAATACTGTTAAGACAGATTGAGATGTTGTTCTTCACATTGAACAAGCGCAGGCCAGGGTTGCCAAGGTGAGGGATAGCCTCAACACATGAACTGTAATCCCATCTAGTCTCAGCACCAGATGCAAGCTCACTGTAAAGCTCAGCACCCTGACCATCCATAAGGGGGCGTAGCAAGAGTTGGGTCATGAGCAGTCAGATAATCTAAATATTAGATATTGGCACATTGAGAAAAAAAGTAGGAGACTTGAATTTGCCAGAATAACCCACATGTGAGATATGATTCAGGTCGAGGAGCAGTGTTGGTGACTGCGTAGTGCGCCATCATGTAGGTCCAGTTGGTGTACGGGCTTGTAACTCTAATTGTACAATTATTTGCTGGCCAGGCAAGCTCAGCTTGTACAGATAATCAGAATCCGTACTCTACAAACAGAGTAGACTACTGACATCAGCCAAAGGAAGGGCACATTGTAGAATCGGAGTATCTCCAGTCACATCAACATAGTCATACACCATCTGTATCACGATTTGATGTCATGATCACATTGAAGAAATCTAAATCTCAGCAGAACGCGCATGGATAAAGAGAGGTGGTTGTGACCGGTTTAAAGCTATATCACCAACAATGAGATGCACCGACTCATTCAGGACAGTCTACTCACAATAGATATGACCACCGTTCAGAATGAAACTGAAGTCCTCGATCTCATCCATGAATTTTTGCAAAGTGGCATTGACACATCAGGAAAACATGATTTTACTATTTTTGGTTTTATTTGACTCTATGTACAAATGGTACCACTATGTACACTAATGGAATATAATTGAATATAGATGTCATATAGAAGCTTTTTTTACACTTGGTGTAGGTGAAAAGAACTAATATAGTCACCAATAGCATGTACTACCATAGGGTTTGATACACATACTTACTAGACCAATTGTAAAGCAAAAAAGTGGGGCATGCATTAAGTACACTGTTAGATCTCCACTGCTCAGTCCATCCTACACCAGCTCCCAAGTGTGGTATAAGCTGACAAGACTGTCGTATAGTAGAGAGAGGGACAATATCACCAGGCAAATGTCCAGTAGTGTCCAAAGGGAGAGGCTTGGTAACTGAGTACATGTTGTGATGGGCGCCAGGTGAATGTGACACAGTTAGCCACTCTACATATGCAAAATGGTGCTTTGGCCAGACTGCAGGAGCTTCATTATAAAGGCCGATTACTTCTGAAAGGCAGAATATAAGCCTCAGCCTACCAACTTTCATTCCTAAATACAATAAAGAAATGCTGAGCTTTAGAGCTGTCAAGTATTAGAAACATATGGAGGCACACCATGAAGTCCAGTAGACTCAGCCCCATCCTTGTGAGCAACCACCACCACATCAAACCTCCCTGGACTCTCTCCTCTACCTGGTTGCGCCCTGACTAAATCTATACCTTTCTGGCCATCTATGTCGTTCCCAAGAGTATCTAGTGAGAATTTAAAAGAATACCAAACATCTAGCTGATCAAAAGGAAGAAAAGCATTGCCAAGTTGAGTACAATGTATAGAATCTCCTCTAGTAAGAAATTTGTTGAGGAAAATGCGCAAGTGATATGAAAAAGAGGGACAACCATGCTTGTTTTGGATGTTGGAAAGGGTCTGGGAGGGAGCAGCTGGTCTCTTGGCTGTCACTACCCCAACGTCCTGGTTTCTTCCATCCGCAGCTTCATTGACCTCCTCTTCCCTCTCCTCCTCTGATTGATAGTGAGAGATGTAGCTCTGGAACATGACTATTTTCTCCTGGCAACTCGGCCACTGAGTCATCTGAGGAAGCTTTTTGCAAAAGTTGGATGCTCTCCATGCTTCCTTGGCGTAGTCTATATGAAATTGTTCGAACATTTCAGTATTATAATTATCCGTAGTTCTGAAATTACGTATGCACTCCTCGTAGTGCAGCATGGAGTGAAACTTTGGTATGTTGAAGTTATTGCGTATTCCAAGATCCTGCAGGATGTCCTTGTTTGCATGAAATTCATCCAGGGTGTCGGTGAGATACTGGAGGGTAGAGTCATCATGTGTGGGATACTGGGCCACATAGATAAAGTCTAGTAGAGCTCTATAGCAGACTATCACCTGAAACGCACAGGAAAATTAGTGAATAGCATCATCACCCCAACGTGTCATATAAGGTAGATGTAGGACTCAAGGAAGGTGAAGCTAACTTACCTGGGAACGAGCCTTGCCCATGGTGCATCCAAGAAGGATGCGTGCCATATCTTTCCTCTCCTTTCCTGACACCTGTGATAGCTGAGACCAGCCATTCTTGAAGTGTCATACACCAAAACAAGGCAGAAGTGATCTTATGCGATGGTCCAACTCTGCAGTCATCATTAAACTGGTGCACCAGTGTTCCAGGTGCTTGACAACTCCCTGGTACAGCTGATGAAGAATATCTGAGGTGATACCCATGTGGATATCGCAATGAGGGAAGTCCTCCCAAAAAGGATGACGAACTCCTCCTGATATGTTGTCCGCTTTGCATAGTTCTTGAAAGTTGCTGATAGAGGTTGCTGTGTGCGAGGAATGATAGCTAGATGAGAAGGGGTGAAATGGGAAGAAAGGGGGAAGTGGGGTAAAAACTCAAATAGACCTCTGGACGCGAGTATAGATTCGGCCCGAGGGGATTGCTACTGAGAATGATTCCTCTAAGTAAAAGTGTGAGGGGAAACGTAGAAACTAATAAGGGTAACTGAGACTAAACGAATACGCGAAAGCCGAAAGCTGATGCCGATGCGATGCGAGCACGAGCGAGCCACTGAAAATGCGATGCGATATACGCTTAGACGAAGCGCTAATAAGACGCGATGCAATGCGATACGATGCGAGCATGAGCGGCCGCGATATGATGAAACACGAAAACGCGCGGTTTAGTCGAAGGTGAGTTGCGAGGAGGTGCTGAGGGCACGAGGGCGGAGCTGAGCAATGATGAGTGCCGAGAGTGTTTGGATGTTATAGATACGTGAGCGCAAGGCAATTGCCGCCAATAGAAATGTGCACGCGAGAGAGTACCGAAGATTTTAGACTTTTAGTCACGGCTTATAGCTTTTGCGTGCAAACGGGTGATAAATTCTGATGGGAGAGAGAAGGTACATGGAAATTCTAAGTATCTGATATATGTATGTGCGCATAAGCGATATTCGGATCCGAGTAGGTAGTGAGATGTATGTAAGTAGGGCCCATGACACATTTAATGAAAATATAAATGGAATAGCTTGGGAAACATTGTTAGCTTAGTGGGAATCAAGTAATATACGCACCAATGAACCAGTGGAGGATATGGATAGGATGGACAGAGGACGTGCGACGGATCTGAAGAGAAGCCGACGCTAGCCGAAGCGGGCGCGCGAGCCGCGGCTGTTGGCCAATGATATAAGATATGCGTGCTATACCAATGGTAGCGCATACTACAATTAGAACCAGAGGGATAACACAAAAAGGCCTATATGAGGCCGCAAAGACCATAGGTCTTACATCGCCTTCTCCCTAGCAATACGTCTGAGCTTTGAAGTCCTGTGTTGAGTCCTCCAGCCTGCTGCTTCTCTCTCACCCATCTCATTGTCATTTACTTGGCACTTTGGACATGTCCCATACTTGGCGCATGTTACCAGACACTGTTCTGGATAATCTGCGACATAGCAAGCCAAGATGGGGTACATTATCTGCACCTTGCCATCCCCCCCAGTCACCTCCATCCCTTTCTTTCCTGCCTCTATCAGTGGCTCCAGGACAATTCACATTGAGTCATGGAACAGTTGTTGAATCCTTGTTGACTTCTGCTTCTTAGTGAGCTGCTTGCCTACCATCTTGCTGACGGACAGATAGGCTATGAGTATGCAAGCTTGTTGCAATGGTTTGTGATGGATAGCTCGTGGGAGGTTCCCAAGAGTCAGATACACAGGATATGCAGTGTTGCCACCCGTAAACTGCATGAGTTGAGTCTTATCTGTGGCTACGATTACAGGAGCAACGCATGCTCCAGATAGTAGCCTGTCCTGGAGAGAAAACTAAAGTAAGCATTTAGAATGTGTAGTGAACTCGTTACTCACCTGTACCATATTCCACCAGTCCCCAGTCCACATCTCATTATATATCCTCTCACTCTGAGATGCGTCACTAAATATTTTCTTCAGCCTATAGACCACATGTTCAGCATGCACCGGATTACCCAGTAATGTCTTGATAGCCTCCAGGGGATCACGGTGATAGACTATGTGCTTATCCTCCAGGTCATTCTTGAACCATAGCTCTCACTTCTTCCATGTAGCACAAGGAGGTACTTCATCAATGATCTTGTGTAAGCCGCGTATGTTCTGGTACGACAGACCAAGCTTCTCAGCAACCTGTCATAGAAAGTCAGTAAGATGAACTCAATACCATAACAAACAGCACGCACTCCAGGTATGGCCATAAGTCTGTCAAAAGACTTGTGCCCTATGCCATCCCGAATCGCCCAGCAGGCTACCCTCCAGTCCAGCTCAGAAGCAAAAGGTGCGAACCTATTGACTGCAGCTGATGATCCCTCTCCGAGTCCAACATCCTCCATAGACACATCTCCTTCCTCATCAGTTCCAGAAAACTCCCTCCTCCACCTCTGGTGTACTGTTTCATCCATATGTGTAACTCGTCCAGCTGTGTGGTGGGGGACTTCAATTCTCAGGTCGATATTTTCATCAGGATTGTGTCTGTGATGTTGTAGGTCAGGAGCATGGGATGGTATAGGAACAAGATCGAAGAGACGATCTTGGAAATCCTGCATGACCTGTGTGGGATCGGCTGTGTCAATTGTCTCATCCCCTTGGGAAAGAAGTGGTTCATCCCCTTCAGCAGGAAGCGGTTCATCCACTTCTCCCATCTCTACCTCATCATCCACACCGAATTGTCCTGGAAGGGTCAATGCCCTCATCTTACCCTTCTTGTACCATTGACAGGACCTAGCGGTGGAAAGGTGAGCTGCAACTCCTTGTGAAGAGCCTAACTGTTTATGACAAGCAGGGCAGATTGATGGATCATCATCATGTCTATGAACACATTCAATGTTGACATTCAGAGCATGGAGTGCAGAGCAGAACACAGTCATAGCCAAAACGATCAGGTGGAAGTGAGATAAGAAATGGACGCGTCTTGTGAGTGTGCACCAGATCATTGATATCCTAAAAATGAATCATGTCCAAAGATGGAAATGTGTCGGGTGTCTTGTTCCAGGCCTTGTACTGACCCTTTCCTCACTGTTACAGACAATGACAAACTAGCATACACATTGTTACAACAAAAACACATAAATGGTGTAATCTATGAATAGTCAACATATCACTCCCAAAAAGCACAGCTCAAATTGACCTTAATCAAGACCTGCGACAACATTTGTTCTCATTCTCAGTGTTGGACACTCGAGTGACTCCAGACCACCCAGACCCAGTGTTACGCTGACCATCGGTCGGCATGTGCAAACTAGGATAGGTCTTCTCAGTGACGACTCGAGTGAGTCTACTGAAGCTGAGGGTGGTTCTCGGCTTGACGGAATGTCAAGGATTCCTCCGGTGATCTCGGTAAGACGGCGCTCGTCAAGATACAGGGCTAGCGGATACGGCTAAGAAGCGGGGAGCAACTTAGAAGTGCGGTCTTAGGCAGCTGAGCTGGGAGGCTTAGCTGAACAAGTTCTGGGATGAACCTAGTAGATTAAAGTAAAGTCTAAGTACAATAATCTGTCTACTTATATGTGCTACATGTAAGTATTCTAGCTCAGTCTGTAATCTATAATATATCTAGGATCTATGATAACAAGACATGAGGTTCAGATAAGTACATGAGGCTTAACCTCTGATCAAGCATGCAGCGCCAAGTGCGACTGCGCATAGGTGCATGAGGCGCCAAGGGTGCTCCGGATCTTCATGAAGCGACATGCTATATACATGCACTGATCTAGGGTGACCATGAGGCGTACAGCCTCCATGGATTAGGTACAAGGCCGTCTAGGCCAGGGGTGGGTCATAGCACCAGGGGCGGCGTCACAGCGGTCCAGACCGCTGTCTTTCTAAGTGCAGGCGGCGTGCCGCCGCGTCAGGAGTCTAGCAGAGCGGGGGCTAGTGTAGGCAGAGCAGGGGCTCCTGTAGGTGTTACGGATGCCTGTAACACCCAGACCCAGAAGTATGACCCCCTGTCAATGTACTGCCAACCGAAGGGTCTGTGGAAACATGAGAAGTCCCAGACAGCCCTCCAGACCAATGTGCTGAGTGTGCAGACCGATGCGGTGACTGATGCGGTGATAGCACAGGTGCAGTAGGTGCTGCCCTGCCCCGCTGCGACCCACTCCCAGTGCCCATGCCCACGTGTCCACTGCAGCGCCTGCTAGAAGTGCGCGTTTTAGATGAAGTAGGTGGTTGCATCTGAGGCCCTGGGACATTGAAGTTGGGCATGTAAGGGATAAAAATCAATGGCTCAGAAGTCGATGAAGAAGGTGCAGCCTGCGAAGGGTTTGATGATGGCGGTGGTAATTCCTGACAAGATCCTGAAAGGTATTCAGCCGGATAAACGCTGACAGGTTGGAACTGTCGGATCTTCAATGTCTGCACATTTACCAGCTGATTGATGGAGGCGGTGTAGGACTTGTAGTCCTTGTAGCCTCGTAGAGGCTATTTTTGCAGTGTCCCTCAGGTCCTACCGCAGCGCGCGCTATCACTACCACGGCGCACATCCTTCCTATCGTCGGCCGATGGCCGTGGCTCACGCGCATGCTTCGGTTCGCATCCGCTTTTTGTCAGTTCCGTCATGTGTCCTTCCTCTGTCCTATCCATGTCCTCCGCTTGTCCATTGGTGCGTATTTTATCTCATTCACGTTAGACTGATTATAATTGTGAAGGTGATATCGTGTATATCTCGTTACTTGCATTATAGACCCTTAATATGTATTACTGTTATCTTCTTGGCTCCAAACAGCGCTACGTGCGCTATCATATATACCTTAGACTTATGATTTTTCATGTATCTTCTTTCCCACTATCAAAATTATCATCTGTTTGCATGCAATACTCAGACTCTAAGTCCAAAACCTTCAGCCAACTACATCGTGCGCTATATTAACGGTCATGCTATCGTTCACGCATCGCTCATCGCATCTATTGTCAGAACTTTCTTCCCTCATTATTGTTGCATCGCATCTCCTTCGCATCTCCGCTAGTCGTGCGTTCATATAAACCATCGGCTTTTCCCCCGCGTCTCCACACTCCATCAAACTTTCAGCCGTTCGGTCGCACATCGTATCGTGCCTTTGGTGGTTCGCTCACGCCCGCATCGCTTCAAGCACAACATCGCGCGCTCTTCCACTCTCAGTTACTCTTACCAGTTTTTAAGTTTCCCCTCCATATTTTACTTAGAGGAATCGTTCTCAGTAGCAATCCCCTTGGGCCGAATATATACTCGCATCCAGAGGTCTATTTGAGTTTTACCCCACTTCACCCTTGTCTCCCCCTTTCACCCCTTCTCATCTAGCTATCATTCCTCACACACAGCGGAATACCTCTCCCAAGCATCCAAGACCACCTCCTGGCTTGGTGCACCATCAACAGCAGCTGGTATGGCAGCTATCATCTCTCTTATCACGGCGATGAGCCATGCATGGGTCAATTTTGTGCGCTTCTCCTCCACAGCCCTGCCATCTTTGTCTGTCGGCCACAGCAGGTTGTACAACTTGATCCAGCCATCACAAAGTGTGCCAACCTTCCAATATGGTTGAAGCGCTCCCATGAAATCCGAGGAATCCAGACATAGTTTGTCCATCTTCACAGTCTCTGTCATAAGGTCGTAGGTACCCACTTTTGCCCATGCTGGGACTTTCCTTTGACGAATCCAAAACTCTTTGTCTTCCTCACGCTTGGGAAGAACACGTGTCGTTCCAACCTGTGTAACACCTGTGGAAGGAGGGAAGCGCTTCTCATTGATAGAAGCACAGCCAAATTTCTCGGCAGTGAGCCTGTCTGCCTCCGACATAGACACTGCATTGTTGGGGATGGGTCTTCACTTCTCGACAGGAGGAGGCCAATGTTGGACGTCATTGTAGGGACCCTTGAAGTTTACCCCAATGAGCCATATAAGGTAGATGTAGGCCTCGAGGTCGTGTGTGACACTAGGAGCCTCATTTTCCGCACTGGTGCCAAAAGGGAATGTTCCCTGAGAAAGTGAGTTTACAAAGAAAAAATAGTGGGGTGAGGACACACAGTGGTAACAACTCCATTGGCAGCGCTCTTACTCTCCAACATGTCAAGCGCTAAGCCAAAATCACCAGCCACCCCAGGACGCCTAGGAAACCACTCTGGGTTGACCGCCGCTATTCTGAAGTGCGTTTTGCCATCTTGTTCTTTTATCCACTCAGGAACTGCAAACCGCTCGTCAATTTGAGGAATCCACATCCAAACATTGCTGTCACTGGTGTCTCGGTGTATAATCCCACGCCTGTAAGCTTCAAGATGACCTGGAAAGATTGATCAGTGAGGCAGACTCAGTGGCAAACATATACACTTGCCTAGCAGTGCTCCTAGTATACAATGTAGAAGTTCCCGGCGACACGAGAACCAAGTGCATTTCATGGCAGGGGTGCGAAAAAAGTGCGAAGGTGGACCAAGGGGTCAACTGTGCCAGCCATTCACCACAAGATAGATACCGTGGTGTCTGGGAGCGATTCACCGCTCTTGGGGTCTGTGAATATGACAGGATCCAAGGAGAACTGTTTGTCACATATGGGAAGGTGCAGGGGATACTTGTCGTAGATATCAGCATCCCATCCGGGTGATGCGCTCCAGAGTGTGTACAACGATTTCGTAAGCTCGACTTCATGAGCAGTTTCCTCTATAGTGTCAGGGACATCTAATGACTCATTGAGATCAATATGTGATTATAGGTCTTTGCTCTGCACTCACCGTTCTTCAATTTAGCCTTATCAACGTGTTCACTATCCTCCAGCAACTGGTGAATTTTGGCATCTGAGTAAAGGTTTACATTCTGCCACACGTCTTTGCAAATCAGGTGCTCGACTTGGGGAATTGAATGTTGTGAACTGGGGGGTGCAGGGGGGATGTAAGAAATTCCCATGACCCTGGTAGATCATCCAATGCCGGATTGGCTGTTGTAGATGACTGATACAATCATAGCGGCCAGTTCTTCTGTGTCTGACTCAGCTGCCGGCCACCTCATTTCTATGCCGCCCCCGGGCTTTTCCAAGATGGACATATTGTAACCCAAAAGTTCCAAATCTGCGTACTTGAACCAAGCGATGATCTTCAAGTACTTCTCAATGTCCCGATAGATGTCAATGGGCTCGGTGATGCTCGATCCTCCACGGGTGTGCACGCAGATGGAGAGATTAGAACCCAACAAGGTTAAACCCATGAAGTATTGTCGATTGATTTGGTTGGTCAGAACAAGACATGCAATTTCGCCCATGTAGTTGATCGTATTGCTGTTGAGCTTCGAATTATTGTGGTACTTGATTTCCATCATGGAGATGAAGTTGGCCCACTGAAAGGTGTCCGTGTGAGGTGCCTGCTTCATCAGGACAGCATCAGACTTGCGAGACCCGGACCCATGGCAAGATGTGACGTTGCCACCACTCAAGGGGAAGACAAGTGTGGTGCTAGTGTCGCGCCACTCCTGTGCATCCTTACTGAGTGTTTCGACCATATCATAGCCCTGAACCTCAACGATCATCTTATCCATGGCAACACCGGTCTATGAGACATGCATGAATATCAAGTCAAGCTACAGGATCGGATATTACAAACATTGTTACAAAATTTGACCACATCTTTCTCCCTAAGCTTGTCACCCCCAAGCAAAGCAGGGCAGTATCCGGTTTCCCACCAACTCATCATACCTCCTTGCAGCGACAGCTTATCAAATTCACAACCATTGTTTCTGGAGTAGAGACGACATTCAACAACCTGTCAAAGTAGTAGTTTGCATCAATGGGTTGTGAACTTATTGCCAATGGTAGGTACATACCTCATCATACCACTTTGTTGTCACCACTTGAGTGTCATCTTCGGGGATGTCGTGATGCTCAACAAGGTAATTCACCACAAACTTCTTCCCCTCCTCGACGTTGGCACGAGTTTCCTCGCACAGAGTTTGGTGCCCCTGTCATGCATAATATGAGCTATGTCCCTCAGGTCGGTGTCCGATAGCCTGGCCACAGTACTGCTGACAAGTGCCTCCCTAAGTGCGGAAAACGAATCGTGATACTGGCGCTCCTTGATGAAGGTCAGCTTCGTTTGGTTTATGATATCGTCATTGAGGAATTTGGGATTGGAAAATGGACCATGCAACAGGAGACACAAATCCCAAGGACATCTGTGAGCCCCGTAGCGGCCGAACTGCAGCATGATAGGGTCGGAGACTCGGGGATATATGAAGTTTGTGGCTCCATATCCCCAAATGGAGTTGTGCTGGTGAGCAGAATGTCAGTTACACTGCTAGAAAGATCATAATTTTGGGGCCTACATGATGATAAACTCGATTTTGAATCATCTCTTGGAGGTGGGGTTGGTTGGGCTTGTAAAGAAAAGAAATTTCCCATGCGTGAGTTGCATCACCGCAGTTGAGCTGTTACTCACCATGTTCTACATGTTGTATGCTGTGAAGTTGCAGTGGATTGTACGAAACTTTGCTGATCCGATGGAAAGCTTCAAGTGGGAGGACATAGCCTTGCGCACTTAGCAGCCATCATTTCAGCTGGCACTGATCTCATCGATTGCAAAGATAGATTTCGATTTCGATCAGCGCAGACCAGGTTAGGAAGACTAGCTGGCAAAGACACTGAGCTATGTTGAACTTGGGAATGCATGGTAGAAGCAATCCATGCTACAAGTGTGGGAATTTTGCGCTGGCTGGGGGTGCAAAGGCGCTACAAGGTCTAGAATTCCCAAATTTGGGAACTCCCGCTCAACGTCTACAGCATCCACCCAAAACCCGCCTTTGTAACACAACATCTCCCATGACATTTCCACTGACCAAAGAGGATGTCAATCTCATTGTGAATGCCCTGCAACTGATAAGTAATGATGAGGCCTCCCTGTTGAAGGACCGGCTGTTATCGCATTACTCTTCCTATTTTCCTGCTCACAGATTTGAAGAAGAAGTTCAAGACAGGCAATCACCTATAGATTAGGTGAGTTCTTTTTCAATTTGTAATTTGTAAAAATGGCTGTCACCCATTTACAGCTCCACCTTGCACCCAACCATGCACGCACACATGTTGCATACGATCCATATTGCCCAAGGAGGGGTGGCTGGTTAGTCACAGGAGCACGGTGGACCATTGGAGAGAACACGGCACGTTCCTCCAACATTTTGGCCAAAGCGATCATCGGTTCTATAGCATCCTTCAACACTTCTCATAGAACGGATCTCACCTCATGGATCTCCAGTGTGCTTGGCACCCTCAAAGCCAGGGAGAATGATCCAAAGACTGGAGCCAGACTACTATGTCTGGTGGAATGTTTTCGTACATATTCTGGGATGGGAGTGGGATGGAGCTTCATGACTATGGTGAGCCGACTGCAGCTGTTACGCTGACCGTCGGTCGGCGTGTGCGAACTAGGATAGGTCTTCTCAGCGACGACTCGAGTGAGTCTACTGAAGCTGAGCGTGGTCTAGCCTTGACGGAACGTCAAGGATTCCTCCGGCGATCTCGGTAAGACGGCGCTCGTCGAGATGCAGGGCTAGCGGATACGTGCTAAGTCGTATGGGGGCGACTTAGAAGTGCGGTCTCACACAAGGAAGCTGGTAGGCTTAGATGAGCAAGTTCTGGGGATGAACCTAGTAGATTAAAGTAAAGTCTAAGTATGATAATCCTGTCTACTTATAGGGAAGTACTACAAGTATTCTAGCTCAGTCTGTAATCAATAGTATATCTATGATCTGTGATAACAAGACATGAGGTTCAGATAAGTACATGAGGCTTAACCTCTGATCAAGCATGCTGCACCAAGGGCAGCTGCGCATAGGTACAGGAAGCGCCAGGCGTGCTCCGGATCTTCATGAAGCGACATGTAGCATACATGCACTGATCTAGGGTGTCCATGAGGCGTACAGCCTTCATGGATCAGGTACAAGGCCGTCTAGGCCAGGGGCGGGGTCATAGCGCCAGGGGCGGGGTCACAGCGGTCCAGACCACTGTCTTTCTAGGCACGGGCGGCGCACCGCCGTGCGGGGAGTCTAGCAGAGCGGGGGCAGGCGTAGGGAGAGCTGGGGCTCTAGTAGGTGTTACAGATCCCTGTAACAGCAGCTAGCAGTGAATTGTCTGAGGTATGTGTTTGGCATGCTCTTGCATTACTTGTGCTCATGCAATAAATTTAATTCAAAGTACCATACGATCACACCCATCAATTTCTACAATAACAGAATTCTACGATGCTAGGATAATGCCTTTAGAACCTGGGTTGAGACCAGCGTGGAGTAGCTTCTTTTTCTGGATCTCATCTGGGGTCAAGTTCATGCTTTTGGCAGGTGGTGGTTCCATTTATGCATTAATTCTGATCGCAGCCAAAGACATGCGGTGGAGCATCACCACCGCCCCTGCAGAAGTATCTTGGGAAGTTGGGAAGATGCTGCGTCGTCCAGATAAATGTGCTGGTATGTCATACATGTTATGTTTTGCGTTAAACCTGGAGTCTCACTAGTAACACAAGCTCCGGAGATGCAGTGTCTTATTTAAGGGAAGATCATACCTATTATTGCTGCATTGAGGAAGCGCTTTCCCTTGAGCATGCCCAATGTGATCAATGGGTCCGTCTCTCACCAGCTGGACTGTACATGCATCAGATATATTGACCGCTTCATTGATTCTGTACCAATCAAGTGAGTATCATTGCCAGGAACATTTCAGCATTAGACTCATGTGATAACTCTCTAAAGTAACTATACACTTCCAAAGCGGTCAAGAAAGTACTGGAACACCTGCTACATACCATGTTGGGAGGATACAATCAGCCTGGAGAATGGCATAAGTGGGACTTGCATCATGCAGCAGCCTGAGGCCCTACTCTTCACGTCTTTCACAGCATCACCACCAGCACCCATCATCCCTTGTACAGGGTCTACGGCCTCCTCTGCCATTTGCATTTCAACCACGTTCAATCATAATCACCCTAGCAACCTTCACTTCCCAGGAAGCCACGACAGGGTGAAGAACTTGTTATGGACAATAGAGCAGTGCAGGATAGTGGAGGATGGGGGCATGGTGATGAGGGACATATATGAGCTGAAGGAGAAGATGAGTTTGCTTGTTCTATTGGCGTAGATATGCTCATATAGATTGAGACAGCTGTCTACTTTCTATCCTGGGGGCGTCAAAACGGCTGATACTTTTCTAGTGGTTCCGATATCGATCATTCCAGGGGCCTTGGATATTTCCAACTCAGATGGCAGCCTGATGGCCCTTATCTGCACCAGTATGCCTTCTAGCATGCGATTGTCCTTATTTTTGATGCTCAAGTCGGTTTTTGATGGCCTGGACATTTCAAGGATCAGACTGCTATGTCTGTTTCTGAAGAAAGTCAAGATCTGGAGATCAATTTGCAAGCAGAGGCGAACGAGCCTTTTAGATGCACACACTTCAGTCACTGGAATCGCTATGGACTAACGGTAAGTTAAAACATTATACTTTAGTCCTAGATGCTGATGCTTCTTGTAGGGTCATACTGCGCTGCAGGGTGTCCATCCTCATGACCTAGAGGCTGCTGGAGGGAGAAGAACTAACCTTAGACAGACTTTACCTTATACGTCCAAAGAGACATTTACTCAATAGCAGCTGTACCTGAACATCCAGGCTAATTTGGGTAAAGTATTTGAATGGATCAAAGAAGAGGTGAGTCGGAATTTGACTCCAACAATTATTTGTTGATGGTCAATCAGATCTCACATCACCTTCCCGATGAGTATAAGGTTCTGGTCAAGCTGGTAGACATTCTGCCTAATGCTGAGGGATCTCTAGTCAGACATTTCCTCTCATTGGTGGTGAATATTAATGTGTGCATGGTGGCACATAGGGATGCCAAGGACTTTGAACTATGCCTAGTGCTGGCAGTAGGGGAGTTCACTGGTGGTGGACTAGTGATGAAAGAGCAGGGGCTAGTCGCAGAACTCAGGAATGGGGACTTTGCGATATTCAGGTCAGGAGAAACTACTCATTTCAATTTGGATTATTTGGATGGGAGGGCATCTCTGGTGATGCATACTGATGGTGGGTTTAAAACATGGGAGAAAGATCGAAATGGTTGGAAAAATCACTCCCACTTCACATATTTATGACCTACCCCTACCATTATTTGATACTTTTACATGGATGCATGGGCAGAGAATGATTACTAGTACGTCTGCTGTGGCTGCACTTGGCAAGTTTATATTTAATGAGTTCATTTCACTTCCATTCCAACCTCATCCACCCATGGCACCCAAGAAGATGGCTTCAGCTGGCCCTCGTCCATCTACTCATGCCAGCGCTGGCAGTTCAGGAACAAGCATCAAGCCTACACCTCAGGGTGGCTCCAGAGCAAAAGCTACTCCTGCCTCCAGAGCAAAAGCTGCTTCTGCCTCCCAAGCAAAAGCTACTCCTGCATCAAGTTTGTCAGCTAAAGGGGGCAAAAATGCTGTCAAAGGCTCAGGATTGACTGCAGGAGAAGAGAAGCTTCTTAAGGATTTGGCTCAAAAGAATAAGAAGGTAGCTGAGGATGCAGCTGAGGCTCAGAAAAAAGGTAAGTATCCTAGAATTGAAAGACTATCACTAACTTAAAGTCCCAGCCTCCAGAAAGCGTGCTGCTGATTGTCTCTTGGAGGAGGCAGGAGAAGACAAGGAGAGGTCTGACAAGGACTCAGTATGTGACAGTCCGCCAATCAGCCATTGTCATCGCCGCCTATATTCCCCTGAAAGGAATGATAAAGGTAGTAATATGGTAAGAATGATTCTAGATGGTGGCTTGAGTAGCGAGATAGAGGATGATGGCATTGATGACCAGGTTGGAGAGGGCAGGGATGAGGACCACCAAGATCAGGAAGGGGAGGTGGTGGATGAGGTAGATGAGGTAGATGAGGTAGATGAGGTAGATGAGGGTGTTTAAAATGAAGAGGAGAAAGAGTTTGCTGGAGAGGAGGTAAATGTACCAGCATATTGGAAAGGATTGGACTGACTTTTTGAGGAATGCACCAGACAGTTATAGGCCTGAAGGAAGAAGACCAGGAATCCAACAAGTACTTCAGCATCGCTAGTGTTCCAAGGAGCAAGGTGAAACTCAGTAACCTGAACAGCCCGCGTACCAAGCGCATAGCTATCTCTGCTCACAAGGCAATGCGCCTCCATGTAGCCACAGTTAACAGCTTTCCTTCAGCTTTGGACAGGGAGGAGTTCTGCTGGGACCTACTGGTGTCTAGCACTAGGGACAATGAGGTGTTGTGGGAGAAGATGTCGCTCATTCAAAGTGATGATAACTTGAAAGCTTACTTGATAGACTATGTGAGTATTTTCCTTTGATGCACCTCAGTTGCTCATTCTATACTATAGACTTGGAAGGCTGCCAGCCAACTTAGAGGGGAGTTTGTAGCCAAAGCCTGCATCAGTGTCCCCAGTACCTATGGAATAGGAGAGCTAAAGCATGAGGAGTTGGAGAACACTATCAAGTGGATGTTGGAGGAGGCGAGATTCATACACGGAGGAATTGATATCAAGGTAAGTGTCCTGTCTATTGAAAGGCTTTAGACGTATTGAAGCTTGAAATTGCTGTACAGAATCTCATCTATGATGACACTTCTCCCCTCCAGAACACCATCTTCAGGCTGCTACTATCTGCGCAATAGTGGGGTCCCAAGGAGAAGGAAGAAAGTGGGGGCAGAAGAAAAATTCATTTTTCAACAATATACCCATCCTTGCATTGATATCAAGTGCAGTGAGACCTACATCTACCTTATATCCCTCCCACTTATCACTGATGAAACTTGAATCCACAGGTTGAATGTGTTTTATTAGGTATCATGAGAGGACATCCCATGGACTTTTCTGAAGCGCACTTTAGACCTAGGTTTGATTTTTTTTTACTTGTAACATCAGTCAGCAGCTCATTTTACCGTTGATTTTTTGTTAGATGGGATCACTATGTGAGCCTCCTGGAGAACTTTGAAAAGGAATGTCCTAGCTACCTAGAGATGATTTGGGATGAATTGAAGGAAGGGGTTCAGTGCGTAATATTGTTTTTCCATCTTGATTTTACTCACTGTTTGAAATAGGACTGGTAACATTCCTGGTGCGGCTGAAGACGCTCCTACCACCACTTTCAATTTCTCTGCTCTGGAGACTGCTGGACGTGCAGCAAAGGCTAGGAAATCTGGTACTGAGTAGGAATACATTTTTAGTCATATTTGATCTCTCAATATCATTTGCTTTTGTTGCCTTTTTTTGGCTTTGTTTTGGCTTTTTTTTTTTTCATCTAAAGCCGATTTCCAAGTGAAAAATAATGCATTAAAAGTCAACTATGGATGGTTCAGAGATTGCTCTGATAATGTTGGAGCACATTGCTCTAAGAGCAATAATTGCAATTAGTGTGGAGGCTCATAATAATAGCATTAAATGACTCTATATGTCATTTAGAGTTAGGGGACTTGTCTTTTTTTGCCCTGAGGGATATAGATGCTATATTTGCATAAATAGTGCTCTATTTGCAATTAGTGCAAATACCACTTTTCCTGATGCGGGGGATCTTTCTGAGGAAGACATGGTCCTGGAAGAGGAATGTGCAGATCAGTCAATGGTATGCTATTTCTGTCATCCCCATATAATCCTCCAGACATTTTCCCCAAGGTTGCCAGTGGCCCGGATGTGGATGAACCTCCATGGGCCACCAGAGAGGATATTGAGTGTGTGCTCTGCGCTGTTATGGAAACCCGTGCGGAGGTTGCTACCCTTCAGCGCTCTGCACGGCTCCAAAACAATTTGGCATCCCTACACACATCAGCATCCAGTGGCTCATCTGTTATCAACCGACGGCCTACACCACCTGGACAATGGGCCAATCCTGTTAGCATTCCCCCCTGTAGGCCCAGCCACTATCGGCCAGCTAGGAACATAATTTTGCAGGTATGAGATTAGCTTGGGACCTTATGGTGTAGGTGTTGACATCAGCGTCACTCAGTGTGAAGTCTGTGAGCATGCTATGCATATGCTCGGGCGTGAGACCAAGAATGACCTGCTACCTCTACCTCCTGATGAAGCGGAAATTGCACAATTCGTGCTGGAAAAATGTGGTGGGCCGACTGCCGAGAACTTTTGACTGGAATTCAGTAAAACTGTCATATCCCGCATTTCAGACCTGGACCAATCACGCACCCATATCCAGATGTCCAGATCCGACCCGCTTCTTACTTCTGTTTCCTTCTCCTTTTCGTATGTCCCGTTTTGGTTAGTTCCTACTACCGGTCTACCGGTTATTTACATATCCGACTGTACTGGTTCATCCGGACCTTGTTTCATTTCCGACTGCATTTTATTATGTTCCGTTATACTATTGATAAGCTTTCCACATGCTTCGTACATAGCCTTGCACCGCGCTGACTGAACTTCCATTATGTTTCCGTAGTATATAAACTCTGTAAAAACTCTGTACATCCTCAGTTTGAATATCATATTAGATTCTGCTCATTCCTGCCTCTGTCCGACTTGAGTTTCTCCTCTTGTCGTCTTCCAATAGTCTTAGGATTGATTCCTATTGACTTAAACATCCTCGCCTCTACCTTCAGTAGTCTTCCGCTGTTTCTTTCTAGTTCGGACTTCGTCCGTATTAGTCTTTGATCTTGTTTCCAAATGTCTGCCAGAATTCCCATGCATCAGACATCGTCCTATAGCCTTCAGAGGTTAAGGGCACGTACTCAGGTAAGGGGCGCAGCATACGAGCTGAAGCCAAGCCCTTCGGATCAGAACCCTTGAGCACATTCTTAACAGGTTCCATGGATTTGAACATTTGATTGCATTTTCATGACTACTAAATTTAGCCAAGTAAACCATCCCAGGTGGGGTAATTGGCCCCGGATTAGGGTTCCCACAACCCAACGTAATGTCAAGCATACTGGTAACCCTGTGCCAGGCCTTCCCCACAACTTCTACGATGAAGCTTGGTTGAGTACGTTGGATGTATATGAACTCAAAGACCTCAATATCCAACAACCTATATGTGTCATATCCCATGTTCTGGACCTGGACTTATCACACACATCATTTCCGGACATCCAGATCCGACTGACTTCTACCTATCATCCGGATCCAACCCGCATCTAACTTCCATGCCTTATCCCTTTGAACATTCCTTCTCCAGTTAGACTATAATCATTTTCCGTACCTCGTTTCATTTCCGCCTTTATTTTCCTCCGTTCTCATTTCCGTCTTCATTTACTATTTTCCAATAGACTAGTGTTTGACTTTTCTATATGCTCTGTCCACAGCCTCGCATAGCTTCGGACTGCACTGACTGATTCTCTGTTAAGTCCTCAGTAGTATATAAACCCTGTAGAATCTTTGTACTTCCTCAGTTCGAATATTATCTTAGACTCTGCTCATTCCCTCCTCCGTCCGACTTGAGTTTCTCCTCTCATCGTCCTCCGCTAGTCTTAGGATTGACTCCTATAGACTTCTCACCTCCGCCTCTACCTCTGGTAGTCCTCCGCTGTTTCCTTTCTAGTTCAGACATCGTCCAGATTAGTCTTATCCCTCATTCCCGAACGTCCGCCAGAATTCCCACACATCGGACATCGGACTCCGGACTTGTCCGACAACCTTCGGACATCGTCCAACAGCCCTTGGAAGTTAGGGGCATGTACTTGGGTAAGGGGTGCAGCGCATGAGCTGAAGCCAAGCCCTTCAGATCCGACCATTGAGCACATTCTTAACAATATGCCTTGTTCTTTCAGAAGAGGTTCTCTAGTAAGCCTTTCTTCTCAACTGCCCTATAAGCTTCCATTGCTGATATGGGTCTGGCAGCATTGCTGAAAGATACGCTGCAGTCACTGGTAGAAATACTCCACCAGAAACCTGCTGACCAAACATTGCTCCCCAAAAAAATGTTAACAGCAAATTGTATAAATTGATCGAACGACATAACATTCCATCAACGTGTCCAGTAAAAGCTCAGGACTGTAACATGACTTGGAGGTGTGCACAGTGATCAACATCAGGAGCCAGTGCAACGGTGCACAAATTCGAGGCACACATCGTATCGACTCGTGACCACCAGCCCGTCTATAGTAAACCGTCAAACACACTAAGATTCTGTTCAGTCTGAATTATTGAGTGTCTGAAGGTAATCTGTAGGGAACCATTCTTGGATTAAAGCACGCGCAAACCGATCCAGCGCATCAAGAGAAGTATTGTGAATGGCTTGGATGATGAAAGACTGGTCCATTGCATTTGTAGGTACAGTTTGCGTCGTGCGTCGTGTCAATAGCGAGAAAATTATATTGTTTATTTTGTATTTTATATAACTTCACGAAAAACACTCATTTTCTCATGGGCCAGATGTCATGTTACTCTGGGAATCTGCTCTTGAGGGGACATGTCACTGTCAGCATCCTAAACACCATTGCCTCCTCCTTCCTGAGAACTGCATTGCCAGTACTGGCACGACATGGATTCATGCGGCTCTCTCACTTCAGGTCTTAGTCCATGCAAAACTGAGAACACTGCCTCACATTTCCATTTTGAACCTTTGCAGAACTTGACAGCTGCACTATCCACTGTTATGCCATCGCTACAACATCATCTTCCTACATTGTTATGTTGGCTGGGATATCTTTCCCTCACCACACTGTTAAACAGATCATGTGAGGCTATCGCTCGTCCTCTGCGACACTTACAGGCTGAAGAACACATCATAGCATTATCATCTCTACATACAGCTCCCACCACCTCGTTCTCTCAACAACGTCCTCTTGCTCTCCTTGGAGGCACCAATGCTCTCATCACCAGCATTACTTTTCCAGACTTGCTCGGTGACTTCTGCAGCTGCAACACCTAATAGCCCATTCCGTTTTCACAGATCACAAAAATGCAGTCCACGTCATACACGAAGTACTTCCTAGGGCTCTGCCCCACATCTGGAATAACCAACCAGCACGTTCCTTGTATCGCTGGTTGTGATCACTTCTACACTCTCCAACGCACGCACCCTCGCTCATCTGGACGGCTGCTCACACCAATGGCCTTACACCAGAATGTCTCGCCAATGATTATGCTGACCTTTCATCCTGCGCAAGCCCTGACTGTTGCACTATATGACAGCCATTGCCTGCCCGACTCCCCATACACTCAGGCCTCTAGCTCTTTCTCGCTGGCATACAATTGTATACCCAATCATCACAACTGGATACCGCAGACGTGCGGTATCGGCATTTTTGTGATACACCGCCCTGGTGTCATTTCGGTTGCGATGCATTTGAGAACGTTCACCATGTTTTTGCTCTCTGCCCAGCCTTCTTGGCTATCCGTTGTGTGCATAGTGAGCAGCTATGTGATGAGAGCTTCTCACTTCCTGAGGGCAAGACTGCCTATCATGTTCGAAAGGTCTTGGAACGAGTGGCCCAGCACTTATTTTCTCATAATTAACCCACTCCCTCATGGTAGCAGGAACTTTTTCAAAGTTGATGGTAATGACGCAAACACTATCTGGATGTACCATTTTATGGACTGGTGCTAATGTTTTAATCTTGGCTTGACATCACACCTGAACATTCTGCAGAAGTAAGTAGGGTTGTATATTCATGACTTCATTGACCTCTTCTCTAGAACTGCCATGCTTCAAGTTCTGTCGCTGTTCCTCATTGGTCTCCTGACGTGCTCTGAGTCTAAGTCACCTGACTAGTTTTCCCTTTGTTCTTATTGTATGCGGCTTTGACTAGCTACATACAATGAGTATCCTTCATGATTCACTTCATCCCTTTGTTGGGCGCATGCTTGAGTGCTTTGTGTGGATAATCATAAAAGAGCACAAGGTCTGTTGACCTTTTACTTGTGTGACAACAGCAGACCTACTGAGTCTGAGTCAGGGCTACTGCTATACTTGGACTATTTAACTGTATCAAAGTGCTCATTTGCACTATCCTAGAATGGATAGTCTCTAGAATCAGGGGTGAAAATTTCAGGAGCTCAGTGATTGCCCTGCAGTTCACGCTGATGTTGGCCTTTCCTAGTGTTATGCACCACTGATATAATTGCTCCATCTGCTCTTGATGTTCGACTTGGACGTGCAGTTGTTCTTGCTAATGAGCTTGGCATAACCGACTTAGAAGCACTCAATTGCATACTATCTGATCCCCAACAAATAAGCCTGCAGGTCCAATGCCTGCACAATTTTGCTCGTTTCCTAAACGAGGAGCGCAACACCTTCTCTCTGATTTTCAGGCTTCCAGCTGAACTCCTCCTTAATGTTCTTTCTTTCATGGCTCAAGATGAGGATGGGCTAGAGTCTCTAGTAGCCTGCAGCAGTGTTTGTCGTGTCCTCCAAGCTGTCACTCTCCAATCTCCCTGTTTGTAGTATCATGCTGTGGACATGAGCGCTCCAGCGAGCTGTGTTCTCATGGCCTTAGTACACTCACATCCCCACCACCTTCGAATCTCAGTTAACCTTCCCGACCAGTTCAGCTCCTTTACGCTTTTGAATTATGAACTCAACCTCACACACATCATGAAATCAATGCATCACATAAAGTCATTGAATCTCAGTTCAGCCCCGCCAGAGTTTCTTCATCGTGTCTTGAAATGGTTGCCCAAGTCTTGTCAGGCTTTGGAATACCTAGTAATAGGCACAGTTGCAGGTCACACTGTACATGTCCCAGATGCAGTATTCATATTGGAGGCACCACATCTACAAAGCCTTCAATTAACACATTGCCACTTCTCATGGAATGCTCTCCATTTCCATAATCTTCATAAACTCCGCATATTTGATTTCTCTGACAGCCATTCAATCAAACCATCGCTCAGCACCCTTCTGGAGGTATTAGCTTCATTTCCACTGCTGAAGGTTCTCATCCTGCAAAATGTGTTATTCGACTTGGACTACATCCTTGACACTGATAGGCCATTGGTCCTGCATGCTCTGGAGGCTTTGGAAATTGAAGCACTGTCCCCGGATTGTACAGTCTTTTTGTCTAGTCTCCACACCCATTCGTTGATATCGCTCAAAATCTTGGAAGAAAGCATGCCATTTGCTGATCCGGTACAGGATTCTTTGAATCCATTCACTGCAAGGTCCAGAGTTTCACAATCCACATGCTTCAAGTCTGGTGCCACACTTCTCACTGGGAGATAACTGGGTTTTCACAAGAACCTCACACTTACTCGGATGCACCTCCTCTAGCCGCCTCGTTCCACATCTCATTGGGTGTGTCTGGCACACATGCTTCAACTTTGTTGGATACACTTATGGATATGAGCCATAGCTTGCCAGTCTCTCTAGTGCGCTGTCTGCAGCTTCATTCCTGCAAGACTCTCCATCACAATATTTTGACCTTGACATGGCATACCTTCCTATCCAAGTTCACTGCTGCTGAGCACCTACACCTCATTGGAGTACCATTGCACTACTTTACTGTCTACGATTAAATGCTGATGTACTGGGAGTTGGAATTCCAATGCCTTATCTCACTTTATTGGATACATCCACTACAACATTTCTTTCCAGCTCTCATGTACTTTGACAGTAATCAACATGTCTCAACATCAGCAATCCTCCTTGTGCTCTGGCATTGAATGAATCGACAGATAGGTCACTTGAGGAGTTCATGGTCCCTAATGACATTCGAGAATGCTTAATAATGTAGTCACGATTGCGATAGAAATGCGAGTCGTGAAGTAAGAGAAAAGAGACGAGTTAATCGACGCCTTGTTTGGAAACATTGTGGAAGCTCACAGACTCTAGTCTGTAGTGTTGTCAATACTGGTTGCATGGCTCTGTCGTCCCAAGAAGCCAGCACACGTGATTGAATAGAGATGTCTGCTGACTATGTCCTAGTGAGCTTGGCTTCAGGTGCGAAAGTCCTAAGAACTTTGCTGCTCCTTTTGACACATTCGTAAACTAAGCATCCGCAGCATCATCTTGACTACATGTATGATAACGCGGAACGAGTCGGGCGGCCAATGATATAAACTGACACAATGAAGTGATAAGTAACTGTAAACACACTCGAACAGCCCTGTGACATGCTAGTTCTGCTATGGTGAAGATGACTCGCCTCCGACGGTTATAACAGAATCTCAGCGCAGGTCATACAGGTGCTATAGCTAGTAGATACTAGAGCTATGCATCATGTGAGATCGCATGTGGTAGAGATCATTCAAGCAAATTCTGAGAATCAAATAAGATATAAACATACGATCTATTCCTGTGTATTTCTCCGTTGCATCCAAAGACTTTCCAGCTTGGTGCACCTGCAGCTTATCAAATCTGGACCTCTGTCAGATCCCCGAGCCAGGAGACCAGTCCAACCACTTAATGTGTGTCGGCTAGAGCAAGTCTGAGCGGGTGTTTGAACCCAAATCCACTATAATTGCTGGTCTTCATTAATAGCCAACAGCTGGTCTTACACCGTGTCGCTTGGTCAAGATTACATAATTGTGTCGCCTCCAACTACATAGCAGCTAGTGGCTTGGGCTGCCATATCATAAATGTCAACTTCGGGTCTCTTCTCCTTCAGCACACGGTATATAGAGCTCGAAGACCATTAGTTTGGGTTTCCACTCGTATAGGACTCAGACTACCATATCTTGCTGGTGAGTATTGTCTTCAAATCAATGGCTCAGGTGAACACTGAAGACTAAAGTTCAGCATCCATGCTAAGCCTTGCGCCATCGAGTTGAGGCACTGCTGCCAGTGTGTATGAGCGACAAAGTTAACATCATCCCTCATCCTTAGACACCCATGATGATGGCCAATTGAATCAAGCGAACTTGCAGGAGGAACGATCGTCTTTCCACCATTAGGCTGTGAAGGCAAACTAGCACTATTTGAGTCTTTTTCTATGTATCTATGTACTTTGATCCCAACTCACTACTGACTTGCAGCAAATTCAATTCTCATTTTTGGTAGAGACGACATTCACATCCAAACAACACGCTGATACCTGTGACACATGTCTTCAAGGATCGGAAGGAACAGAACATCATGGAATCAATCTCGATCCACCGACTGCAGATCCATTGGTGCTGCCCTGATTATCCTAAGCCACATTGAGGTTGTTTTGAAGTACTAGAAGACCTGTTAATGCTTCAAAATGCCATAAGTGAAATGCCCAATTTTTTGAGTGTACTGCCCATGCAAGGCTGACTCGTGAATCAACAGCTTGCGATACTCTTCGATTGGTTCAAATTTACTCTCTGGTGTTGCAAAAGGACACATCAGAGCCTTGTCAATGGGACTAACTACTTCGTGCTTGTCCTAGTACTGGCGGGGCACAATGTCGACTGCAAACGGACCCCCATCTCACACCCACCGTGTCCTTGAAATTTGAAATGTATGCATGTGATTATTGGAGCTCTTATCTTGAGCTCCAATTTCATTTTAGTTATCTACCTTGAAGGAGGTCATCGCATCTCTGGCACAGGAGTACTCTACTCTGGCTTCTGCACCTTCTCAACTTCACGCCTGAGGCGAGGACAGATGAATTTCTGGCGCCCCAAGATAAGATTGGGAGGCCTGTACAAAGCTGCTGTGTTTCTGGGTCAAGATGAATGCATATCCATACCTCATAGACTACGAACATAGCTTCGGTAAGACAAGCGCAGAATCTGCACTTGAGCACCACAGGCCATACCCTTTGTACGTCAAAATTGATGGTGCTCGAACAATGTACCAGTAGGCAATCGGTGCACACCCTGTTCAGAGTAAGGTTAAGTTTTGCTGCGTCAGAAGGCAGACCTGAGCTGTTTGTACAGTCCCGAGATCGTTAACAGCGGAGTATGCACCTATGCTGCAGATGTGGAAGACGTTAGGAACAACCCCTACAGCATCTTCTCCGGGTAAGCAATCGAACAGTCTAGATCTGCTTGGTGTTGATGGTGCTTGGATATTCTCATCTTCGCCTATTTGGCTTGATGCCGCTGTGATCCTGCCAATATGAATGCCAAGAACACATGTTACAGTGGACAGCATCTGTCAGGAATATGTATGCATTGGCATCCAGCCACTTGAATTAACATCCATGTTCAAATTAATAGTAGATGCCAGTTGGATTGCCACACTCATTTGGATGGATATCCTGGGATTGAGATGTCCATAAATATTTTGATCCTGGAATATCTGGAACTCATCTGAGATATCCAACCTGTCTCTATAGCTAGTTTCCATGTACCTGATTGATCATCGGGTCTAAATGAGGATCAAAATGACCTCTGTTTAGATTGGAATCCACACCACTTTGACATTTGGACTAGGTGTTGTACTAGGAACATTATTTTAAATATGATTACAATTTTTCTGATGAGTGAAGTTTAAATACAAGCAACATTCAATTGATGTACTGAGACAAAATTCTGGTGCTGACCACATTGTAAATACCAACACACTTTTGATATGCTCTGAACTTAAAGTAGGTGAAACTACAAATTTAATAGATTTATTGCTGGAAATTTTAAAATATTAGTGCCATAAACAGTCTATTCAAATCTTGAACAAAGGTAGACTTTGGTGAGGGAACAAAGGATAATCTAAGTTTGATCACTATTTTAAATATTGTCTCACATGAAAGTCAAAATTTGACCAAGATATTTTGGTAACAAAAACATTGGGAAAAGGGTAACAAAAATACCAACTTTTGTGTCAGGACAAATGATGATAAAAGTCATGAAAAAGTTTGTTTATGTCAGGGTACAAAGTCAAAAGTTTATCTAGGTTTTGGCTGCAGAAAAATTGTTTGAATTGTTCAAGTATCTATTGCTGCAATATTGTGAATGAAAGCTAACACAATATTTAACTGAGATCAATATTTTTCATCATGGAGAAGTGGAAAAAAAGCCTAAATTTTATCTAACATTTTGGGTGTCACAAAACGGTGAAATTTATTTTAACCTTTTTTAGGATCTTTTCAACATTTTTCACTGCGAAAAAGTCATCCATGCTTCCAGTGCTACCGAGTGGTGCTGGACTTGACCTCTGCTAGTATGTACATACCTATAATGTTCCGAGTCTTCGCAACATTTTGATAGCTGAAGAAGTACATCGGAACTGTAACAGAGCACTTATGACTAGCCTTGACTAAAGTCTGTTTGGGTCCTTTACGGAAGCAGGGACTCAGACTTGACTTGATTCAGATGCCGGCTCATCATATGGGCACAGGGATTTCACAAGCAGCCAAGCTTCTTTCTGGAATGTGGGTGCAGCAGAACAAATTTTCGAACGTGAGCACAATTAATACTAATACCATTCAATCAAGAGGTGAGCAAAATAAGAGTTCTTGACATACACCTGACGTAACTTCAGATGGGTCCCCCCCCCACCGTGACAGCATTACAGTCACTGTAATTTAGCCATATATAGTAACTATTTTGATCACAAATGAGAGGTCTGGGAGTAACAACATTGATTGAAAGCGAGTGATACAGAAGCACACAGTGATAACTACGACACAGCAAGACAACTAAACAACCGACGAACTAAGCTGGAGGGATGTACGCGCTCGTTTGGAGGCCCGGGGGAGAGACCCAGCGGACTCAAGGGTAGGACATTTAGGACGAGATCCTGATGCTACAGGTATGTTCTCCTTGTCCTGCTCAGACAAATCTCCATACGAGGGCTGCCAGCAATCCTTCGGGATGCGCGAAGCGCCCTGCTCAAGATCCGTAAGTTTCATCACCCTCCAAATGCTTACTGGCAATGGGACCCCCGCCTCTCTATGTCCAGGTACGGCGAATTCCTCGTGCTGGCCCAGGATATGCGCCGTCATGTTGTAGCGCCATACAGCTTCAACAGGGAGCATGGGAACCTTTCGGGTGCTCTTTCCGGGCTGGGGAGGGAGTACAGGGTGACAAAGTTCGCATTTGAGGGGTAGGTTGTGACAGGGCTTGTTCTTCAATCCCGAATTGACGGACCCATACCTGAATGAGTGCTGGTATATACATCTTGTTTCCCAGGTGGGCGCCCCACTGCTTGGTACCGCAATTCTGATGGTGCACTCAGGCACTCCAGAACGACCGCAGAAGCCACATGGGCATGTAAGATCAACCTGGTTACAACGAGTTAGTAAAGTAAGATAATAGATTTAGAAAAAAACTCATGTCTTGCTTCAAAGGCGGCTCCTCAGGAGTGTTGGTCATTGCATGTAATATATGGCAGCCTATGTGATCCCGCATGTCGAGGACCTTGGCGTCGCAAAGCAGACACATTGTGATGCACTCACCTTCAGATGCTGTGAGTTGGCTGCTGGCCTCAACAGAAATGACTGCTGGAGTGCCTGACAATATAAAATTATGATTAGAAAACAAAGCGCGAACCACAAACACAAAACATACCGTCTGCTAGTCGGTAAGGGAATATATTTGGATCTGATGAAATGACGGCCACAATAGACATCAGGTTGACCTTCAATTTGTTGGCTTTGGCCCAGAGGAGTTCGCAAGCTGCTTGCATTGCATCCCGAGAGATCCCTCAAGTACTTTGGCCACCGTTCACTTGAGTGAACTTGTCAGTATTGACGTCATCCCTCAAGCGAATGAAAATAGCCTCGGGGTTGACTGGTTCGATGAGGGAACCAGGAACAGTGACCATAACGACATGTTTTGTATACTCCGATGTTCCTTGAATGATGGAATGTGCTTTGATGTATCCGCCGTCCCATAAAAATAATTGAGAGCCGTCAGAAGAAGGGTCAGTTGCCACAAGACTGAGTAGTTGACTGGTTATCTTAGCCGTAGTTCGCAATGCCTTCATCATTGTCACGTTGATTGACACGCGGGAAATATTATTGAGGCTGGCAGTGGTAGAACGAAGCACGCCAATCGAAAGAGTGTGACCAGAATGAAGGACAGTGAGAAAAATGTCCCTGACGAGAAAGAGATTGTGATCAGTGATACAACCCGCAGATACGTTGACATGTTTGTTAACTTTAGTATAACCTCCACGGACGCGCTCAAGTCGATTAAGGGACTTGGAAATAAAATCCTTGTTGATCACGAGACAACATATCGTCTGCTTGTGGATCCACTGTCCTTTGTATAGGAGGTAATCTTCTGGGTGTATTCCAGGCCCTTGTGGCAAAGCAGGGGTCGAAGGGTCATGAGAGATGTGCTGAGAAGATGAGGAGGGAGCAGGGACATCAGTGAAGGATTTGTCGATCAACGACTCTTGGAAAGTGAGCATCATTTCTTCATCGTCATCACCTCCAGCCAAGACCCCAAGGCCAGCAACTGCGTGGTCAGTGTGGTCGTGATCCTCGTCTACTAAAACTGTCTCTAGACACTGAGAGGGAGGGGCGATCACAACGGGAGGAGGAATATTAGGAACTTCACTGGTATCCTCAAGGTCATTGTCTATGGTCATTCCAAGGTACCTGTTCTGTCCAAATGGACGAAGCATATCGACACCAGGTACACTGAAAAGCTCCCTGAACGAATAATGAGTTGGCTGGAGCTGGGACATGGTGAGGATGGAAAGGGCTGCGTCATGACTATTGCGCCATGCCAACGGCAGATCACACCGACCAGAGATAATATCATCCTTCCAGACCTCACGATTGATATGATCAACACCTTCCTGGCGCGTTAGTTTGAGGCGCCAGTGGCCTGGATCAAGTTCTGGGTGACGCCTGAAGACAGCGTCGATATCCTTCGCAGCTCCTAAACGATCGAGAGCCTGAGCATATGAAGATGCAGAGTTATGGCCCCCAATCATGCATGTGCGGCTGAAAAGAATCTCGAGGGGATCATCCCCAACATCCCCAAGGAAAAAAGGAGCATGTGGGTCCAGTGCTTGTTGCTTAGCGAGGCAGAATGCAGAATTCTTTACCATCGTCTGTAGGTCGTAATACAATTGATAGGACATGAATGACCGTCGATGTGTGTGGAAGAAGGCAAAAGCAAGATGAGAGTACCGACTGAGCAGCATGAATTGTTCGGACAGGGAGAGAGAAAGATTGGTAAAAGGCAGGAGGATGGACTCTAGAAGAGCACTAAGAAGAGCAATTGATTGGAGATCTGCGCGAGTGTCGATATCGGTCGAAAACGAGTCATTGACAATGGCATGCTGAGATTTGGAGAACTTGATAATGGCAAACATGAGCTCGACTGCACGAGGGACATCTTGAGGATCGTCTGGGTAGAGAAGTTTGGTGACAGCTGCTTCGTCAAAGGCAGGTAGCCACATCGAGTTAATGATGCGACCGTTATTGAGTATGACACCCGCGGGAGATCAAAGGAGAGTGCATATGCCTGCATTTAAGCTGATTATAAAATGTTAAATGTAAGCAAAAGAAGTGACTTATGCTTGAATATGTGTTTGAAGTCGAAATCAAGTGTCACCTCATTATCGCCTGTGAACAGATTCAATCCCGGCATGTTGATGAGTGTACCATACAAATCCGAGCTCTCAGAGAGCAGACTCTTGACGAACAGCCTATGGCCAGCAGCGCGGCAAGTAGCATTGCCGTCAGTGGCAACTGACCAGACTGGTCCGACCTGCGCCGCCACCCCAGTGGCATTCCATCGATCAATTGCTTTAGTGAGGATCTGCTCCATGTCATTGGGGTTCTCGCTCTTGCAAGTGGGAGCAGCTAAGATGGGGAATATCTCGTCCCGGCCAAAACACGAGGCCCCCATAACAGCTAGTTCCTTGCCCAGATGGACATGACTGTCATGGATCTTCTGTGCAATGTTGACTGCAGATTCGTAAGTGCGGAGAACAGGATCGACTAGGTGTGAGTGTTTCCAACATAGACCGCCGACCTTGTTGTACTTGCTGAAATGGACGGCCATCTCCTCAAGTGCAATCTCGTCAATCATAAGACTGACACCACACAAGACAGATTCCGTGCGGCTACTTCGAATGACGGCATGAATGTTGTTGTCGAAATGCTCGTTATGAATGGTCCCAATTGTGGGAGTGATAACGGTGAAGACAGCTCGAGTGCGGAGTGTGCGAAGGGAAGGGATAGCAAGTTTCTGGTTTAGTGTGAAGAGAAGTTGACGACCACCAAGCCTGTAGACAAGGGTGGCAATATCCAGGTCAGTCGCATCATATCCCCGAGGATGGTAAGCACCCTCAAGGGCATCATCTAATTTATTGACTATCTGGCGGATGCTGGCACCGTTGCATAAAGCAACGTTGATGATCTGTTGAAGGCGAGGAATGTCTCATTCAGATACAGCCATGAGGAGTCGATTGTAGTCGTCGAGCTGCATGAGTGCACTCATATACTTGCGCGAATCATTCAGCTGCTAATCAGAGTTAGTATGTACATGAAAAAAAAACATAAAGTGGATGTACCTGCAGCTTCAACTGCTTGATTTGTTCTGCGTAAGTCCTTGCAACGTCCTGCACATGTGCAAGACCTAAAAACTTGTAGTTAGTGTGCGCTTTTGGAGTGCACGCAATGTCTGCCAGACGTTCGACGTGAAGAGGGATCTCAGTGCATTCATCACAGGGAGTACCATATGACAAGCAGTGCTTAGACTGGAGGCGAAGAGCACTGGGATTTCAAGTGTCTATAAAGAAGGGTAGGGCGTCCAGGCCATTGTGATAGCACTCCCAAGGAAAGAGCATAATGAAAGGGCGGAGGTCCTCTGGCCAGACGACGGGAACTCCAGTGCAAACACTATTAAAAATGGGTGCAGGTGAGAGAGCACGATGAGGTCTGCAGGCATAGTATGATGTAAATACGTCTAATGAATTAGAGCCGAAATGAAACATACCTGTGTTCAGACGTAAGGCTCAGGGAACGAGACAAAGGCGCATCAGACATGGTCCGAACAAACATAGGTTTTGCTTTATCAGTCGATGCCTTGATGCACTTATGGCTGCCTCGATGGTTGCTCAATGAGCTAAATTGCCCAGGATGCCAGAGAGGTAGTTGGGATGATACACTTGTCTGGACCCATTCTTTGCAGTCAGGGCATAGCATCCTCCATCATTGTTGGGTACCAATGGTTACCGCTAGCACCTTAGCCATGTATATGTTGTAAAGCGAGTCTGGCGTGTTTAGTAATAGTTGTTCCTCGATATCAATCTCCAAATCAGGGACCGAAGATGAACATTGTGAGTCTGAATCTGATCGGCCCCAGTACGAGCTGGGACCTCGAGAAGGAGGTGATAAGTTGGGGAAGTCTTCTGGGTATGCTGTATGTGTGGTATCATCTGATAATTGTACGTTGAAGTCTATGTCTGGGCTATTAGAGTGTCCAGAAGCCGGTGAATCTGTGTTGGGATCTGATCCGACGAAGTCCGTCGCTTGATACAACGTGGCTATATGCGCCTCGTTTCTGATAGGAGCCGAGGTTTCGTAACTTGCTGGGAAATCGGAGTGAGTGTGTGCGTGAAATTGTGTGATAGAATACATAATGAACAAGTCTTGATGATGTGGGAGGCAACAGAGAGACGAGGCACGTCATATCTATATTCACACGTCTCGTGTTATATTGGTCACATGTTCTTAATTTTTACAACCAGACAAGTTGATTTGGCTAGTAGCATCATTGCACGCTCTTTTCTCGTCGTTCCAACTATCTAGATGTGTTCTTAAGTACTACTTAAGGGGGCCTTCCAGCGTTCAGTTAATCTTTTCACTAAGATCTTACGCCGCTGTCGAGGAACTCAGAACGCTGCTCTCGAAACTTCAAGTGGCTATACATTAAGGTTTTGTAGATTATGTAATGACGAGCCCCATGTTGGGCATTAAGGTTTTGCTCACCTCTTGCATTCAATTGCCGATAGTTTCGCAGATGCAGTCAGATCCCATGACCACTAGGACAATGTACATGTTCTGCAAGCTTTCCCTCTGCTGGTGATACTGGTCAACCAATCTTCATTGTGCTGCTGCCCCCACAATTCTGACCATCAAAAACTCTGACCTTCAAGCAAGATGTGTCCGATATACTTATGCTACTAGTACTTCCGTGCTGTCATTGCCGCTGCGTGTCACTTGTATACACGGAACATGATTTTTGTTTCTCAATAAGACTTGCATCACATCATGCACCACCTGCAATGTCTCCCAAACGTAAGCCATCCTCCGCTACTAGTACCCCTGCATCTGTACTTCAAAAACTGCAGAATTCTGCTGGAGGATTCTATGCTGCTACACCAAGACTTATTCAACATGTTGAATATTTCATAGGTGGACAGGACGGAAACATTCTTATCAGCAAGGGAGGCAGACTCCAACCCACAGAGTTCATCATCCATGGTGTGTTTGAGATCAGTCGCAATGACTTTAATCTCACCCCAGATGGAAATTTTAATCCCTCAAACGTGTTTCATGGTCACTTTGCAGACATGAGATTGAGCTGTCAGCTCACTGCTGGCCATAACGATGCATTCCGATTCTCATCGGAAGACTTTCCGGATATCCTTGAAATCTCGCTCATTTCGAAGGATTAATCCCGAGGCCAGAAGAGTATGATAAACTCAGTGTTATTCATAACTCACTCAGCCAGAGATCAATCAAACTGACGCACAGTCTTTTTGAAGTAAGTGTTCATCATATACTTGTCTGTGCACATTACCGTGACTAATTACTGAATATTGCTGTGGCAAACCAGGCCAATAAAGATCAGCAAGACACTGCCAGCGAAGTTTATGGCGATGAAAACTACTGGCATGGTAAGTCATGAATGATTCTTATGTCCGTCATTAGTACACTAATTGTTTTTACTCAACTGCAGATGGCCTAAACTCCAACTTCGACATTACCACCTGGCCAGTGGCTGTCATATCCCATGTTCCGGACCTGGACCTATCACACACATCATTTCCGGACTTCCAGATCCGGCCGACTTCTATCTATCGTCCGGATCTGACCTGCGTCTCTCTTCCATGCCTTATCCCTTTGTATGTTCCTTCTCCAGTTAGACTATGCTCATTTTCCGTACCTCAATTCATTTCCGCCTTTATTTTCCTATGTTCTCATTTCCGTCTTCATTTACTATTTTCCGATAGACTAGTGTTTGACTTTTCTATACACTCCATCCACAGCCTCACATAGCTTCGGACTGCACTGACTGATTCTCTGTTAAGTCCTCAGTAGTATATAAACCCTGTAGAATCTTTGTACTTCCTCAGTTCGAATATTATCTTAGACTCTGCTCATTCCCTCCTCCGTCCGACTTGAGTTTCTCCTCTCGTCGTCCTCCGCTAGTCTTAGGATTGACTCCTATAGACTTCTCACCTCTGCCTCTACCTCTGGTAGTCCTCCACTGTTTCCTTTCGAGTTCGGACATCGTCCAGATTAGTCTTATCCCTCGTTCCCAAACGTCCGCCGGAATTCCCGCACATCGGACATCGGACTCCGGACTTGTCCAACAACCTTCGGACATCGTCCAACAGCCCTCAGAAGTTAGGGGCACGTACTCGGGTAAGGGGCGCAGTGCACGAGCTGAAGCCAAGCCCTTCAGATCTGACCCTTGAGCACGTTCTTAACAGTGGCCAACCGATGCAAAGGCCATTTGCAGGACCTCGTTTCAACCCATAGCATCTGCCCCTTGCCAGCATATGACTCAGATCATAACCTCATCCTACCGTCTTAGTATGAGTCGAAACTGAAGGGTGCACTGGTCAAAGTGCACATGGCATTTTGTCACCATTGAGTAAAAAGCAGGAAACGTGACATTTTCAGCGCTGTTTGACGAGAACTTACCATCCTGTTGCCACCTGCTGCTATGCCGAGCAGCCCCTTCAAACATCGTCGTCTCAATGCCGGTCCATTGAAGGCATTTTGAATGGTATGTATTAACTCTTACTAGTATTATTGCATTCACAAGCTGATCACCTTCTACAGTAATGTTGAGCACCACACCCAATGGATTGTTGTAGTACTACTTGCGTGTATTTCAAATTGTATATCCAACATATGTAACAGTTCACACTTTCTGCAATCATGGTCGGCTCGATGCAAATTCTAATTCCCATAGACCAGCAGTATTCCATACGTACAGCAGCTTACGACTTCAATCACTCACAATCAGACACCCGCCACTGGTATGCCTCCTCCCCATCTTAGAGCCAGAAAGCATGAGCATGTATAGCATTAGCCAGCCCATTGCAACTCTTGCAAAGAGTATGGGTGAGGGGGTGTCATATAGACTCCATTGTACCAAACTCTTCTACTTCTACTTACTTTAATCCTTAAGATAGGCCTCACTCAAACACCACCAACATCACATGATGTGACAATGGTGTGACCCTCTACTCAAATATTGCAGCGCGTACTAAGTAAAAGCTGAGGGTACAGAATCCACAGATGCCTAATGTAAAGGTATATAGTAACTTAGTAGGTGCTTGTATGTAGGTATATTAGGTGCTTTAATCGAGCTCAGTGAGATCATCGAAAATGGACAATGGGAGAGTGCAGTGACCACGATACTTTTTTGTTGCAAATGCAGCTTGTTTACCATTTAAACCTTTGCAATACGCATCCATAAAACACAATGATCGTGTGGCAAACATGTGCAGCACAGTTTAATTAAGATAACAAAAAGATAAGTGCAAGTTACTCACTTTTGCATTGATATGAGTGGGACAGCATCAAGAGAATCAATGACATTCTGCTTGAGGACCACCTCAGATGAACTTGGTGGCAATTGTCTATATAGGTGCTTGGCAAATCCCCAGCATTGCTCAATGAAGTTGAGTTCACAATGAAATTTCGGCAGGAACAGGACCTTATAACTGTGTTTTTTGCAAGCGAGCTCGAGGTTGGATCTAACATTCAAAAAGTTGTGCTGATTGTATAGCAAACGTCAACAGCAACAATGGCTGATGCCTGGGTTGCATCAGAAATTTGGGCACTCCACATGAAGTTTTTTGCAGCCTTCAAAACCTCGCTCCTTGAGAATTTTGACCATGCCTTTGAATCCACCAGCATGTTCATGACCCTCTGGAAAATAAAAACTCTGTGCGCTCCCATCAGACAGTACACCATCTGCCATACAGACCTTTTCATTGAGCACCTTCCCATCAGCACCATGAACCGGCTTTCCATCGCTATCACCGATCTCTCAACTCCAAATGGGATGTTCCCAGGCTTTGTGGTGAATTTCGGCATGCAACGAGCAGAAAGTGAATCATTGGCCCGTTTCAAGTGGGTGCTTGCATTGTTGAAGATGAGGACATGGCAGTCATGTGGGTAGTGTCGGTCAAGGATGCCCATGGCCAATTCAGCATGTTGGAGAATTGATTCATTGGTGAAGTAGCCATCCCAGGATTTTCCTGCACAGAAAAGTATTCTGGCAGATTCTTCACCGCAACTTGAGCGCAGCCACCCATAATTGGCTGAAACAAAATCCACAACCATCAACAAGGCCCCTTCTCCTTTGGGACAAGGCTTTGCAGTTTCATTTCCATGCACCCAGTAAACTTTGCGACGGTCATTGGCGTAAAATGTTGACTCATCGTGGAACCATAAGACAACACGCTGGGTGTGTGGGCAAGGCTCATCACTAGCCTCTTCAAGACCATCCTTCCATGTATGCATGTGTATGAAGAGTTCGGCAATTGATGGAAGGAATTTTGTTTGACGGTATGTGACGACATCATCACGTTCATGACCATCAATGTATTGACCTGACAGAGACTTCATCCAGCAGAAGTCCATCATGTGCATCCATCGTTGAGTGGTTGCAAGGGAAATTGTCTTCTTCAGACCATGTTTCTGCTGTACCTCAGGTTTTGCAAGGTAATCAACAATGTCCTGTGCTCTGACATATTTTCCAATGCTTTGCAGGTGCATGTGAATGGCTTCAGCAAGGTCCCCTTTGTTGAGCAGGGACACATTCCAACTTCCATAAAGGTTCATTGGGAGGTTGCTACGGTGCTCGACAAATGAACGCACCCATTTACGAAGGAGTCAGGCTGTATGGGTACCTTTTTGGTGAGCTTGTGCTGTGTCATGAGAGGCTTCGGTCCATGTTCAAGGGTTCCATTGATTAACATACATCCATAGGAACATTCACATCATTTCAAGACACTTTCGGAGGACATTATCCCCAGCAAACATTAAGTGGCCGATTCTGTTTTTGTGGAGGGGATTCAAGATTTTGATGAGATCTAAGAGGGCTGATTGACAGGCAGGAATGGTGGGTGAAGTGCGACCATGGCCTTCTTGCAGCTCATTATCTTGCACAGAGTCTGTGTCCCTTCTTCCACGGCCATATTGTCTGAGGCATCAAAATCCTCTTCTGAGTCAGTCTCTGTACTATGTACAAGCTCAGATATCTCCTCCTCTTGAGCCAATGGTAAGTATTGCTCAACCCCTGGCATGGAGTCTAACTGGAGAGACTGCTGCTCAGAGTCGTTGACCAACACTTGCCATAGGTCACAGATGGATGTGGCAGGCGTGTTTGACATGTTCAATACGTGAAGTGGCACGTTTGACGCGTCAGACACATTGGGCATCAAAATTTGTGCTGAATCATTAACCTGTGAAACTTTGCATCAGAAAGCTAATTTTGGCTGGAATTAATGTGAGTATTCACATTCTCCTTGTTCTCATCATTGATTTTCTTCTTCTTGAGGAGTGCCTTTGCAAGATTGGTGTTCCTTGCTGAGTCACTTCAGTCAACCACTTGAAAAGACCTCTTAGGTCTATTGGTTTGTGGCTAGCAAAGGACCTAGTGGGTGTGTTCTAGGATGGTATTCCCAATAATTTACCCTGTATCCTGGGATGGCCCAGACCACACTGAACAAAGTATCTGGGCTATCCCAAGTACCTATTTGTGATCTTTCCCGATCCCATCTGGGATCACTTTAGCATTGCTCTGGGACAGCCCTGTGCACATATTATGTGGGCTTTCCCATCATAAATAAGAGTGACAGGGGTCCATTTTGAAACATTTTTGGCCATTGAAATATGCAATTTGTACATTTATTGGAGCAAGAAGTAGTAGGTATATGTGTGTGTGCATGTCCAACAATTGATATAGATGTAAAATTAATTCAGAAAATTGAATAATAGGATGCCACAATAGCAAAAGAGATACATATCTTTTCTCAACACAATCACATTGAAGGGTTGTCATGATGACATTATACAAAAGTCTACATAGGAAATGAAATAGAGCTCCAAGAGACCACAGAAAGATAATATACATTAAAAAATACCAAAAGTTTCAATTCAGGCACATATTTTATTTCTGTTCAGTAGTGACATCATTATCTGAGTGATGCTGTGTATCCTTAACTATGAACTTAGCCTTCTCACCAATCTACTATATAATTTTGACCTTAGGTTTGTCACACCATCACTAGCCCAATGAACTGAACCTATTTTTTCATAATGGTCACAGCAGTTTTGGGTCGACAAACCTAACTTTGTAGGATAATGTTTTTTTCAAGAAAATCTTCACCCAAACACTTAGTTTTTCCATTATTATCATTTTGGATCCATTCCCTGTGTATAGAGTACACACAGTCCTCCACTGATCTCATATATACAAACTTACTGCAAGTTTGTATCAATGTCTTCAAGCAACAAACATGTCACATAGTCATTGCATAATACAGTGTTAAAATTCCCATAACCTAAGGTCAAAATTATACAGTATTCCACACTATTTGAGCTCTCCTTTGTGTCCCACACCATTAAGGCTCTCTTAGCTCGCTGTCCATCAGCATCTGGGTCTTCCCAGCTACCATGTTGTCACTATCTGGGCTTTCCCACATGCCCTGTCATCATCATCTGGGCTCTCCTGCCCAGCCTTCTAGCAGTATCTGGGCTTGCCCACCTGCCATGTCATCACCATCTGGGCTCTCCCGCCCAGCCTTTCAGCAGTATCTGGGCTTTCTCACATGCCCTGTCATGATCATCCGGGCTCTCCCGCCCCGCCTTCCAGCAGTATCTGGGCTTTCCCACCTGCCCTGTCATCACCATCCGGGCTCTCCTGCCCAACCTTCTAGCAGTATCTGGGCTTTCCCACATGCCCTGTCATGATCATCTGGGCTCTCCCGCCCAGCCTTCTAGCAGTATCTTGGCTTGCCCACCCGCCATGTTATCACCATCTGGGCTCTCCCACTCAGCCTTCCAGTAGTATCTGGGCTTTCCCACCTAGCCTTACTTACGAGTTAGAAGGGAAAGTGAGGATACTCTAGCCAAGCAAAAATAACAGTTGTGCAGTGAAATGCATGTGCGATGAAATGAGGAAGCTTTACTTGTGAGTTAGAAGAGAACCTGGGGATACTCCAGCCAAGCAAATTTAATATTTTTGCTGTGAAATGCACATATAACATGGGGAGGCTGTACTAGAAGAGAAATGTACAAATAATCATAATGACATTTTGGGTGATACCAAGGCAATCATATCAATACTCACTGACACTTGAAATTCTGTTGATATTTTCATGGAATGATGTACACATTTCTTACTTTGGAGTCCTTTCAATTCACATGATGCACACATTCTCACCTATGTTATCAAGTATCAATGCTGTCTTTATTAATCAAATCATCCTTGATATAGTTAGAGTCATTATTTTCCATAAATCAACTAGGTTACTACAAACTAAATCTGACATGTTTTGTTGGGCTGTTTATCAATCGGTCATCAACTACACAGCTATCCTTGATATCATCTACCTCTTCACCCCTATACTGATCTGCTAATGCAATATCTTCTAAAACATCCATAAGCTCCTCATCACCACAGCCAATGTCAGATTCCCAATCATCTCGATCATCCCCTACATCATCTTCATCATCATGATCATTAGGGTACACATGTATCCCATTAGCAAGTTCAGCATGTGACGGCCCCCAGTGATCAGGCATAGGCCATGCGCACAGAATAGGACGAACCTTCATCTGCCAGCCAAGTATGAGCCCAATAAACTGTTGAGCACGATTATCAATGTGATAGAGGATTACTTCATCATCACCTTCGAAAGTCAGCGTGCAATGTTAGTGAGGTGCGAAAAACTTACTTGCATGTGCATGAGCCCTTTGTAGAGCATCTCACTCAACAATGGCCCACTCCTGCAGGGTGCAGCGCTCAACCTTCACGCAAGACTCTTCTTTGTTGCACCGGTCAATCTTGAGCACCAGTTTGATCACAGCACGAGTGACCTCATCAGCTAACCAATCTGGGGGCTCCGGCACGACATCATCCAGTCCGATGTCCTGCCAAATGTCAGCATCAATATCAAGATCGAAAATACCGGTAGGAGAGATAGGGTTGGGTGGTATGGTATTGGGAGGACTGCGGTGTTGTCTGATTAGAGCACTGAGATCAGCACATAGGCTATTGTATGAATAAATGAGCTTTCGTATTGTCAGATTGCGCCACTGGATTGCGACATCGACATGAGAATTAAGCTTGTGCTCTGCAACAAGAAAGTGCAATTAGTTGAAGTCCATGTGTGCAACTTAGAACATAAGTACCATTCACTGCTTGCCTATATGAGTGTTCAAGCTTCTCAATTTCGAACTTGCGCTGTCGAAGTCGTTCGCGGATACACATCTTAAGAGCTTGAGCATCCAAACGGACTTGTAGATATATGTTGCGACGTAGTTGGTCCAAACAGGTGCGCTGACTGATGCCAAGCCTTGTCTTGCAGTGGCTCAAAGCGTTGAAGGTTCAACGATACAGTGAGGCACAAACAATGCTCCTGACTGTATCTATAATTGTTGTAAGGTCGCGCGTTGCCTAGTCTGCTATACTTGAGACGACAAGTGCATTCGACCCTAAAGGGGAAGCGAGTGCAGCAAGGATCTAGAGGTATGCGCTGAAAGTGCTACTGGTTGGCCAATGCGAAGCGCGAGAAAGCGCAGGTGCGCGCAAGGCGCGGGAATGCGCGCGTGTATGGCGCGAAGCGTGGGAAAGTGTGCGCGTGTATACAGATACGAGAGAGAGTAAGAGTGAGTTTGCTTAGGTGATGATATGATGTAAGACAAGAGAAGAGAGATGCGAGGTGTAAACAAATAGATTTCTACTATGTTCTGCTAGGTAAATAGTGGGTAGTAACCAGTAAGTCCTCTGTCGTTCTGGTGGGAGAGTAAGTGAGTAAGTCATAGTATGTACTGCTGGCGCTTAAGTATGGCGCCTAAGCGCTGTCATGCGGAGCCAAAGCGCTACCGAGTAAGGTATGTAAAGATATATGTAAGTAAGGGTCCATGATACAAATAAAGATGGAACGATATGCAAATGTGAGAAATGGAAATATACGCACTAGGGAACTTGGTGGACAGTGGATGGATGCTTCCGGATGGCTGGCGCTATAGGGCGCTACAGCGCGGGAAAGCGCGCGCGCATATACATCGTGAAGCGCGGGAAAGGTACGCGCGCATGGCGCGCGTTGCGCGGGAAAGCTGCGCCTCATATAGAGATAGCTGCGGGTAGCACACAGAGTGATGCTACAAGTTCGTGCCATGTACTCCCCAGTGAAAACTGCCATATTGCACAATGAGAGGCATGAGTCTCTACACCGAATCTCGTATCCCTCGGTACCAGCTGTGCGATACACATGCCTGCAAAGCTACTACCGAGAAGACCATCAAGACAACTATCAAAGAGGCTGGACCTCTTCGTACCAACAGTGAGTCTGCCCTCTCTTCACTTGTCTCGTCCCCAGGAGAACCACAGCCTCGTGCCGTGTCTCCTGCGTACTCCGCCGGACAGCACGCACGCTCATACAGTGACATGCTAATGGTGCATATTCCCCCGATGCCAGGTGCGCTCGGGGAGACACCCGCTCGTCCACCAAGTGAGACAGCGGAGACCGAAGGGCTTAGCCTGGGTGGAAAAACCCCAGTAGACAATCCTACCTCTGTTAGTAGAGATAGTGAGGAAACAGAGAAGAACACTCACTTTGAGACTCCAGCAAATGAAAGGAGCTGGTCCACTGTAAGACCTGAGAATTCTGGCGACGGCCAGAGTGGGAACTGGACCACCATTGAACGAAAGTGCTCTGCAGGTGCCAAGGGTGCGACCCAAAAGAAGGGTGAGCATCAGAACCTAACCCGAGAACAAGAAAACCTGGTGAGAAAGGCCGAAAATAAGTTAACCCCGGCTGAAAGAGAGAGAATTCGGACTAGATGGAACTTACCTAGTCGCCCTGCCTCCGACGGCAGTGAGTCAGAGGAATCCCCAGGTGAGGGACCCTCCAGAAGCAAAGGGAAGGCTCCAGATCCTCGCAACTGGGGACACGCGGACATTGAGGAGGACGACCTGGACTTAGAAGCCCAGAGAGCCGCCCTGGACACATATCGAGCCGCTAGAGACAAGGAAACCCACCACCGGGAGCAGCGCGAGATCCTGGATGATGCCATGGTCTCTAGGGCAGAGGCCGAGACGGCAGTCAGAGCTGCAGAAGAAAGAGTTCAGAAACGTTATGAGGCGCGCCTCCAAGAAATGAGGAACAAATGAACTCACTACCTGCGAGCAACCGAGAGTGACCAAGAGACGTTGGACATCTCGCCGAAAAAGAAAAGAGGTAAAATAAGAACCTCTGGTCGAAACAGAGATCCAGTGGGAGCTCTAGTCGACCAGGCGCTAGATAGATTGTCGGACCCAAGGGAAAGGCAATGGATCCGGTCAGGCAGGTGGCGCCGAAAAGCTACATTGGCCAAGCCTTAGGACGTCTGGATAAGTCATCCAGATGAAACAAAGACAAAAAGGGAAAATGTATCAAGAAAGGTCGGAGGGACCCAGATGACGAGGACTCAAGCGACTTCAGCCCCAGTTCTTCGGACGAGTCCTCCAGCACGTCGTCGACGTCTAGCTCGAGTGGAGGAAGCACCTCCCGACGACGTAGAGCCAGGAAGCGTCGAAACCAGTCTAAGAAAAAGAACACACTTAAACCAATTCCACCGGTCAACTATGACGGCTCACCTGACTGAAGAGCCTACCACCAGTTCCTCACTGAAGGAACAGCATACGTCAAGGATGGGCAAGTCGAACGCAAACGGCGTGTCTTCATCCTGGCCCATTACCTGAAGGGAAGAGCGTGTGAGTTCTATGTAAGGGAAGTGTCTGGGGACCCATACCGTTGGAGGCTCAGAGACTTCTTTACCGAGCTCTTCAATTATTGTTTTCCTGTAAACTTTAGAATGGAGCAAAGAGCCAAATTGAATAAATGTTACCAGAACTAGAAGACAGTGCGAGAGTACATCTATGAGCTGAGTGAACTCTGGAACATGATTGGGGATGTGGAAGACCGGCAGAAGGTCTCTCGATTCTGGACTGGGCTAAACCCCAGCATCCAGGCCAAACTCTGGAAAAAGGAATTAAACCCTGAGTTGTCGAGTTTTCACGAAGTTAGAAACACGGCAGAAATAATAGAAATAGCTCACTCGGTGCCTACCCACCGGCAAGACCACAAGGAGAAGCCTTCCCCAAGTGCCGGAGGAATGAATGGAGGTGGCAATAACACCAATCGCCGGGAAGAAGGACGGCAGCGAAACAGGGACAAAGAGAACTGAAACTCGCATAAAACTGATGGAGGGTCCCGGAGGAGAAACGGCGCTGTCGAAAACGGACAGAATCGAGGTCAGAGGAGGAATAACGGACCAGGAAAAAGCTCACCTCCAGAGAGAAAACCTGACCATCTGAGTCAGGCCGAGAAAGAAAGACATGCGGCGGAGGGGCTGTGTTATGTGTGCCATCAGCCAGGGCACATCTCTAGAAACTGCCCAGACCGTACCACTGTCAAGCGGTCCGGGGCCAACAATGCTCCCCCTGGCGTGCAAAACTTTAGCATACAGGTGGACCTAAGCGAAGCGGATAGAGTAACTCACCAGAATGAGAACGTGACCTCCAACGGGGCCACAGATCTGTCATGCGCTGCAATGGACTTCTGGCACGATGACTTTGACTCCGGGGACGAATTGGATTGGGTTAGCGACTCGGAGGAGCCAGCAATACCCCTGCCATGTGGACGCAGGCCAACCGCCTTGCATGATGGACCCGCGGGGAAGGAAGACTGGGCCTCTAGAGGCACGAAGATCAATGCCATGGGCGAACCATTGGCGATGCGAGCCAAATACGTACTAGAAGGGGGATTTTACCTTTGGGAACGGAGGCCATGGCTGCCCGCTGATACCGAGAGGTTCTTCATCTATAGCGTGTCTGAAAAAGAACATGTCATCATGGATAAAGAAAATAGATGGGAGCATGAAGTAACGGTGCCCACCCGTAAGTTGCTGGACCCGAAGTTCTGCCTGGCAGAATGGTATGCACGAAAGGTTAATGAACTACGGGGAGAGCACCCCCACACATGGGGAAGATGGAGGCGGGAAGAGCCTCGCCCAACGAGGTCCATGGATACTCCTCTGGCTGCCCAAGCGGAGCAGCTATTGAAACTATGGGGCCGTTATGATAACGACCCCCCACGCAACGCGCTAAACCCAGAAAGATTTGAGTGCGTTAGAAGAAGGGACGGGACGCACCTGATAAAGGACTATGTCCGATCGTTCGTAGTGGAGGTGCCATTGCACCTCCTGTTAAATCCTAAGTTCGTGTTAGCATCCTGGTACAATAAGATATTGAGGGAGGCTCACGATGAACTTTGCGACGGACTGGTACAGGACTCTCAAGAGTCCAATATGCTCCGGCTATTGGACCAGGGTCCATTGACAGACCTCGAATGTCAGTTGGATGACGTGGCGAGGAGGATATACACCCTATCCCCAGACGCGAAGTTCCTATACAACGAGTCATACTTGTTTGTATTAGAGTTAAACGGACAGCAAATACTGGCACTTACCCAGTGCTGCAAAGAGGAGCCGCCGTGACCAAGGACTTTAAGCGAATGATACCAAAGCCGGTGGTCGTCGTTGTGAACATTAACGGACGACCGGCTCATGCACTAATTGATTCTGGGTCCCTGTCAGATTTCATGTCAGTGACTCTGGCAGAACAACTTAAAGTACCAAAGGTTGAACTTACCAAGCCATTGGTAGTGCAGCTTGCGGTCCAGGGATCCCGGTCTAAGGTGAATTATGGCACTAGGGTGCAGATGAAGTATCAGAACATTAGCGAACAACGCTACTTTGACGTCATTAACTTACAGAATTATGATCTGGTGCTGGGGACACCATTTCTGTTCCAGCACAAGGTCATGGTGGGGCTGAACCCACCACGCGTGACAATAGGGAGCGCATCGCCGTTACCGATGAAGGGAGTCGAGGTGACGACACTTGAATCGTGTGCAGTCGCTGTAGAGACAGAGGATCTAGAGAAAGTGCGCGAATATCTGCGTCAATTAGCAAAACCGTTGTGTGCTAAGGCGAGCGAGATGAGCTTACCTCCCTTGCACTCTATCAACCACACCATACCTCTCATAGATGAGAGTAAGATCTACCCCTGGAGACCATCCAGGTGTCCAGAACCGCTAAGACCACAATGGGCAGAGAAAAGACAATCCTACCTTGCCAGCGGCAGATGGCAGGTTACCAGCGCTGGCAACACGGTGCCTATGCTATTTATAAGGAAACCCGGGTCAGATCGTCTGAGGACAGTCGTTGATCTGCGGGAGAGAAACAAAAACACTCACAAGCTGATGTCGCCGTTGCCAGACATGGAGGGAATCCTGTGTCGTGTTGCATGTAAGCCTTATCGTTCCCTGATGGATGGTCAGGACGCATACGAGCAGATACGTGTCATACCGGAACACGTACCTCACACGGCGATGACGATGCTGGACGGTAACATGGTGAGCCAGGTGTTACAGCAAGGTGACTGCAACGCGCCGGCCACGTACCAAGCTGTTATGAATCAGTTATTTGGAGAGTACATTGGGAAATGGATGGACATTTACCTGGATGATATAATCATCTACTCTGACACGCTGTCAGAGCACCTAGACCACATTAAGATCGTTTTGAACATATTAGAGCGCGAAAAACTTTACCTTAGTGAAAAGAAGCTGAAGTTCCTTTGCGACGAAGTGAAGATCCTTGGACATGTGGTCGACAGCAGTGGGATCCGCATGGACCCGGAGAAAGTCGACTGTGTCCTCAACTGGAAGACTCCTGCGAACCGGGACCAGTGCCGGGGTTTCATCGGTTCCATGGGGTACCTGGCAGACGACATTTACAAAGTCAGAATCCCGTTGGGAGTCCTGTCCGAGGTGATGGGAGACACAGTACCTTTTCGATGGGACTTCGCGCAGCAGCGCGCGTTTGAGGAAGTCAAGCGATATGTAGCTGTGTGCCGTTGGACTATACTAAGGGCGCGCCTCCTATCTACGTCATGACTGATGCTAGCCTGGGAGGTATAGGCGGGGTTGTATGCCAGGGGACGGACTGGAAAAGTGCGAGAGTCGTGGTGTTCTTCTCCGCGAAATTGAATCCAGCGCAGCGCAATTATGCTGTACATGAGCAGGAAATGTTAGCGGGGGTGGAGACTATGCTGAGGCATAGGGACGTACTGCAAGGGGCCAAGTTCACTTGGCTCATGGACCACAAGGGTCTAATCCATCTCCTGAATCAGAAGAATGTCAGTGGCCGCCAGGCACGCTGGCTTGAGAAGATTGGTGAGTTCGACTTTGATGTGAAGTACATACCTGGGGAGGAGAACTTGCTGCTGGACGCGCTGTCGCGCATGTACGCGTTTGATGGACCTAGTGAGGCCCGCATGCCCAGTGAGTATACTGAGCATGATGAAGATAGTGGGGCCGGGGTGGACATAGCTCACCTGGTGTCGATCCCCATGGTAGCAGTAGGACTGAATGATGGCCCGCCTTTGAGGCGTAGCTCCCGGGTCGCAGTGAAGCCAGTTGTGGTGCCTGATTGGCTGCCCAAGAGACGTTGTGCCGGCCAAAGGTCAATATTGGGCGAATCTAGCGCCCAGGTTGACCCGCAGGGCCAACGATCGATACTGTGCGAATCTACAGCGCAGATTAGCACGGAGAGCCAACAATCAATATTGGGCGAATCTACCGGGCCAGCTCGACGCAGTACTGCAGCGCAACGACGGGTGGTCCCCGCGGAAAGTGGATGGCCAGAGACGTCCAAGGAGTTTGCCAGGAGACTGCAGGATCGTTTCGTTCTGCTTGGACCTGGTGAATGAAAGGAGGGTGAAGAGGAAGGTGACACTCACCTCCCTATACAACCGACACAGCCAGATACACCGCTAGCCCAGTTACCAAGGATGGAACTGGACGATGAGACTCTGTCAGAGATCAGAGGTCAGTATTACCAGGACCCATTCTTCCAAAAGGTGATGAACTCACCAAAGCAATTCCGCAACTTTGACGTTGCGGAAGGGCTCATCCGCATCCGGCTAAACGACAGAACACTGATGTGCATACCGGACATTAAGGTTGACGGTCGAAGACTGCAGGAGAATATAATCAGTCAAGCACATGTATTGCTGGCCCATTTGGGCGCACAAAAGACACTTACATACTTGAGAGATCGCGTCTGGTGGAAGATGATCGTGCGTGACGTGCACGCCTTCTGCGAGTCCTGCGCAACGTGCCAAACGAGTAAGTCCAGCAACCAACGACCATATGGACTGCTGAGACCCTTACCTGTACCCTCCCAACCCTGGGAGGCGATGGGCATTGACTTCCTGGGGCCGCTACCCTTGTCCAAGGACAGGGACGGCGAATACGACTCCATAACTGTGATAATCGACCTCTTTAGTGGGATGGTACATCTGGTACCGAGCAGAATCACTTACACGGCTAAGGAAGTGGCTGAATTAGTCTTCACCGAGGTGTACAAACACCATGGTGTGCCTAAGTACATTGTCAGCGATAGGGACGTGTTGTTCACCAGTGCGTTCTGGACCAATTTCAATAAGTTAATCGGTGCCAAGCTGAAAATGTCAAGTGCTTACCATCCGGAGACTGATGGGTCTACTGAACACGCCAATAGGACCGTAGTTCAAATGCTGAGGGCCTGCATAGCCCCGAACCAGAAAGACTGGGTGCCTAGACTGCCGGCGATCGAGTTCGCTATCAATATCGCGAGCTCGGAATCAATGAAGCACTCACCATTTGAGATGAACACTGGGAGGACTCCTAGAGCGATGGTGTGGGATGACCCTACGGAATCTGAGTACCCAGGAGTTAGGACCTACCTGCAAAAGATTAAACGCACCATCATGGAAGCACACGACAGCATCATTAACGCTCGGGTGAAGCAAACAGTGGACGCCAATAAGACACGGCGCCCGAGTCCATTTGAGCATGGGGACTTGGTGTACATATCCACCAAGAACTTGAACTTTCCTAAGGGGTTAGCGCGCAAATTACTGCCAAAGTACGTTGGACCTTACCGAATAGTTGAAGACTTCGGGAACAATTCCTATCGTATCGAGCTACCTGCCAGGTTGAAGCAGAGGGGAATACACAACGTGTTTCACGCGTTGTAGGGATTCATTTCTGGCTGGGCTTGCAGAGACTGTTTTTACCTTAGTGTTATGTTTGCACTTTTGTAGCTTACATAATCAAGTTACCTTTTCACCAGTTCTACTATGAGTCTGAGTATTCAGCAAGTTTCTATCATATTTCCTCTTCTCTGAGCCTTGAGCCTGGTCCAGAAACCCTTTAGGGTCGAATAGCAGCTAGGTTCTGCAAGACCCAACATTGTTCAGACTCACCATCTGAATTGTTGTACCTTCAGCGTCTTACCTAAGGTTACACGTCCCGAACGAAGGTTCCCAGGATGTTTGGATAATCAGGTTGCTGAGTTTGAAACCCAGGAACGGGAATGGGCCGTCGACCGGATTCTATCGCACAAGGGAAGCCAGGCTGACGCGATGTTCGAAGTCCAATGGAAGGCGGGAGACGTCACGTGGTTACCTTTCAATCAGGTTGACCACCTTGGCGCCCTGCATGACTACCTCGACGTCTTGGGCGTCGACGACATCTCCGACCTAACGGATGGCAATGGGTTGCCTGATCAGCCCTCGGTGAGTCTAGATGTCTCAAACACTGACTCACATGTGTTTTTAGGCGCAATGGGCTTGGGCTGGCCTGACCATATAAGCCAGCCCCACCGCCCTTCTTCCCCATCGACTTCTACCTCACCATCCATTCCCTCCACTCGAACCATATCCTCTATGCCACTACCTACCCCCTTGTTCCGTGCCCAGAACGGGGTCTTCGTCATGGCGGACCATTACCGCCATGGTGTCTCATTGGCCATCACCCTCGACCAACTGCGTCTGTACCTGCAGTACGATGCTGACCTGCACAGCGGGGCTTCTCCCGACACCATCATTACACCCATCGGCTATGACGACTTCGCCATTGCCCTCAACTCGAATGCCGGTGCAGGCATCCAAGTTGCCATGGTGCAAGAGGAAGATGAGGGAGTCCACATCACCGGACGCCCTCCAACCTTAGCTGAACTCGTTGGCCTTGAAGCCACTCGACGAGCAGCACCCGCCCCTCGTGACCCTTGGGAAGACACTGGAGGTAAATGGTTAGACTCGCGCCGCACTGAGCTCATGGACCACACATTGTGGGACAACCTGGAGCGGATTAAGAAACAACGTGCTTGGCGCGACAAGAGTGTGGCCGAACATCAGGCTAAGCGAAAGCAACGGGAGGACGACGAGGCGATGCGCCCTTTCACGCCCTCCACTTCCCTGATCAACGCTCTCGCTGGGCCCTCCGGCCAGAACAATCCCACCACGCCATCCATTCCTCCTCCACCTCCTATCACACCAATCCCAGACCCTCCTGCTCCTCCAGCCAATGACGAGGATGAGGAAATGGACGACGGTAGTACTGAAGAACGTACCCAGGGGAAGGGTAAGGGAAAGGGACTTGGTCGCATCCTGAAGAAGTAAGACGTCGCTGGACGACATCTGGTTGGGGGTATGTGACGTCCGCGTCAGGACTTGACTCTTTCGGGCTTTCGGACTTGGTCAAGGGCCTGGACAGGTCGGTCACTCGTTATCTGAAACCAAGTATCTATCACATGTTTGTCATGAATAATCACAAGCTCCTACTTACAGATAGTATAAAGAGTCGTTGTGTAGCTATCTGTAACATTGGCGTTCTTGAATCTACTTGACTTGTATCTGGTTTTCTTGCGCGTCTTATTAATCTCTCACTGTGCCATATTCGAAAGCACCTGCTTCTCGTATCTGTCACATAGCACTTACGAGGCAGGGGTCTCGTCTGATGATCGACTTGTGATTTCCACTCCTGACGGACATAGGTCTCATCCACTGAAAGCTCACGCAGAGCTTGCATTGCATTAGTCTTCCTCTTGACACAGTTATTCCACCTCCAGCTCAACCAGTTGCCACATGAAACAAGGTTCTTGTTATCCAGATGCCGGACTGGAGTGTCAAGGACAAAAAGTCGCTGATGAAACTGACAAAGCGGTCAGTAAGTAGGAAACATGTACATTGTAGCCAGAGGTGAATCGATAATACAATCACTCGTGTGTAACCATCCTCAAAATAAAGAATACTCACCCCAGAAACACGTAAGGGAGCAATAAGATGTTTGAGTGCGCTCCATAAACACTCGCAACCTTCTCCATCCAAAAGGCCAAAGCCTTCACACTTACGAGGGTGGTATATAATTTGACACGCCCATTGGTGGCCATAAGCATGAAAAACTGATATTGCAAATGTCAACTGGTGAAGAGCGGCGTCATCAAGGAGTTGATACTTGACACAACTTCAATGAAGTTGACAGCCGATGTCATACAGGAGGCCGACGGTCATCTCGGGAGGGAGATTATCAAAAAGCTTCTTGATCAGGGCGAGAGCATAGTACTGCTTTTCTCCAGCTGACATCATGTTAGCGAGCCATAATACACGATCATGGCGACATAACATGGCCATCACCCCTGTATCTGCAAAAAATTGGGTGCTGGCCTTTTCGTGCTTCTCATCAGCTGCAAGAAAAGATTCACCGCAGCTATCCAGTACAGAGATGGGGACTTGCATACCATTCTCATAGCCATCCCCATCCTCTTCTGTAGCTGTAGGTCGCTTTCTCTTGCGACCCTGATCAGTGGGCCTACCGCGACAACTTTGCACATGAGCATCCATTGATGCCACCTCCTCATCCAAAAGGAAAACTGATCTGACTGGGCCCGGAGGATCTGGACCTCCGCCGCGTTGGTCCGCTGAACATTTTTGAGTGAAGCATGCGTCAATGCAATTATGGACGTCAGGTCTATTATGTGCTTTAGAATTTTTTTAGTTGATGATATTCACGCAACTTACTGGAGACTAAGGGTTCCACTTTTTTGCCAGTCATCCAAACCGAAACAAATTAAACAACGAGACCTCAGATAGTCACTTGGATGTGTTAGTCCCTCAGTGGACGGTGCTGGAAGTGGGTGATGAGCTCCAATGAGATTCAATAAGTGATCTTCGGCACTCATACAGAGCACAGAGTACCAATGATAGGTGTTACCAAATCGACAACAAAGATTATCCTATGATAAGATTGAGCTAGATGGCCAAAACCCAACACAGATGCTTGACTAACCTTGGTAGTAAGATGATACCCGCGGCCAGCCAGAAAGACTTCGAGTGTTTCGCACCAAGTGGTCGTGTTGGGAGTGATATGCACGAACAAGGTCTTCACAAGTTCCAGCAGCTGAAGGTCCACAGCGAGGGAAGGGGTGATGGGAGCGCATGCAAAATAACCGCGACCCAGGAGCTGAAGGGGAGCAGGTGCACAAGTGCAGCAATCAATTCGCAATATCTCAATATCTACGATATTATCAGCCAACAATAACTCAGGTAATAAGAGAGACATACAATTGAAAAGTATACAAGTGATATCAAGAGTTCTCCATCAACAAGAGGACCTGCACTGGAAGGCAGCAACTTCTTCTGCATCTGGTCTGATTTGATCGTGAAGAGAAGTTGATTTGCGCAAGTATGCAAAATATGGAGTGATCAACAAAGGAATGACTTCGTTTGTCCAGCACCGCCACTGATTTAACTTCTTTTGGCAGCCATTCAAATGGGAAGGCGGGAGTAAGTCGCCATCAGATATGTAGTGGAGTGAGTTATAAAAAGATGAGCCTTCCTCTTCATGCTCTAAAAGATCCCCAGCGGAAGGAGTATCATGCTGATTAGCAGTGTCGCCATCGCTCAAAGGTTGTTGCTGCTGCGACCTCCCTGTCATATCGAGTGATTGTTGTGTGAGGTGTTTTCTTCTGGGAAGTATGAGTAGTGGGGGGGCTATGGGAAGGTAAAAGTTGTTGCTTTTCTGCGGTCGCCGCCTCCTCTTCACCATGGAAGAAGTGATGAGTATGTGCTGCATATTATGAGGGGATGGAGTTGACGGCCCAGTGATAGGGATGGATGGGGCCATGGCAAGATAATTGGAGGCAAGCACGAAGCCTGCACAAAGGTCAGCATCAATGCGAAGTTGACTATGAGATAGTCAAAGGCAAGCACAAAGCCTGCACTAAGGTCAGCGTCGACATGAAGTCGACTACTGAATGCTAGGAGGAACCCGAAGTCCCAAACTTGCATCGAAAAGGAAGAGGATAAAGTGGGTGAACACATCAATCAACCTTTGGAGTAAACAAGGACTAGGAAACGTGAAGAAAGAAACTCTACCTGTTCATGTGCATGGTGTTGCTGTGTGAAACCAAGATGTTAGCGCATATATGTGGAAAATCAACTTTAATCCCTAGGATACATGTTTGTCCATGACGAAGTCCACTTAGGACCAAAACAGAATAATGGTAACATGTGATGGTATACAAACAATTGACTATTTGGGGTATAGGTTGATTAAATTTGTAAAAGTACACGGTGATTGCGATGGGAAAAGGGCACAGTGTCAATATCTATGCGACCGAATACAGTAGATGAGGTACAATAGGTGGACGGCCAGTATTGTCGAAATACGACTGGACGTAGAAGCAACAGCATTCCTTCATCCCCTTCCACATGTCGTGCTCGCGTCTGGTAGCATCGAGGGGCTGTTTGAGGAACTCAGGAAAGTGCTCCCACGTTGACAACCCTTGCGGAAACTTTCAAAGTATGGTAGAGCAGTGTCAAAAGATGACACATTGAGTCCATTGTTCTCTTCCGGTAAGTCCCTGTTCCAAACCCTCAATGATTTCGACGGGAAAATACTACAAATAAGTTCCGCTTGTAGATGGCACGCATCGCATGCACCCACCCAACAACATCATCAGGGAATTGACTGAACAAAGATAATGTTTTATATTGTATTGTCTAGTCTAAATTCAATCAAATAAGCATCATTATGATAGATCAATAGACAAATCTTTATATACCCGGAGTTACATCGATGAAAGGTGCCACATCTATCTTTCTTATATAGGAGGGAGATGTCATAAAGTCTATCAGCTTGCTGGCTAAATGTCATCTTTATCACTTTCTAAACGAATGGTGAATACTTCCAAATTGTCAATCACACCAACTGTTGGCAACGCATGGTCACCAATTGCAAGGTGTGGCAAACATGCTAAGTTTGATAATCAGCTAGCATCTTGACGTCACTTGACAGTTGCTGGTAAGGCTTGGTTCTGAATTATGAATCTGTCAAATGTACCATGAGGTTCAAAGGTGGCCTTGCATTGCAAGGTAAGTTTCACATCGATGCTACTACCAATATCTCCCCAATGGCTGTAAATTTACAGCGCTCTTGTTAGTTTCCAGCCCACACCACATCCACCAAAGAGTCCATGACTGACAGAGTGCTGTCAGGCATTGACTGGATGTCCGGCACTGACATTTAGCTGCAAGGCGAGTCTCACATGGTGCTACTACTGATCTCTCCCCAATGGCTGTAAATTTAACTGCTGCCTTTCAGGAATGTTCATGTGGCATCGCAACAACATTGTAGGGTAGCCAATTATTATTTGGTATCAAAGATCTCGTCGGCAAAAGATCTCGGCAGCACATAGCAATAGGCATAGCAATAGGCAGCATTTATATTACAAAATTTCACTACCAACTAGCCAGGACGACGCAGATATGCATTACAAAGCACTGGTATTTGCATCTTTGAGAGCTGCATGCTTTTGGCGAATCTTAGAGAGAGCACTGTTAGCTTTGAGAGTTCGTTTAGCTGCTGATGAAGTGGGAAATATCTGACTAAACTAATAGGACTGAGACCTTAAAAACTCGTCAGAAAATTATTGGCTTACCGATTCCACCACACAAAGAGATCTGTTACTTCCCCTCTTTCATCTGGATCTTCCAAAAGGTCAAGAAGAGAGTGATAAAACGTCTCCGAATCAGTTGTATCTGTGCAAGAAAACACTGATTATGAACAAATTGCAAATCGAACCTGTCTCAATCATCAGCCACAAAAATACAATAATCGAAAGTATTTCAATGACCTGCGTTGCGATATATGCGACAGAAGGAATAGTGACGGCAGTCATACCATGAATGCGGGCATTGCCAGCACGCGTAGCCTTGGGCTCCTTTTCCACCGAACTCGGCGATGTAAACACATGCCTGAATGCCTTGTAAGAGGATATACGTTAAGCGATCATGTAATTCAGAAAGACACCAAGCGTACTCACATTGATAAGCAGGCGGCTTCTAAGGAGGCCATTCCAAGGATCGTCTGGATCATAGGTCTCATTGGCGTACAAGAAATGAGGCCATTGGTCTCCACTGACAGCAATTTCACCACTTTGCAGCTGCTGTTTTGTCCTGGTCAGCGTCAAGAAGTGTCAGTGATTGATGTCTGAATAAAAATAAAGCAGCCTACTCTGTGTCATTCCAATCCAATTCAGCAGGACAGAGTAGTCGGCCAGTGAGAGGGTGGTTGAAGCCATGACTGATCTTGGAATTCCATGGCAAAGGAGGCAGGACCACTTCTCCTGCAGGTACTATCCAATTGATCACCACAGGTTTCAACGACTTGGTGTCTTCACCTCGAGCAGCAGATGCCCCCTTACCGATCTGCCAGTTAAGCACTAAGGATGTTTGGTAGATATGAGTGACTCACTAATTCTCCAACGTGAAGAACTTCTTCCTCTGAGCCTTCTCGCAGTCGCTCTAGAAGTCCAGGGTATGAGTCTAAGAGTCTTTCAAAGACTAGGTGCTCTCGCCGCTCTCTAACAACTGTGTCAGATTATTGTGAGTAAGAATTAAGACAGTATTGACTCAGCAGAAAAATCTTCTATAGATGCATCCTCCAGTTGTTCCAATTGTAATATACCATTAGTTAAAAGGGAAGGGTAATTGCAGAGAGCGAAAACTGTCCGGCCAAAATGCCTCCCGTGTGAAACTAAGGGATCAGATTTCAATCTAAAATACAGGGTCAGGCCAGAGAATTCGAGTGATTTGAAAACTCACGCTCTCTTGCGAGGTCCTAGCTGAAGAGCTGATGAACCTCCCTTGCAAGATTCATTTGAAGATGAATTATCATCGTCCATATTGATGACTCACAGGTATACCAGCTAAGATGATTTACTTATACATGATTAGTAGAGGCACAGCCTCATCCCAATAATGAGATATCATGTTGGCGCCATTTAATTATGTCAGCGCGCCAATGGGCATGCCATTGGTATGCTGTAATGTGGCCACAGAGCCTTACATTGATGTCAAACATCTAGATGGCCCGAACAAATTGATCCGATAAGTGAGCATCTGTTGAGATGATTGTAGTTCCTGCGGAGTAGTATAAAGCACACATTTGTGTTGAACTTGAAATCGTTTTCTTGCAATGCAACAATCATTAGCGATAAAAGGCTGCTGTGGAAAGTTGAACCTGCGGTAAGTTTGTCTGAGTCGATATCCCTAAACACACTTGTAAACTCTATCTTCTAAAGGATGGAGATCAACGTGAAGACAGACAATATCCAGAGAGGTGAGGGATCAGAGGTGTCTATGTCCGTCATGTCTGTCCAAAGTTCTTCATAACATACTTAAATAACTCACCCGCACTGGTACAGAAGCTCGTGCACCGACTCAGAGGATACTCATCTACAACCGGAAAAAAACCAGACTCCTGCCAATGACGCAGTTGAACATATTACGTTAACTGGTCTCCAAGAACGTCTGGAGGTAGTAGAGAAGAACTGCAGTCATTATTTCGAACTATACAAAAAATACAGATTGAGGTGGCTAGAAGAGAACCACCGAGCAGGAATTCTAGAGAAATACGCACCTCCCAATGTGGACAGCTACAGTCCAGCCCAGATATAATGGGATGCGCCATCTCCACATGTTCTAGGTAAGATTTAAGATTTAGTACATCATGACGAATCTGAGACAAAGCTCAACAGAAGAAGGGGAAGAGACGCCATAGTGACAAACCAGACCTGTGGAGACAAAGTTTGAGCGTTCAATCTATTTGCACAAACTTCACTTACTGTAGTTATGGAGCATGAATACAGCCCATAAATACACGCAATGCATGGTATGGCCAGCCTCAAGGTACACCAATATTGTAAATTTGTAATGATGAGTGTGACATATCACATAATCATGTGACAAAGAACTTCAATTGACACATAATTCTGTACGTAATAGATACCTGGAAGTAGACGTATTGCCCCCTGATCCAACAATAACAGCACGGTCAAATTAAATGGGCTCCGATGTATTCAGTGAGAACGGAACAATGGGGACCATGCCGAGGACGATCATTGTAAGGACTTTTGTGAAACATGTGCTCGGCTAATGAAATGTAGAATCAAGCTGACTTTTTTTGGGCGATGGTATGTAACTAATTAGTGTAGACCATTAACTTATCAGCATGTAGTCTAATGCCATCGCATCCGCTCCTGCCGTCTCGCCCATCACCACTCCCAATAACACTTCCGCTAACACTCCCGCCGTCAGTGCTAGCATGAGTGCTGGACAGAGATTGAAAACACTTTTGAGAAGGGCGATTCAGGGAGCTATGAGTGCCATGAGAGTGGCCGTGCATGCAGCTTTCCACGCAGCGACAAAATTTGCAGCAATATTCAGATAGGTACGACACACTTTTTTTCAAAAGTTTACCTGAACTCGCTTAAATATTATGATACAGGCCTGAATGATTCCGTTTAGATGATGCTCTACTTTGGTTTACGTCGACTTACTTTCTTAATTATCCTGTCTCATCTCACACTGACATTCTCCGAGTCCTACTACATAATCACATACCTATCCCCCATCTTGTAGTACTCCCCCTGCCCATTCTCATACCCATGCTGTACCTGCTCGCCCTCCTGGGGAAGAATCATCGAGGGATGCAAATAGGTCGCGAAGAGACTCTCTTCCCCTTGCAGAAGCATCATTGGCGGGTGTAGAGAACTACCCTACATAGCAACATAGACCACTGTAGTGTGAACCACTAAAGAAGAAGAAAACATCAAGGATCGTGAAAAAAATATGAAACAAGCACAAGACGTAGAATGTTTAGTACTGCTGCATGTTCCCCATCTCGTAGTACTCCCCCTGCCCATACTCATACCCATGTTGTACCTGCTCGCCCTCCTGGGGAAGAATCATTGGGGGATGTGAATAGGTTGCGAAGAGATTCTCTTCCCCCTGCAAAAGTATCATTGGCGGGTGCAGAGAAGTACAAACACTAGCCATACTCATACCCATGCTGTACCTGCCCGCCCTCCTGGGAAAGAATAATTGGGCGAAGAGAATAAGGTCGCAAAGAGACTCTCTTCCCCCTGCGGAAGTATGATTGGCGGGTGCAGAGAACCAACAAAAAATTAGCATGTGTTGAACAGAACAGAAGACTTATCAGATGGGAACTCCAAGTGATCGCACGGGCAGGAGACTTGAAGTATGAACACTAAGACAAGATATTACAGCGAAAAAAAATACAGATTCTTGTCAAAGCGTAACTGAATGTCTTGCATTACAATCACATTGAAGTGTGAGGAGTTGTGCTACAGAGTGGTGTTAAACTGTCAAGTGCCGTATTGCTGACTTGTATCAGAGCATTGCACTACGGAGTTGCATAACAGCTTGAACAGTGGTTGTAGTTAAAACACAATCAGAAATGAGGGTATTTCAGCACTCACTCAATCAGTGAAAGTGATTGTTGACGGCCCATCCGTTACGCCCCTTCTTCCACTTATCAAAGCCTTTATCAGTATGGAAGACAAATGATGCTCTCTTACCCTCATAGTGAAGGTTAAAATGAGTGGTGTCATCAGAGGGGAAAATGACGAAGTCACCACATCGTAGCTCCAACACTAATCCCTGCTCAAAGTGTACTAAATCCCCAGCCTTGAACTCGCCTATGGGCAGGACAAGACACAGGTCCTTATCAAACCTGTCTCTGTGAGCCTCTGTGGTGACATTGAGATTGATGACAATGGATAGAAACGGAGCCACCGGTGAGCATTCTCCACCTGGGAGATTTTGACTGAGTTCAACAATGACTTCATACTCCTCTGGTAAGTGTGTCTTCATCTGGGACGAAAGTCAATGTCAAGGTAAACACATTCCATCAAGGACGCTCACCACATGTTCTAACCATTCGAAGAGTTCGCTGAATGTAGCCAGTACATTGTTATAGACTTGTTGGTGCTCTAAAATGTCTTTCGAAGCATAGGGCAAACATTGAGTATGATTGGTGCGGCTGACACCAACTCTAGCCATCTCATGTGGGTGAATATGTGTGGGCGCACCAGCTCCCTATAAGATATATCATTCTCATGTCGTATTTTCAAAGGGATAGGTAAAGGACTCACCGTAGTTGAGTATCGATTCCAAAGGGAGAAGTGTAGGCATTGGAAGGGATGGCTAAGGGTTTGCTCTGTCAGCTTCTCTAAGTCACAGTTAGCACAATCCTCCACTTCTGGTACATCATCAGAATCTTAAACATCAAAGTAGTCTTGCTTGTGACACATCTGCAAGACCTCCTTTCCATCAAAGCACGCAAGCAAGTTGCTGGCGAGGCCACAGCAAATGTCCTCAGGTAGTGACAAACATACAAAGGCCATGAGGCTGCCATCGGAATTGCATAGATCAAGTCCACCACTAAAACAGTGAGTTTGCTGTTCTTCATTCTGCGAAGAAGCTCCACTCACCCTTGCAGAATACTCATTGGTATGCGTAAGTACCTGTCTTCAGCTCTACAGCCATCAATATACAGGTTATCTAACTTAATTCACATGTCAGAGTGTCATTGCAAATTTTCAGTCCGCTCACCTTGCTATGCAGGTCATCAATATCCTTGACAACTTCTCCTGCCTCTGCTTTCGCCTGCTCACCTTCGGTCCAAATTATATTCTCCCTTCTGTTGGTCTTCGCAGGGAAATGAACGTTGGATCGGTGTTTCCAGTCATATGAAGTTTGGATGACAGTGACGTCAATGGGTATTTTCGTACCACAACATTCATTTATTGAATCGAGCATAGAAGGTAAGTGGCTGGAGATGCCCTTACCATCAATGACAAGCCGCTGTTCAGTCACAGCTGGGATGCAAATGGCCCAGGCTCCCATTTCCCTAGTGGGAAGAGAAAAATGACTGGAAAAAGTGGGGTAAGAATTATGGGTTACAATCGCCTACATATCATAGAACCCACTGTTGTTTGAATCCATCGAATACCTTATCAGAAAGCGAGAGATCTGTACAGTCCATTGTGTTACCAACCCACATATTACAGTGACCTATCTCCGTATAATACGAGGGAACGGACGTGCATAATATCCCGTATGATACGGGCCAGCGGACCATGGGCCCATGATAAAAATATCCTCGACTATGACGGATGGGCTGGGAGGCAAATTATTCCCAATGGAGGTGGGTGGGCCCATGCAGGGAATATATAGAGTAGATGAGTGGGCCGATGTACATGAATATTAGGTAGACGGGTGGGCCGAGGTAGTTGGATATTATGCAGATGGGTGTATTAAGGTAGATGTGTATGAGATAGATGGGTAGGTACTTGTTATCACATTCATGGGTGGGCCCAGACACATATTAAATTAGACGGGTGGGCCGAGGGTATTATAAAATATTGTATTAGACGGTTGGGCCCAGACGCATATTAATTAGACGGGTGGGCTGAGGGTGTTGTATGGGATGTTGTATTAGACAGGTGGGCCGAGGGTGGTATAAAATATAGATGGGTGGGCCCATGTGTATCATAATTGTAGACATGATGGAGCTGAGGTAGTTGTACATCAACCAAATCAGAGGAGGTAATAAATCAAAGTTACTAAGTTCCCGGAGCAGCAGGTGATCTCCTGACATGGCCTTTGATGGTGCACAGGTTGTCTTGCAGAATTTGGAATCCGGGGTGCAAAGCTTGTGTTGCCCTATGAGATGCCAAGTTCCAACCACCCAAATTTGGGTCAACCATACCAACTTCCAAGTTCCAGGACCCAGGAGTTGACAAATGAATATCTGATAACCAGCACACTTCCAATCAGGTAGTATTTCATTGAGCAATGGATCATCCAAGGGGTCCCTTATCGGACTTGGTAGTCAATATAGGCAAATGATAATGAAAACATGAAAGTTGTTATTATGCTATTTTTCAAACCCGAGACCCTGAAACCCATTGTTCAACATGTCCATTTTTCACTCACTGCACAAATCACTGAGTTTTGAGTGCCAAAACCCAAAACTCGAAACCCAGTGTGCAACATGTCGATTGTTCATTTACATTACACAGATCATCGAGTTCTGAGTGCTGAGTGCTGAAACCTGAAGCCCAAAACCCGAAAATATGTATGGAACATGTCCATTTCTTACTCATTGCACATATCACCGAGTTTTGAGTGCCGAAACCCGAAACTCGAAACCCAGTGTGCATCATGTCCATTGTTCAATTATATTACACAAGTCATCGAGTTCTGAGTTCCAAGAGCCAAAATCCGAACCCCGAAAATATGTGCGCAACATGTCCATTTTTCACTCACTGCACAAATCACCGAGTTTCAAGTGCCAAAGCATGAAACTTGAAACCCAGTGTGCAACATGTTGATTTTTCATTTATATCACACAAATAACCAAGTGCCAAGTGCCAAGTGCCAAGTGCCGAAACCCGAGACCCGAAAATATGTATGCAACATTTCCATTTTTCACTTGTTGTACAAATCACTGAGTTTCAAGTGGCAAAACCCAAAACTCAAAACTGGGTGTGCAAAATGTTCATTGTTCATTTACATTACACAGATCATCGAGTTCCGAATGCTGAGGGCTGAGACCCGAACCCCGAAAATATGTGCACAACATGTCCATTTTTCACTCACTGCACAAATCACCAAGTTTCGAGTGCCAAAACCCAAAACTCAATCCCCAGTGTGCAACATGTCCATTTTTCATTTACATTACAACACGGATCATCGAGTTCCGAGTGCCGAGGGCCGAGACTCAAAGCCCGAAACCCAAAATCATGTACACAACATGTCCATTTTTCACTTGTTGCACAAATCACCAAGTGTCGAGTGTCGAAACCTGAAACCCAGTACTTCACATGGACACAAATTGTATTTGTATGTATTATCCATTGGTGTAGGGTTCAAATAACTTGGTAATTGTATTTGTCAGTACTCGGTACTTGGTACTCAGTGATTGGTGGTCAGTGGTCGGTACTCGAGACTCAGTAGTCAATATAGGCAAATGATAATGAAAAATGACAGTTGTAGTCCACGTCAAGGTGAGTGTCTTGGTAGTCTTTCCTTGTCATTCGGCAAAACATCAGCAATAATGAAAAAATGAAAGTTGTTATTATGCTTAACTTCCTTACCAAAGGTTGTAGTCCAAGTCCAGGTGAGTGTAGTGGTAGTCTTTTCTTGTCAATTGGTTATCTTGTTACTCATTATGCAGTACTCGGTACATGGTAATTGGTACTCAGTATTTGGTTTTGATACTCGGTACCCAGGAATCAGTAGTCAGCTTAATGAAGGTTGTAGTCCGAGTTTATTTGTAGTCTTTTCTCATCCATTGGTTACCATGTGACCGAGATATAAGCTAAAGAAATCCGAAACATCAATAATGACAAATGAAATACATGTGTGCAGTAAGTGAGTGTAAAGATAAATGAATGAATATTAATAGCAAGACTTGCACATTATGTCGAGATATCCAACATAACAAACCTGTGATGTGATGAGAGACCTGGAATAACACCCATATACATCCATTATAATAGCTTAAAAGCCTAGAAAGATTCATGAAGGATTGATGTAATGATAGGCAAAATGACATATGTGTGGAGAGTGACAATAGACATCTTTTATACAAAGTCACATTTATAAATGATTCAGACCAAAAATATCATTACAAATATGTAGGATAGATCGTAAACTACCCAAGGAACCCATACTGCCTACTGCCCTGAGGGTAGGGGGTGGGTAGAAGGGATATAGTGAAAATATGAGTTGACCCAGCATTAAAGTCCTACCACTGCTCAACTAACCATTTTCGATGCTTTGGGTCTTTGAAGTTTCCCACACTCAATTTCTTACCCATTTCACTTCCTCATAATAATAACTTTCATTTTTCATTATCACCGATGTTTCAGATTTCTTTAGCTTATATCTCGGTTAAATGATAACTGATGGACAAGAAAAGACTACCAATACACTCCCCTAGACTCGGACTACAACCTTCGGTAAGGAAGTTAAGCATAATAACAACTTTCATTTTTCATTATCATTTGCCTATATTGACTACCAACCAACTACCAACTACCAACTACCAACTACCGAGCACTGACAAATACAATTCCCAAGTTATTTCAACCCTACACCAATGGATAATACATACAAAGACAGAATTCATGTCCATTTGAAGTACCGCGTTTCGGGTTTCGGCACTCAATGACCTGCACCAAACCGGTTCGGTGCATGGATGACTAATGCTCTCCCACGAGCCCGATACCCTAGAAATCATTATGAACAATCTTCCTTTACTTTATGGTTCAGACTGCAGTTCAGATAGTATTTTCATTTCATTTCTCAGATAGACTCAGATAGGCTGAATATTTTTGTATATTTAATTTTGCGGTAAATTCTGCTTAGTCAGCAGCAACAATGACTCAGACTGAATCCCACACATGTCAAGTAACAGTGAAAAATAGTTCTTGCATAAGTTGCCTTGTGGGAACTTTCTTAAAACCCTAAATACACGGCTCGCATCATTTCTATGGTCAATAAAGTAACATCATAACAAGACACCAACAAATAACATAATCAGTCTGTTACTTAATATTTGTCACATGATACTAAGTCATATGACTCTAACAGTCAGGTGACCTATGATCCTAAACCAAATCATGACAAAGCAACCTTTTGAGATGACTAAAGCTTGATGACACAAATTATAAAGCACATGACTAACAGTACAATAGTATTGGTACAATCTGACTAAGCCTATTTCCCTTAGAATGTGGGAAATAGTAGCACAGCCACCCTAATTTATCTATATAAGACCCCACTTTTTGCCAATAAAAAAATATAGATAGGGAACTTTTAAGCCCCACAAAATAAATTTGAGTGTGAAGTGTGATCAGTATCAACAACAGTGACAAGAGCTGTTAAGCAACCAATTGAGAGGTCATTGTAAGCAACATCCAGCAATACCTTTAGCTCATCGTCAACAACTGTCAAATATCTTGAGCTCACTGTGCTCAACAGTGAGCAAAACTTTTTTCTTTGATTTTCTACTGGTGAACCTCTAGTCTCTTTCTTTTCTTTTCTTTCTTCTTTTTCTCTTTCTTTTCCTGTTTCTTTCTGTCTTTTTTTTCATTTGTCTCTTTTTCTGTTCAGTTCGTTCACGTCTTAGTGTTATTGTCTGAATTTGTTTCAAGATCTTTGTGTTGTCTTTACGTCCATCTAAGCACCGGCTTAGTGGGAAGACTTCAGAAGTTGATAGTGACGCTTGACCTCACTCATCTGAGTAGTGATACTGAGCCAGGGTTTTCTTTGTCTGCTAGACTTTAGTTGTTGAATAGGGGACTTGGTACTGAAATCCAAGGACATCCATTCCTGATTCTGTTTAATACTCATCGTGAGTTCCTTGGCAGCAGGTTCAATAGTGAACTAAGAGTTCTACTGATCACTGATTAGTCCTGACCTTTAATTCTACCTGTTTGTGCTGAGGGGGTGATTGTTATAACTTCGCACAATTTTTCTGTAGTAAATTTATTATGAGAAGCATTGTTACTGAAGGAAGGGTTTCTATCATCAATCTATTTCTTTTTTATCAGGACTGTACTGTTGGGCTGACTTTTCTTTGTTCTCTAATCACTGCCATACCATTGGAGTGATTCATTTTCTTTTTGTCATCACCATACTGTTGGGCTGACTACATTCTGTTTATTTTTTATTATTACATCCATACTGTTGGATTGACTGGTATTGCTACTGACCTCACAGAAGTACTTTTGTCTGACATAGCTTGGGGAAGTGTAAACAGCCACCCACGAACAACCACATTATCAGTCATTGGTATTTGTCTGAATCACTGACCATGGAGATTTTTGATTTTGTAGGTGTTTATCTATAGATCATCTATCTAAGAAGACATCGACACTTGGTGATTTGTGCAATGAGTAGATGGGCATGTGGCATACATGTTTTCGGGCTTCGGGTTTCAGTATTCGGCCCTTGGCACTCAATGATCTGTGTAATGTAAATGAACAATGAACATGTTGCACACTGGGTTTCGAGTTTCAGGTTTCGGCACTTGAAACTCGGTGATTTGTGCAACAAGTGAAAAATGGAAATGTTGCATACATATTTCCGGGTCTCGGCCCTTGGCACTCGGAACTCAATGAATTGTGTAATGTACATAAAAAATGGACATGTTGCACACTGGGTTTCAAGTTTCACGCTTTGGCACTCGAAACTTGGTGATTTGTGCAGTGAGTGAAAAATGGACATGTTGTGTACATATTTTCGGGTCTCGGCACTGGGCACTTGGAACTCGATGATTTGTGTGATATAAATGAAAAATCAACATGTTGCACACTGGGTTTTAATTTTCACGCTTTGGCAGAACTCGAATCTGTTGTGATTTAGATATCACCTGAAACCCGAACACCTGAATGTCAAATTTTCAGTGCCGAACCCCGAGTGCCGGGTGCCAAGTCCCGAAACCTGGAACTCAGGATTTGACATTTGAGATGAACGAAAATTTTCAGACATGTTTGAATTAACCTATGTATATCTATAAACATTTCACTAACCCCTGAACCCCGAAAAATATTTTTGTTGTCTTGCATACCGAGTTCCGAGTTCTGAGACCCCCGAACCCCGAAACCCAGCAGTCCACAATTTCAGGGTTCGGGGGTTGGTAAAATGTGTATGGATATATGAAAGGTTGATTTGAACATTTTTGAAAGATGTCTCATATCAAATGTCAAGTCCCGAGTTTTGTATATCCATAGACATTTTACCAACCCCCGAACCCTGAAATTGTGGACTGCCGGGTCTTGGGGGTCAGCACTCGGGACTTGGGAAATTTGGGGAGATCAATAAAATTTGATCTACAATAAATTTGATTTACAAACAAATTGATTTACAAACTTTTGAAAGATATCTGTGTCGTCTCACATATCGAGTCCCGAGTTCCGGGACCCCCAAACCCCGAAACCCAAGACCCGGCAGTCCACAATTTCGGGGTTTGGGGGTTGGTAAAATGTCTATGGATATACAAAAGGTTGATTCAAACATGTTTGAAAGATGTCTTACCCGGAACACGGGACTCGATTTTTGAGATGAAAGACATCTTTCAAACATGTTTGAATCAACCTTTCGTATATCCATAAACATTTTACCAACCCCCGAACCCTGAAATTGTGGACTGCTGGGTCTCAGGTCTCGGGGGTCCCAGAACTCGGGACTCAATATGTGAGACGACACAGATATCTTTCAAAAGTTTGTAAATCAATTTGTTTGTAAATCAAATTTATTGTAGATCAAATTTTATTGATCTCCCCAAATTTCCCAAGTCCCGAGTGCTGACCCCCAAGACCCGGCAGTCCACAATTTCAGGGTTCGGGAGTTGGTAAAATCTCAGGGTTCAGGGTTTGGCACTGTAAAAATTTGACATTTATATTTTTGCGAGTGTTGTGCTTCTGGTGTCTGTGTGTAGAAATAGGATATATTGCACACCAGGGTTCAGGTGTGGGGTTTTCCCACTTCAGTACTCGATTATTGGTCAATGCCACACATGGTCGATTCATGTTTTCATGCTTATGGGTTTAGATTTTGGTGGTTGATGGTAGGTATATACACTCATAGTGTGCATGTATCCTACATGTTTGATTTGCTGGTGGCTACATCAGCTGTATGTCTTGATGAAACGTATCTAGGCTCACCCATATATGTACCCATCTATGTACAATTCCCCCACGTCGGCCCACCCGTCTATGTAATACATCCTATGTTGGCCCACCTGTCTATATAATTATACCCCACCTCGGCCCACCTGTCTATGTAATAAATATTTTATCACACCCTCAGCCCACCCGTCTAATTAATATCCCTTATGTCGGCCCACCCGTATATGTGATATTCCACCACCTCGGCCCACCTGTCTATGTAATAAATATTTTATTGCACCCTCAGCCCACCCGTATATGTAATACTCCCCACGTCGGCCCACCTGTATATGTAATATGGCCCACGTCAGCCCACCCATTTATGTAATATTCCCCTACCCCGGCCCACCCGTATATGTAATACACCCCTGTTGGCCCACCCATCTATATAACAATATTTGCCTTACATCTCTCTTCAGCCCAGCTGTCTATAATATCCTACTCTACATATTACCCAGATGGGCCCACCCATCTCCATGAATGATCATATTCCCCCGGCCCATCCGTCAACATCAAGGATATATATATCATTGGCATACATGGGCCCACCCGTCTCCATCGGAAATAATATGTTACCTGGCCCATCCATCGTCATCGAGGATATACACAACATGGGCCCATGGTCCGCTGGCCCGTCTGATATGGGATATTATGTAGGTCAGGTGGCCCATATAATACGGAATTTGTCACTGAAGGGGCTCACCAACCCCAATGCTCGTCAGAAACGACAAGCAAAATATGTTTCTCAGACAGATAGGCATGTGACATCTGATCCAAGCAATGGTAGGGATAATACTATTGGTGATCAGCTGTGGCGTCACTTGTGAAGAAGTGATCAGTGTGTGAACAGAGTACCAAAAGGCGACTGACCACTGGACTCAGGTTTGCCTGTAAAGTTTCCAGTATTACAATCAGTCCATAAAGAAGGAGTGCAAAGAGACAACTCACCACTGGTGGTCCCTGGCTGCCTCAACATCTTAGCCACTTGGCGAAGGACTTCAAACCTGATCGTTGTGATTTTCCATCGAATCTCAAGACCTGCTATTATAACAAGAAGGAAGAATGAACCGCCCGCAGCCAGTATGATGAATTTGCAGCCATTTTCATTCCAACGTTGGAAAGTACGCTCCGAGGGTGCATTCTTCAGCTTTGCAACCTGGTCATTGTAAATTCTGCAAATACTATACTTTTCTGTGGCAGTAGACGCATGGATGATGCTACAAGGATGCTTGTCAATAAACAGCCAAAAACACAGTAAGTACAATGCCTTTGACACTGAATAGCCAGCTGCATATACGTGATCATGGCGACCAAACTGGAGCTGGCTGTCTGAATGGAAATCAAGTGACAGCGTGCTACTGTTTGTTCTAATGAGCCCCCGGCTAACTCTACACCGCCTGGATCCTTGAGATAAGAAGTACTGTTGGCAACCCATGATCGAACATTCAAAGAAGATGACCCGGAGTCTACTCGAGCACTTGCGAGCACCGCAATGAGAGCATCACTGGTAATGAAGCTGTTGGATGTGATAGATGTGGCTTGTGCCTGCCATCTTGGAGGTGCATGAAAGCGTCTTCCATTACGAGGGCAGTCTGGCTGAAATAATACCACTCTTGGATTGATGGCGGTTCCAATGGGAGTATAAGGGTGTTGATGAAGTTGTTGAAGTTTCCTAGATGTGACTCGCCGTTGGTGACCATTGAGCATTTCTTCTTCTTCAACATTGAAGTCATCATCTGTATAGTTTTCATAAGCATAGTTATCATCAGAGCAATTATTTTGAGCACCGGCTACATAGTCTTCATCTGCATAATTGTCATCTGCATAACAGCCCATCTCATCATCAAGGATCGAATCATCAACTGGGTCAGTATGTTGGGAATCACTCATTTCCTCATCAAAGCTGAGGCTCTCATGAAAGACACTGCCTGGGGAGGATGTTATATTGTTGCAGTTGGTGGCGCAGGACGGGATCTTGTAGCAGGCAGCATAAGAGTAGGATGGATAGACTTCATCTTCAGAGGATGAGCCGACTTCACTGTCAGAAGAAGGGTGGACTTGGTCTCGGCTGAGTTGACATACTACTAATGAGGTCATTCAATGAAGAGGGCAATTGGCAATATCTCACCTATCTCCGATCAAAGGTGATTCATGAGAGATTAAGTACGGTGGCAGAGACAGCAAATACTGCACTCTATTAAGCAAAGGCAGTGTCTTGATTTTTTTGTCCACCCGCCCTACTAGAGCATGCTCAATGAACATGAGTTCAGTCGCTGTCACTTCCAGATTGAACTTGTCTGCTGATGGCAAAAACTGCCCTTGTGATACGCCATTTGGAAGGGCTGCATATGTTGGTCGAGTCATTGAGAGTGGCGAAGTCTAAGCACTAGTACTAGTAAGTAGTGTCAACTCGGACTCGCCAGACGTCAGACAGTCATGGTCACATAATACGCCAAATCCAAACACTGACTCGGATATGTATGATTAATCAATAATCAATAATCATTAATAATAACATTGTCTCTAAGTGCTGAGCCAAGATGGCGTAAAAGATGCTCAAGTTGCTCCTGTAGAATAGAATATATGTACTACAGAATTTGAAAGTGCCTGAGTCAAACTCTCAGGTACAAAAAGTCCGGCAAAATCCGGGTTGAGTGGCACTTACAATGAGTTAATAACTTAGACGTCATCAACATGAACGTACGGCACCACTTCTGCTCAAAAACCACACCATGCCAAGGGAACCAAAATGCCTGACACCAAGATGAGGCAGCAAGCACATGTAATGAGGGCAACTGTGGAGTGCTCAGTGTCTATGAAGGCACTTGCAAGGAACCAAATGCTGGACCAGACAACACTTTAGTATGTCTTGTGTAAGCAACTACGAGCGAAATGAATATAATCAAACATTTACTTGCCTCATAATACCAAAGAATCTTGGTGCGCTGAACACGCCAAGGACGACTGTCATTCCCTGATCAAGGTAATATGCCTGGTCAGTTGGTAATGTCAGACTTTAGCTGCAGAAGACAGAAATCAAACATACCACAAATCTCAGGGATTTCAATTTCTCTCCAAAGTGTTGTGCAAACATGCCTGTGAACATGCAGCCAACACAAAATATAATGGACCCCTTCAAAATAGACTCAGAAACCGTCCCTGTACCTATACCTTGGACGGCAAGGAAACCAGCATCAACCGCCATGATGACCCCTGCCTGTCGGTGGAGATCTATGTAACGAGTTCTCATTTCCAATCTTGAAATATCCACTTACCAAGGTAATCTGTGCGGTGTTCTGGGAGTTGAAATCATCAAGAAAGGCCTTGATGTCCAGAGAATTGACTACGCCATCAACATAGATTTGGTTGAGTCGTTCGCGAACCAAAATGGGAAGGAAAAACATTGTGATTGTTGCTATGAAGGAAAAGGGATCTCTCTTCCTAGAACGATGGCCCGTTGAATGATTTCGCAAAAGGCGTGCTTCAGGTTGTCCATAGTGGTTCAGGTATTGATGATGCCCTAAAGCATCTGATTAGTAACTATGTCTGGTAGGAGAAAGAGACACATACGTAGCATGTGATATAGTCTGCCTATTACCCATGATATGAGTATCTAAATTGTCTGAATTTCCGAACTCTTGCTCACCAAACAATGCGACACCTGGCTCCGTTATGACTCCATCAGAACTTGAAATATCATCTACTCTTTGATCATAAACATGCGTGCAGGAAAATACAATAGTACCCACCAAGACTAACCAGTCTATCGATGATTTTCTCCATCACATCCTTGTTGGAGAATATGGTTGCTGAAGTTGAAGTTTGTAATGTCAAGGCATCTGTTTGTCGCTCAGGTCATTCTATCCAGTATTGCGACACAAAGAAACTTGCCTATGTGAAACCAATTAAGTTCAGTCAGCAGCTTTCTCACATGACCATGATCTAGCTTGAAGTTTTGGGGGAAGAATTCTGCATGCTTCCTGTGTAATTTTGTGAATCGATGTCAAAATCAACATTCTTTGTACCAACATCTAGAAAACTCACCAGAACTGCGCCTCAAGTTCAAGTCCTGCAAAACGATAAGGGTGTAAGCGTAATGACAGGACATGAAAGGTAACATACTTTTGTGGTTCCATTGCCGAGCGAAATGGCATTCTCGGAAAAGAAGAGTACCATCCAAAGGTTCTAGCCAGCCAATTACTTCCGCCTCCAGCACTACTAGGTAATACAGATAGATGTCTCCATCCACATTCCGAGTCCTTGTTGGCTCGGCAACAATGGTACGATCTCCAATCACTTTGCCTCACATAACTTTTACCCAAGCATCAAAGTTTTCTAGTCGAACAGCTGGACAGTCCTTTATATTCAATCTGGTGTATGTGTTCTATCCTGCCATCAAGTGAGTGTGATATCTACATATAACTGGTGCTCACCCTTGTCTCATTGTAATAGTAAATCGCTCCTGATGGGTGGATGAACTTTTCCCATTCCCCATACACCTCCTTCCTGTTTGAATTGGAGTCAGTTTTGACTGTCAAGGAGGGTGACTAACTGAGAAGAATCGAATTGCATTTCTTGAACCATGAAGTCAGGCCCTGCTGGTGGCATCCTATATATTGTGAATTAAGCTGGAATCCAGTATCATTAGATGTCCTTAGTGATGGGTGCCTCACTTTACTGTCTTTTGGGCATACCGCCCCAGCTGCGTCAGCCAGGCAGGAGTGCTGTGACTGATGATATTATGCTGCACAGCCTGCTAGTCGTCAGATAGTATTCAGTGGCTGTCTGGCACACAATTCATTTTGACGTACCGACATTGAGAATATTTGATTTATTAGAAGACAGGACAAAGACGGATTGGAATAGGGATAAGTCTCTAATAGTACATATATAAAGATATGTACCGAGAACTCAACACATTGTATAGAAGTTTAAGCCTGAAAACTCACGATAACACAATTGCTGACCTAATCATGGACTAACTTTGAATCACATAATACTGGGTACTACGCCTGAGTGCGACAAGAAAAATGGACACTATTATTCAAGTTGTAGAAACAATGACCTGCAGACACTGCACTGGTATATATAATGATAAATCATAAAAATTAGTATCTACGTTGACTATGGCGGTATATATATGAATGTCAAAGGTCATATGGGTGAACTATCTGTCTTATTCATAACGATAGATTAGCATGCAGCAATCGCACGCAGGAAGTTACACTATCTACATGGTTGGATAGTATAGCAGAACAATGGAGATGGTATGGCACACATACCTGAACTTTCAGCATCACATCCTTGCCGCACCACACCTCCTTCAACCAAGATGAAGATTGGAAGCATTGGAAGGCAGGTGCTCATATCAAAAGAATTGAGAGGTGGTGAGACTGGGCGTGACACCATCAATATTTGGTGAGTGTGGATGCAGCGACAAGACAACAATAACGTACCCAAGGACAAGCCAACACCGACCAATTGCCCTAGGCAGCCTATAATCTGGATGCATTAATATAAAGAACAGGTTAATCTCTCACAGTGAAAACCACTCACTGTAAAGTAGACATTATGAATGAGCTCGGTGCTCGTTGTTGTCAGGCGCCTGACAACAATGAGCTCAACCCGGATTTTGCCGGAGTCAAATATTCCCACTGCTGATTTTTATCGAGGGTATTTGTCACCTTTTCCTTGACTTAGTAATTAAAGCTTGCTCTTTACCCTCCGCGCTCAGGCAAGTGGCAACTTGGAGATCTTATGTAAGAAGTTCTTAGATCTGGATTATTGTTCAACCTGTCTTTGCATGGAGGTCGACCGTTCTGCACCTGCGGGCCATGTGCAAGATATATCCGGACTCTGGAGATTCTCCCATGGGAGTAGGTGGTCTCATGGCCAAGTTTGCCAGGTTAGCAATTTTTTTAAATCCGTCTTAGCCTTTAATTCCGATCGTCCTTTCATCAACTCTGTAGAGAAACTGATGAAGTATGCGCAGCCTCGTCCCTTGTAACAGGCCAGTTGCTTCAATATTTAACTACCACTATCACGAGCCTTGTACTGACATTTGTTTGGTCACCGCTCCTCACCCTTGTTATTCCCTCAGCTGCATTAATCATTATCTAGGCATTCTCCTAAGCCCTAGCAGGTCCTATCCTTGTGAGCACGCACCTTTACTGTGAGTGCCACTACCATCGTCAAGCCTACTGTATCTGCAATTGCCACTGTCAAAGCATTCAACGGCCTTGTATGCAGCTCGAGCCAGTTCATCACAATGGTGGTGATGTTCAAGGATTCTTGTTTGGAGCTCACCTTGTCTGCAAAGGCAAGGACACTGCGGTCAAGTTATGAGCGTTTTCTGGGCATGCTTTACCGCAACTTTCAAATGACTGGTTTGGGGGCTGTAGATTCATGAGTCCGAAATTGATTCTCAGTGATTTTTTTTATTTGTCTCTCATATATCTGGTCTCTTATTAATGTCCTTTGTCTCAGATGAAGCAGCATCGACATCAGAAGGCTTTGATCAGACCTGAAGCACGTAGATGACGAATTCGCTTGATACAGGTGGGCTACAATTTCCCTGGGTATTTTGCAGTTGCCTTGATCCTCACAGGCAGAAGATAAGCTCCCAGTTCACGAACAACACATGAGTGTAGCCCTAACATTGGGCGACATATGCCCCATGATGGCAATGCTGGGCAACTGGATGTTTGATGTTGTTCCGTGCCTGCGAAATTGGGTACAGCACCAGCACCTCTTCCTACAGCAGAGAAAGACAAGGACGCATGTGAGTCGATTTTCATTCATTGAAGAAATATCGGAGTTCAAGGGTGGTGCAGTAGGGAGACAATGGAGAGCAAGCAGTATGTTGATTTTCGTCCTACAGGTGCCTCATCGACTTGAGCATGGTGGAGGCATCACAGTGACCTTTCGCTATCTCCCTCCCATCCAGATGGAGCGTGGGAATCCAGTAGACGTATTTCTTCTTCCACTTTTCCTGGCCTTTATCCTGTATGTTGACTATTTCAAGGTCGAATTGATACTACTCGTTTATTAGCAACTTGTATGTCGCATTTGAGTGTTGAGAACTTGTGACGTACTGACTGCCTGACTTTCGCCAATTCTAGTTTTGCAACCTAGTGTGAATAATTAGAAAGTTTTATAAAGAAAAAGAAAAGTACTAACATCACAAAGGGAACAATTTGGGCCAGTAAAGAGAATGAGGCGGGCGACTTGAGGGAGACGGGCAGCCATTGGAGGTGGTGGTATCTGGGGTCCGTTGTAATTCCTATTATGGGTTGTGGGGAATTTGTCTTGGTTCAATAACGGAAGCAAATGTTCTGTACACACTGTCCGTGTCCGAGGTCATTCGATGAATCAGTGGAATGACAGTTCAGGATCCTCCATGGCGCCAGAGAAGTGTGTTCCTACATATATTCTATGGATATATTTTGATTTTTTCTTTTCTAGTGTGGCCGTGTCCATTTTTCTCTCAAGGACGCTGTCTGTTCACGGATTCGTGCAACTTCCTTCATGATATCAAAGTGAAGAGTCCTCTCAATCAGTCGCATTTTGACGTGCACATTGAGCAGCCTATCGTGTCCCGCATTTTTTTCCTCCAAAGACCGTTCTTAATCCTCCTTCAGTTGTGGTCAACTCTGCGAGTCCACACTCTACCCAACATGTCAGCCCGGTGGATGACACTTCTCGTTATTTTGGTTTACTTTCTGTTCTTCAAGATGTAATTGGCCCAACTACTCAGGAGGACGGTGAAACACTCACACCTCGACCTGTTGGCATGAACAATATTTTTTTGCAAAATTCCCAACCCGCAAGCACTTGACGATCGAAACGTGGATGCACACTTGCCAAGTATGGAGGCTACTGATGTGAAACTAGCCCATGAGACGGGGGAATCTCCGAATCTACATCCAGCATCTGTTCTTGAATCAACGACACATGATCATGAGGAGAAACATTCTTCCATGTTAGTCAGGATGGGGTCCCCTGCGACACTTAGAGCTCTATTGAATCTTACAATACACATTCTATCGACCATTGAGGCTCAGCCATCCTCATCGTCTACTGCTCAGAGTCTACCACTCATTCTATCTCTCTCGAATGGACGTGATATGAAGCGATGGTTCTCCTCTCATACAGACGGCTTTTCATCTGCAGCAAATAGTCCCTCTCTCTCTGCTCCAGTAATATCAAATCTTCCGTCACGTGAAGCAGGGAGCACAAAGGTGCCATTGGGTTTTCGATGTTTCAATCCACAGGTAAGCTTCTGAAGTGACATTGTCTGATTGTTACTCATGCCCCTGTAGTTTGCAGCCAGAAGGCTATTGCAACGTACTCAGCCTTCTTCTGTTTCACCTGTCTTTCATCCAGCAGCGAGACTAGAAAGTAATGCCGCCAGTGCGAACGCTGCCCTGCAGCAGCTCAACTTCTTTCCACCGAACCTACCATCATCCGATCGGCTCCTATCTCCCATTGAGCTGCAACAAGAACCATCTGCTACTGGATTAAAACCTCTCAAGCTGGTGAGTCATCAATTGACAGTAATTCATGTACATTGTCACTCAAGTTCTCCTTCAGTCTAGTTTGCTTAATCTGAGGTCGTCTGTATCATCATCCTCGTCCATCATGTCTAATATATTATCCGGTCACTATTTCGAATTCCTTTTCGGTGATTGCAGTACTTATTCTTGAATATAGATCATATCTTCAACTCGTCTTCACCTCATTCACCCAATGTATCATCTAGTACTTTGCTATCGTATAATTCACTGGTGCGTAAGCTAATAATGTTTTTGCACTTGAAACCAGTCTGATCTCTGTGGGCAGCTGCCTTCACCATGTTCAAGCATTCCCAAGCATATTCCTGAGCATATTCACAACACCCTCATGCTGACGGTCCCCTCCCTCTCCATATGGCAGCCATCGTTCCAGCTTACAGTTAACCCCTGCCTCTCCGACACTTTCACACCCGAGCTTTGCTCTGCTGGACCTGCCGAGACCAATTTAATGTTCCACCAGCTACTGGCCTTTTCCAAACTTATCATCCTAGTTTCGGTTGGTGGTCCAGAATGCTAACATGATCAATTCTTACGGTGGTCTTGTCCTTGGAATTGCAGCCCTTGCCTTGGTTCAAAATTCTTCTCTCTGACAACCTCCGTGATGCATTGGGTCACTCACCTTTGTGACATCGCTTTCTCCCATGTTCTCAGTCAGGACAACTTGGAGCCTATTTAATCATCCCAAGAATGGTGCAGCCTAAACTCCTCCAAGTCATTGTGAAGGATGGCGATGATGCTTGTTCGTTGATTGCTGTTGTGGTAGGCCAGATTGTTGTTGTTGGCACGATGATGGTGATCAGCCTCCTCTAGGTGACGGCTGCTGGCAATTGACATTTGTTGGGCTGGTTATTGTGCCTGGGTTTGTTAGAGTCATGGGCTCGTTGAGGAGGTGTACTATGAAGTAAGTTTTTGTCAAGTCTGATGTTTGTCGACCTGATTTGTAGTGCAGTCTGTTCTTAATGTTCGTGGCATTCATGCTATGTCTCTTGAGCCTGAAGAACAGGCTCGGTTCAACAAGGCCACTTCACAGTACCTTGCCACTGGTGTCCTTGGCACTTTCGTCGAGGGGTGCTCTTATTGTGTCTCCAGTGCTCTCATCTACTTAACCAAGGCCCTCGTTGGCGCCGTGCTTATCGTCAAAGGCACATATACATACCTCCAGATGTGTGTCAAGTCTCAAGTATCTTCACGACCGTATTGCTGTTGTCAACCAAACTTCCAACCTCTTTCGATGCCAGCATCCTAGAAAACATTGCCTACCAACGAGTCAGCAAGGACAATGGGATCGCAGACGTCGAGCGCACTGCTTGTGCAGCGAATGTCCATGAATCTGTGATGTCACTTCCACAGGGCTATGACAGCAAGAACGTGTCCCTCATCTCAGGTGGACCTGATTTTGGACGAGCGTACTTTCATTGCTCGATCCTGCCAACTAAACAGTTGTCCTAGCGATGATATGGGCATTGGTAGGACTACTATCATGATGACAGTTTGTAACGAAGATGTGTGACCATATTCTGATTGTTGAGGATGATTTTTGAGAGTCTCATGGACGACAAATGGCCTCTTTGCCGGACTTGCGAATGGTGGAGATTGAGTTCGCGAGTAAAGGCTCGTTGGTTGCTGTATTTGTTTCTTTTTACTATTGGATGTTCTTATGTCCTAACAGCTGTAGCTTACTGCCATGATAGCTATACTTTCAACTTTCACTCCATACTGGCAGCTACCCCATTTCAGCATAATGATCATGTTGTGGGCAACTTTTTTGATGGTTATGAAAATTCACGAAGACCAGCTATGAATGTATTGGCAGTCACCCATGGATAATTCATTTGGGGAAAATCACGCCCGACGATGGTTTTCGTGATCAAGCAATTGCACTTAAGGTGTCTTGGTTTATTCAGAAGGTTTTGGCTTTGATTTTAAATTCATGCTGTATGGCGAACGACTGAAACTCCTTGTTAGGTGCGCCACAGTAACAGCCACAGCCTCAACCGTGACATCATTAATATTGGCTTCTGCCAACTTAAGTAATTAAGGTTAGTTGGCTCGTTATTATTAGCTTGTGGCTCAGTGCTATGAACTTGCTGGCTGATTATGAAACAGGCCAGAGACTCGCCAAGTGATGAATACTACTGCCATTTTGGCATATAAACACCTGCCAGTTGGGCAGGGTTGGCCAGTATTGATGGACCGGCCTTGTTCACCTTCATCTTCATTGGTCATAACTGCGCCCCTACACGATGAAGGCAACAATTGCAGATTAGCCAAGCTTATTACTCAAGCTATGCTATGCACCTGTTCCCTCCTGCACTACGACGCAAAGTCAAAAACTATGATTGATTGGGAATGGTATGATGTCTTTATCATGTATACATTTAAATATCTTGATGTGATGCAGGCCTACTGACGACCAGAATAACATGATTCCTCCAGATCAATTTGAGAACTATAGAACAGAGCGCCATCTCAAATATCCTTGCTGTCTTTGTGCTGATGGAACTCAAAAAACCTATGTCGAGTCTATTGTGTATCCTTGGTGGAATGTGACAACAGGAACTTGGGTATGGACAACTAGGTGTGCTACAGATAGTTGCACATATGAAGGTTCGTTTTTTGCTTGGCATTATATTATTTTACTGACCACTGATGATCACTCAGTTAAAATTGACAGATATTTTCAGCTATTGTCACAAAGTACTCATGTTTATCGCCGCAGAGGTTAGTCTTACTCTACTACACAGATTGAATGTAGTACTGACGAAGTGACAGAATGTCAACTGCCAGTCATCTTGCAGATGTGGTCTTATCGAGAACAAGATGTTCTCTTTTCTAGGCTTAGCTCATTCACTAGCGGTGGAATCAGCAAAGAGGAGTTCCGGATATTGTTCAAAACCTGTGATATTTGTGATAGAGTGGGGACTAGGTGTGCTATGAGGTCCCACTGGTGCCCAAGGACTACTTTCAAATAAGAGTATTATATTGGATGTAGACTCGTGTTTGCTGAGTCGATTGATGCAATTGATATGAAATTGTTTCTTATCAAAGTGAACCCTCAGTCGCACAAATTCCCACATTCAAGCACACCACGTTCTGTACCACTAGCTCTGTACATACATAATGATATCAAATCTCAATAACTGTCTTTCATCTCTCCTTCCACCATCTACAATTTCATGTAAAGGAGCCCTTGCTCTGTCCTCCTCCACTGCAGGGGTAGACGGGCTAAGATGGTGGATTGATTGTCAGTCAAACCCCACGGTTAGCACCCTTTACCATTGAATTATCTTCATCTGATGTTTCATACGCAGCTTCAATTTGAACTCAGATTGCTGCTCTTCCTCCTGCAAGGACATGTCTACTCTGGTGATCTATGGCGCCTTGTCATGGCACGCCAGATAGAAGTTATGCAAGAAGAAAGGTTCAAGCTGTACAAGATACAACCGCAGAATCATACTAGCTCAAATCACCTTGCAATGGAACTAGAGTTCTTGGAAGATAAGAAGGATAGGGCTCAGTTGGAATTATCGCTATACTCTCAGGCCATGGATGTCTTCCAGCCACACTTAGGATGTATGTATGCTAATCAATGTATTCTGCACGGAAATATTAATAATTATTTGGAAGCGTCATGTAGACTCCCTGTCTCTAGGGCTGATGGGTGCTTGTCGGGCAATTTCTCAAGAGTTAGTTCAATGAGTTTGCACTAGCCAGAGTTGGTGCACGCTAAATGTAGCAAGTGGTTAAGTGGCATGGTGACTGGAGTTTCCGGTGATACTGGTCCTGCTATAGGCGATGTGACTGATGAATCAACATCCGTCACATCTAAACTCCTGACGATATACAAGATGCTGGTGTTACCCGAGGTGAGTACAATAACTACCATCATTGGATGTGCTTTCATGATTTCTGGTAGATTGCCTGCCGCCCTTATGGGATGGTCAGTACGTGGGTGGAGGAATGCATAGAGGAATACTACATGGATGATAGGGCTATGGAAGGAGCTTCCTTGCAAATTCTAATATTGCAAGCTAGCGACTTATCCAACCCTGAGGCTGAAGTACGTTTCCTTGAAGCAGAGTTATCTCTAATGCAATCAATACATCGGCGTGCTCAAACAGAGGTCGAACTCCTCTCGGACGCCATACAATACCTCATAGAGAGTGACATGAGTGAGTGCTCTACATAGTATTCACAAGGACAGACTCAAGCTGATTCATGTCGGGCAGTATGCTCCATAGCAGGCACCACACCACGTCGTCGCTCATTTGCTGATCAGTATAAGCACCTATTCAATAGCTCTGACACAAGCGATTGTTGGTCTGACTCCTAAACACATCTCTGCACAGCCCTTTACAGTGTACAGTAATGATTACCCACTTGATGAACTCAGATACTTAACCACACATGTTGTAGTATATATATATATACTTATATATATGTGTCTTTGGAGCGATGGATTGGATGATTGTATTGGGATCTTGGGCAGACTCACATAAAAAGATTGTAGAGTACAACAAGTATCTGAGTTGTGTGATGCCATGATATCATATTGATGTTTGTCACAAAGAAAACTCAAGCTCATTGTTGTCAGGCACCTGACAACAATGAGCTCAATTTATCAGTGCTTACTTAATTTCACATGTATGGCTGCTTGCGCTCAGTGCGGCAGTGAGCCAATTTCATCATCCACGTTCATTGCCTGCTCCTCCCTGTCAATGAAATAGAGTTTTGCGTGGTCTTTACCACATATCTAAACATCATTTAAGCCTTTCTATGAACCAGGTCATCCCACCCAAATTCACATGTAATTGTGGCTGAGGGTTTCAGCAGGAAAGTGCTTTCACAAGACACCAAAAATCTTGTGTCAAGGGCAAAAAACGTCTTTTCTCTGCTTTGAATAAGGCCAAAGATCTTCTTGGGTCTGTCAAAAGGGCTCGTACATGTCTTGGGGATCGGGGAGGCTCGTCACATCCTATTTCTCCCGATACTAGGCCAACTTCTCCAGCCTTAGATCTTCTAGTCACCGGAAATGATGCTCCCAGGGTGGATATCGTCTCCACCTCCGAGTCTTTGTCAATGAAAGAAATCACTGCCTCTGCACCCCTCAGTGCTAGTGGTCAAGAGGATTTACCCTTGGCCCAGCATAGGACTAGATGCCAGGACATTCAGTTACCTAGACGCTACAGGCAATTTGAAGATATTCTACCTCAACCTCTTCCAAGTGTGCCCACCAACCACATCGATCAGTCTTCAGACTCTCCCCCTCCCCCTCATACTCAGTCTTCAGAGGCACTACCTCCTTTTCGCACTCCCCGTAACATCTTTGGGCTCCTGCGCCAGTTCTTCTCCCCAAACCCACCATCTCATGATCCTGAAGAGGTGATTATGCTAGAGGATATAAGTGCTATTCCTGGTAGCGGGAGGGAAAGACTTCTATCAAATGGCAAGACACCCACTTTAGAGGAAGCTTCTCCTTACTACCCATATCCCAATAGATCATCCTTGGAACTAGGCGATTGGTATTGGAATGGGGGGCACAGAAATCTCAGCAAAGCTTCAATGACCTTATCGATATCGTCACAGATTCAAGCTTTGATCAAGATGGTGTTCGTGCGACGCCTTGGAGGAAAATCAATTTGACTTTAGGCCAGAATGACTACGAGGAAGGAAATGAAGAATGGGAAGATGAAGACGCCGGCTGGCATAAAACTCAAGTATCTATTCAGGTTCCCATCGCACGTACCAATGAGCAAGCGGGAGTTCAAACGTACTCTGGGGTGGATTTATATCATCGCTCTCTAGTCGGTGTCATACGAGAGAAGCTGTCAAGTGCACGTGATGATGAATTGTTTCATTATGAGCCATACGAGCTCCTATGGCAATCGGACCATCTTCAAAGAGAGGTGAAAATCCAAGGCGAGCTATATCAGTCTCCAGCATTTATGGACGTGCATCAGAAACTACAAGAATCTCCCAGGGAACTTGATTGTGATCTACCAAGGGTGATAATCTCACTCATGTTCTGGTCAGATGCTACGCACCTCACAAGTTTCGGCAATGCCAAGCTCTGGCCAGTTTACTTATATTTCGGGAATGAATCGAAATATCATCGCTGCAAACTTCCTGCCATCTAAGCAATCATGTAGCATACTTTCAAAAGGTAACTTTCCTATCTGTTTTCTTTCGTCTTCAATGACTCAACTATTGTATGCAGCTTCCAGACTCTTTTAAGGACTTTACTTGCGAGCATACAGAAGGGAAGGGTGTCGGACGAGAATGTACGACGCACTGCCAGAGAGAGTTATTCCAGGCTCAATGGGGAGTTTTACTTGACGACGAGTTTTTGGAAGCATATGCACATGGCATTGTAATTGAGTGTTGTGATGGGATCAAGCATAGATTCTACCCAAGGATATTCACATACTCAGCAGATTATCCTGAGAAGTGAGTTATTACCTTTAGACACTAGGTCGGAAGCTCACCACAACAGAGTTCTTGTTGTGACCATACATCAGCTAGGAGGATGCCCTTGCCCTAGATGTCTCATCCCAAAAAATAGACTGCACAACCTTGGCATGCCACATGATGGGCAGCAAAGGATTACACTCCTGCATTCAAGTGAAGAACATGATCAGTTGGTGACCACAGCAAGAAAGATCATCTATGACAAAAATTATGGCGTCGACAGTACTGCAGTAGAGAATATACTCAAGCCCTGCTCCTGGGTGCCTACATGTGTTAGTAATATTTCATTGCTCATTTACCCAACTGACCAGTCCCTCTAGAATGTCCTGTCTAATAGACTACGTCCTCACGGCTTCAATGTGTTTGAAGCCTTGGTTGTTGATCTTCTCCATGAAGTTGAGCTTGGCATATGGCGCTCACTACTTGTTCATTTGCTAAGGATCATAAGATCAGTGAATAAAGATCTGGTCCATGAGTTAGACCAGCGGTAATTAATGTTATCGCTACCTTTTGTCCACAGAATGCTGATCATTCACTCTAGATATAGACTTGTACCACCATTCGGACAGTCAACTATCAGACGATTCACAGCGAATACTTCTGACTTGTCAAACATAGCTGCTCGTAATTTTGGAGACTTACTTCAGGTATGTTGACTTCTATGCTACAATAAGTAAACTGAGTCTCTTTTCAAGTGCGCTATACCAGTATTTGATGGGCTGCTTCCAAACAATAATCACAATAAGATCATCCAAGATCTACTGTTTACCTTGGCGCATTGGCATGGCTTAGCCAAGCTGCGGATGCATTCAGACCTAACATTAGAAATTCTTGATACAACGACTGTTGATCTCGGTAACCTGTTTAGACGATTCAAGGAGGTTGTCTGTGCATCCTATGATGCAAGAGAACTAGATAGGGAAGTAAATGCTCGTTCAAGGCGTCAGGCAAAGGAAGCTACCAGAAGATCTCAGGTGGACAAGGGCAAAAAAACTGCCGGTCAGGCAGAGAAGGTGACATTGACTGCAGACAAACCATTGCACAGGAAAGTGTCATTCAATCTCCAGACCTACAAATTTCACGCCCTTGGAGATTATGTCTCATGTATAAGATGCTTTGGTACAACCGACTCTTATAGCACAGAGCCTGTGTTACGCACTCAAATAGATCTGTTAGGCGGAGCCCTAAGAGGGGCGTCGTCCACTAACGTTTCGTGACGTAACCGGAAGAGTCCGGTATGGCAAGTGATACTGGCGACGGTCGTGTCGGCAGCTATCACAGTACGCGCGTGTCACGTGACTTCGTAGACGGATGTCTTGGAGAAGTCACTCAAGGTAAGGACAGTCTTGTCCGAACGATGAGGTCGATCGAGGTAGACTTAGTCGCGATGAGCAACTAAGAAAAGATACTAGAGACAGAAGCTGAGGGGGCTTCTGAGGGAAGTATGTTCCAGGGAAGATTGAGTAGATTCAAGTTAGAGAATCTAGTACAGAGTGACCGACTACTTATACTAAGTGGAGAGGGTTAAGGGCAAGGCTACCGCACAGTAGGTAAGGGTAAAGGGGATGCGAATATGGTATAGGTGCGTTGGCAACATAGCCGGATTAGTGATGGATGGTCGAATGTGGAATGAGACCGAGAAACGTTGGAACGGACCAACGGTAAGAATACAACGTGCGGGAATCCGCAGTCAGGGGAAACAGAAAGAGGAAAGCCACATTGGTGGCACGAGTCAGACCGAGTCAGAGGTGCGGGACCACATTGGTGGTCGAATCAGAAGAGGAACGTGCAGTGCACGTGCATAGTGGCGGATGATGCGAGGGACGGGAACGGTCCCGAGGATCCGGTCAACGGAAAGTCGGTAGAGGAGGAGGAGCCGGTAGGTGGTGAGGGCGAGGATGAGGGGAAAATGATAGGGGGGCCACGTGACCGATGTTACTTGTAACAGCCTGTATGTTTCCGAGCACCTCAGCTTTCCTTGGTTTTGACCACTTTGATAGGGAGAACTAGAGCATCGCATTGGCAAGGGAAGATACCTCCGGACAGATCGAAAATCTTTTATCAGGCAGCTCACACAAACTGAATGTCGCCAAACTCGAATCAGGCGCATCAAGAGTCGTCTTCAACAGACACAATCAGGTGATGCAGCAGATATTACAACGAGTAATCCTTCTGTACATCATCACATTGGCCAGAGTGAGAAAAACCACGATGATATCGGCTCCTATCTTCGAGCTAGAGAGGGTGACCCAGCCATAAAGGTATGTGACTATTGACAATGCATACATTCTCTCATCTGATATGCTTTCTATAGAATTACTTTTCACGCTTGCAAGATCATCTTCTCAGTCATATTCAACTCTCTCAATCTGGTCAAGAAGCAGAAGGAGATATCACTAACGTTCTCTTCAAACAAAATCACATTTACCACCACAACATCGCTCGAATCAACTACACGACCTATGACACTAGGAGGGACCAAGACGTCATCAACCCCAAAACTTGGCACTGCAACATTATGGTCCTCAGCGACCATGGTGAACCTAGAACGCACTACCGCTACGCCAAGGTATTAGGCATCCACCATGTCAATGTGGTTTATATTGGCAGTCCATACCATACCACCCATAGATTGGAGTTTCTTTTTGTGCATTGGTATGAAGAAGTACATGTTGACTCTGGCATCACTACATTGCATCGCCTTAAATTTCCTCCATTGGATAGCGAGGGCTCTTTTGGGTTTTTGAATCCAGCTGACGTCCTCAGAGCAACTCACTTGATTCCTTGCTTCTCCAAAGAAATGAAGCATAAGGATGCCAGAGGTTTATCCGGCACAGCTGGTGACAAAGGAGACTGGTGTGAATATTATGTCAATAGGCGAGTGCACTGAAACTTCCTAGTACTTCCTATCCACTGATCATTGTTTAGATTTGTTGACAGAGATATGCTCATGCAGTTTCATTATGGTCTTGGGGTAGGCCATATTTACTCTCATAATGTCAGGTTTGATATCAAGGGGCTTGTCATTCACGACATTTCTGATGGTCTAGACATTGATGGAGACGATCTAGACCATCGGGAGCCAGATGACGAAGACTCAGACTATGACTATGCTGGGGTAGAAGAAGAAGTTTTATTTGGCCAGGAGAAAAATGGAAGCATGGAATCTGTTGTGGAGGAGCTGGACAACATGTTCATTGAACACGAGTTTGATTATGAACCCTAGGCCTCTCTACCCTTGCCCTATCACTGCCCTTCTGTCGTCCCATAGTGGTGTGACTACGACATCTCTATCATAGTGCATTCAATTATGTTTAAATTTATCGAGCACGAGTCCAATTTATGAATGTTCAAACCCTAGGCCTCTCTGCACATGCCCTCAGGCTATCACTGCCCTTCTGTCATGCATACCCACTATTACAGCACAGTGTGTCTAATTACGTCAAAGTCTTTACTAATTTCTCATCATGGAGTTCATTCAACATTCAAGTTCAACCCTACTACCCTACTACCCTAGACCTCTCTGCACATGCCCTATCACATCCCTTCTGTCGTCCGTCATAACCTCACTGCATCAATCTGACCCATGGCCCACCACAATTGAGTATGAATACTCATAGGTAACCCACTCAATTCATTCTCACTGCTCGTGCCAGTCCAACTCTTCGATTATGACTTACATATACAACCATATACCCGGAATTATCACTGGGTTTGAACATACGATGTGTACTATTTGTACAGCCATCTGCATTCAAATTTATACTAAAATAACTCGAACATTAGGAGGAGGTGATTTTTTCCCTCCCTACTATAAGACAAAGAACTATATTATATTGCAGGGTAGCTTCAGTGACCTGAGGCTGGATCTAGACTTCGCATGTTACATATTGTCCCGGAGAAACATTGGACCTTGTTATGTGAGTCTATTCCTACTAAAGTTTGTTGACCATTCATATCATCATGCGTCTATAGTGGCCTACAAAAGTATCCATGGATGACTTTTGGCCTCTCCAGAAGGATCTCTTAGGATATATTGGCATGAATGGTCATAGCGGTCCTCTCATTAAGGCTTCCGGAAGAGCTGAGTACAAGGTTTTGGTACCCATCTATGGTCTTACCGTGCAAGACCTCGTTACCTCGATTTTTTGGACGTTGACATATCTTGTCATACAGCCCCAAGATAAGGACGAGCTTAGCCACAATGAGGAAGTAGTATCTAGAGTTTATGATCACCGGTTGATTGCAGTCTGGATGTGGCCTGAATGTAACTTTTGTCCCTCCGCCTCTTCATCATTAGCTGACTACAGCAGTGGATAGGAAGTTCATCGCCAAACTGGCACCGTGGCCTTATGGTCATTACAATGAGGCCATTTTTGATGGCCTGGACGATATCATAGATGGTATGGTCACTGAAGATTTTGACGATAGTTCTGTTGGGCAGGTATACACGGAAGACTATACTACTGCGTCTTTCCAGCAAGATTACCATATGTGTTTCGCTTCCTGGGAGTGCATCGACTGATTATGATAGGGCAAGCATATAACTTCGTTCCTAGCTCCAGTGCGATAGGTTCAGCGCTGATACCCAGAATTACACCCATATCACCACTGGCCCAAGCGACTGCACAGACACCTATTCAGGCATCAGCTCCAGTACCGGTAATACTTCCATCGCAGACTCCGACGTTTAAGGATTTCGTCAATGTAGATGAGTTAATTCTCCCTCAGATCATCCGTTTACCAGAGGACCTGCGCTGGACAGAGCACAGCCCATCAGGTGACAGTTCATGCTGTCAGTCCATCTTAGGGGACCTACCAGTCGACCATCCATGGTTATCGATTGCGAGATCATTGAAGATGATACTGTTTGGAAGTCTCATCACGGGGCACTATGGCAATGCCATGAGGGTGGTCAAGTTATGGCCATATCGACATCAATTCATCACCCAGTGCTTCTTGGAGGCTTTGTTGCGTATCAGCTTATCTTACCAGGACTGTCAAAATATTGATTGCGAGTACTATTTTGTTTATCTTTAGTTTTTGAACTGATGCTAGCTGTCTGTCTCTAGTGGAGTTTACGACAGGAGTGAGATTCCATTGGCATCATCTGCGTGGCACGGTGAATATGTAATTTTTTTTTCAAATATCGACGATAACAAACAATATCAACTAGTTTGACCACACACCGAATTCAAGTCTTTCGGATCTTAGGAAAGTGATAGGGCACTGTCTGAAGCCTTCCGAGGATCTGGGCTTCTGTCTTAACACTGATGAAGGGCAAACAAGGATTGCGAGGATGACAGCTGTGCTTGATCAAGCAGCAGTTCAGCTCGATCAAAGACAAGACCAAACACTAGTGGCTTTCAATGTGAGTTAAATGTATCACCAAATCATTTACCTCACTTCATTTCTTAGCATCGTATTGTGATAGAGATACTTGGCCTCCAAATGGCAAAAGAACTCTGGCATTATATGATCCTTCGCCCAATCGCATCTAACCCAAATGTCTGTGTTGCTGACTTATACTGGGATCAAGTTCTTGACCAAGGGGGAAATCCTAATATGAGGATAATCTCTCTGATAGTGTGTCTCGTCAGTGACTTATATCTTTCTGTTGTTAACTTAGTTTTGACTTTTATTTTAAGTTCTACGAATACTGTCAGAAAGCACTCAATCGCAATCTCAACAGGACAGGTGACGCAGCTGTGATCAAGCTTTATCGTAGAATTGGGCGCCTTCATGGTCCTCCTCTGACGGAGATTCAAGACGTTGGACGTGATCTGGGATACATCAGGTAATTCATTCAATCTTCATTTCCTATGATCAACTCAAGTCTCCGATTTGCTTCAGAGACATCAATGTCTATGGTATAGACAAAGACGGAAAGCGCAGGAGAGTGAATATAGGTGCCCTGATTAGAATCTATGATCATGCTCCATCTCAGGGCACAGTGGATGCACAATACCTACAGCCTCCGATTGACGATTCTTTTTTTAATATAAAGTTGAGGCCTTGAATAATACACTAGTATAACCTGTTTAGTTTCTCCACATTGACTTCGACTTGCATCCTGTACTACCATGTATTCTGAGCTTCTCTATTTCAGCATTGTTGCGCCTCACTCTCACTTTCTTCACGGACAAGGACAACCGAGACAACCTTTTGAAAGCTCTCTGATCTCAAGCTCCCCCTCACTTTCCGTATGTATGCACTATTGCTTATTTTTTGCAGGCCACACTCAGCACTAGTTCTCGGCGAGAGGGATCAATACCACATCCGTCTGTTCCAGAGTTACTTGAGAACCTAGAACTGAGGTGTGTACATTTCTCTTTTGTATGTAACTTCTTCATGTTGATCTCAATGTCAGGCCCTTTTCAGACCTCTATGTCTCCTGCTCCTGGTAGATGGTAACAAGCCATTGACCGTACCCTTCCACACTTCCCACTGTATGTACACTTTGTTTCACCCTTATTTTGATCCAGTTGCCACTATTTATATAGGTGGAATGAATGGACAACATTACCCATTCAATACCGTGATAGTCCCTTGTCTTACTTCAAGTCTCCTGCCCATGCGATCACTTGGAGTTCCCATCTGATAAGTCTTCTGTTCTGTTTGACACATGCTAATTTTTTGGTTGGTTCTCTGCACCCGCCAATCATACTTCCACAGGGGGAAGAGAGTCTCTTTGCGACCTTATTCTCTTCGCCCAACTATTCTTCCCCAGGAGGGTGGGCAGGTACAGCATGGGTATGAGTATGGCTAGTGTTTGTACTTCAAGTCTCTCGCCCGTGAGATCACTTGGAGTTCCTGTCTGGTAAGTTTTTTGTTCTGTTTGATGCATGCTAATTTCTTTTTAGTTCTCTGCACCCGCCAATGATACTTCTGCAGGGGGAAGAGAATCTCTTCGCGACCTATTTGCATCCCCCGATGATTCTTCCCCAGGAGGGCGAGCAGGTACAACATGGGTATGAGTATGGGCAGGGGGAGTACTACGAGATGGGGAACATGCAGCAGTACTAAACATTCTACGTCTTGTGCTTGTTTCATATTTTTTTCATGATCCTTGATGTTTTCTTCTTCTTTAGCGGTTCACACTACAGCGGTCTATGTTGCTATGTAGGGTAGTTCTCTACACCCGCCAATGATGCTTCTGCAAGGGGAAGAGAGTCTCTTCGCGACCTATTTGCATCCCTTGATGATTCTTCCCCAGGAGGGCGAGCAGGTACAGCATGGGTATGAGAATGGGCAGGGGGAGTACTACAAGATGGGGGATAGGTATGTGATTATGTAGTAGGACTCGGAGAATGTCAGTGTGAGATGAGACAGGATAATTAAGAAAGTAAGTCGACGTAAACCAAAGTAGAGCATCATCTAAACGGAATCATTCAGGCCTGTATCATAATATTTAAGCGAGTTCAGGTAAACTTTTGAAAAAAAGTGTGTCGTACCTATCTGAATATTGCTGCAAATTTTGTCGCTGCATGGAAAGCTGCATGCACAACCGCTCTCATGGCACTCATAGCTCCCTGAATCGCCATTCTCACTGAATACATCAGAGCCCATTTAATTTGACTGTGCTGTTATTGTTGGATCAGGGGGCAATACATCTACTTCCGGGTATCTATTATGTACAGAATTATGTGTCAATTGAAGTGCTTTGTCACACAGATTATGTGATATGTCACACTCATCATGTTGCACTGAGTCATTCACTGCAGACTCGGCTCTAAGCAGACCATTTTCTGACTCCTTGTCGATTTTGCCAACCAACGCAAGCTTGCAAGATTTCAACGTCGATTTACGATAACTTTCAGCAAGGTAAATTTTCGAAATTATGTTCAAGTCCTCGTTACTAATACTTACTACACTATGATAGCAGACCGCAACACCATCAAGCTTGACCTGCCCACCTGGGTGAAGTCATTCAAGTTCACTACCACCTGCAGAAGACCAGGTCCAATGGCAAGTGCTTCTAGTCAATGAATTAATGCTAACTATTGGATCGTCCGCTGCTATGTAGGCTATTGATATACTGCTGCGGTAGGACCGCGTCAATTTTACCTAGCCCATGGGAGACACAATATTTGACAAATCCAACGAGTTCGAATTGCCCTTACCTTCACCTTGCCCTGCACAATTGACATCTGGTGTTTCAAGGTAATGTGTGAATTCCAATAGCAACATGATTGGTACTGACAACCTCATGTACAACCAGATACGTCACGGTGCAGTGTCTTTCATTCAGATACGGAGATTGATCTCAATCGTCTAAAAGCCCATTATTGTCGGGCACATAGTCCAATGGTGTGGTAGGATTTTGTCTATGGGAGCGACAAATGAGTGATCTCAGGACGGAATAAAAAATTGACATAGGCTCACCTATAGCATAACACCACTGCTTCGCCGCTTTCCTTGACCGCAGGATAATCGCTGAGCTGTCTCCTGGTCTGAAATCTGTCCACCTTGGTATGAATCTCTTCAAGATCCCCCATCAACGTCATGCTGTTCTTGACATCGCCCTCGGCAACCTTTCCGCCTGCTGAGGACTTCTCCCGGTCAATGTTCTCCCTTTCAAGAGCGAGTTCAATTTCCCTCTGCACACTTTCCTCTTCCGCTCGTAGATGCTGCAGCTCTGCCTATATGCGAGCACGTACGTGGGCATCAAGTGTGGATTGCCGTTCTGGAGAGGTGTCGGGTGACATTGAGTGATCTGAAAGGTGGTTCACAACATCCTGCGAGAACTTGATGTTTGCACACAACTTCAGAAGACTAGCCTTTAGGATAGGAAGAAGACCAAACCTGTATGGGTGTCTCGTTGTAAAAGACCTTTTCTTCTGTGTCCACTTTGGACTGGCCAGCACCCATGATTGACAAGGATTTCAGTAATAAATATTAGCATTTAACTTTCCATTGGCATTTCGGACTTTCAACTCAGGGAAGCTCGGCAAGCTTTACGGATGTATATATTTCTATCAATAAGTATTTACAGCTCCAGGCCTCTTGGCACCCTCAATGCTACCTCACGATACAGGTACAACATCAAGGTATTCCAGGCGAAAATTGCCGAATGTCAACAGCAGAACGACAATGTTGACTGACCACTACAACTAAGTACCAATTAACCTGCAGCATACCTATGTTGGTATTTATGACCGTAATCGAGTAGCCTTCACCAGTTGAGCGAGTACAGAGTCACAGAGAAGAAACTCGACTCACCAGTCTGGTTCGATTTCTGAAAGTATTCTTATCCTAACAAAAGATGAAGTTTACGGCCCATCACACAAGTAGGTAGACATACTGTGTCCTTGGTGTATGGCAAGTCACTACTGTCAAAATGAGTTAGGAATTAGAGAGGAGCATAATATGTGCACACAAGAGCGAGTCCACATGCTCTGCTGTTCAGTTTCGATTGGATGCTCAACTGCAGTGGACATACTTAGTAGTCGATACACCCAACTAGGTAGGAAGAAATCTGCAAAATGTGGCTCAATCATGGTATTCCAACTGCTGTTACTCATGAACTCGAGAGCAAGGTCAACAGTGGAGGATGGTGAATGCTCTGATTTCTATATGAATTCTGTGTCCTATGATTTTAGCAAGCCTGTACGTACTACTCACACCATCTGGCATGAATGAGCAATTGGTTATTTGATTATACTTATTTCGAAAGGCTGGTTTTGTGCGCCGATGGCACCATTCATCAATAATTTCAGGAAAGCTGTGGCCTGCTTACATCCTAGATAATGCATGTGTCATGAAGACATATGAGCTTATCATATTTTAACTCATGGACATTGGATATCTAAGTGCTACTGTTTCTGACACTATCACCAAAAAATGAACACCAGATAATTGGAGATGACTAGAGGTGAAAGATGGTAGCCCCAGGCCAGAACATTGCCTAGGAGACTTGTAATGACAAGAGGATGCCAAGGGCAATCAATATTGAGCCTGTATCATAACTCATGGACATTGGATATCAGGGTGCTACTGTATGGCCAAGTCTTCCAACACTGCCACCAAAAAGTGAGGACTAGATAATTGGAGATGACCAAAGGTGAAAGGTGGTAGCCCCAGGCCAGAGCATTGCCTAGGAGACCTGTGATGACAGGAGGATGCCAAGGGCAATCAATATTAAGCCTATATCATAGCCCATGGGCATTGAAATTCTAAGTGTTAATGCATAGTCAAGAACTAACAAGCTTGATCCTTATTTACCATGTTTGTTTACATTGATCACATCTAACTAGAAAAACCTAAGCCTCGGCGATTTTTTGATGATGATCATCTTTATGCAACCTTGCAGCCTTGTAAGTGCCAACCCACTTGCTGGCCTTCTCGTACAATCGCTTCAGATGGCCAAGAATGTCCTGCTTGAGCTGACCAAAAAGACTACTGGGAGTAAGGGACACGAAGTCACTTGAGAAAGTTGGCCTGAACCACACATGGGTCATGCTTGTGTCGCCCATATAGGCTTCCTGGCATGGAATGGCGAAACTTCGAGCATACAAGTCATCGTACATCTGCGGCCACTGAAAGGGATCCGTGGCCCAATATCTGCCATCTGCTCATGCTTGGATTATGTTGGATTTGTTATCGAAGGGTTGCGGAATAAACTTCATGTTGGGAGTAGTGACAACTCGGTGGCCATATGCAGCCACACAGAAAGCATCAGTAGCAGTGAGATAACCTAGACATCGTCAATCAAAGACAGTAGAGGTACGAAGATGCCAGAATGCACAGTAGCCATCATGCATGAATGGTTTAAATACAGGGATTGACATAACAGTAGCTGCAGGAATGGTGATGCTGAGAATAGGGAATCACAAAGCGACTCGAAGTCACTGAGGAATGAATTTAAATCACGCAACAACTCGAAGTCACTGATGATTTAAATGCTACCACAAAGGCAGATAGTAAAACAGTCTTGAGAGATTCTGATGAAATCTGATGAATGCGTGATGTCAGTAAATGTAGCACGAACCAACTTAGCATTGTAACTTATGGCGAAAGACGAGAGGAGTCTTGAGTGAAGTGAACAGACTGGTTAGAAGGCTGGATGTCAGCCAAGATAGGGTGATGAAATATAATGAATGTACTTACCCGTGGATGCCAACAGCACAGGCTTTAATGAAATCTGAATGTCAGTAATAGCGTCAAAAGAATCAGCAAGTGACAGAAGGTTTAAGATGGTTCTGGTGTTTGAAGATAATCCTGGCAGTTTAAGACAATACTGACCATGTAAGACAATGCTGGTTGTGGGAGACAGTTCTAGCTGTGGAAAACAATGCCGGGGGTTGAAGACAATGCTGGTGGTGGACACAAGATACTGCCGGTGGAAGACAAGATAGTGCCAGTGAAGACAAGACTGCCGACCGAAGTCTAAGCAATCAATAGCAGCAAGCAACACGAAGTTGCTGCTCGCGGTGCGTCTACCATGAAGGTAGACTATGGTAGACTATAGAAGTCAGGCGATGTGAACCATGATGGGAGATGAAGTTAGGTGGCAAGTTAGGTGGCGAGCAATGAGGAAAAGGAGTTGGGGGTGAAGAAATGTGAAGTCCACACTTCGAATCATTGTGGGAAAGCCCGTGTACAATCTGGGAAAGCCCAGGTCGAGGCCTGGGAAAGCCCATTGCCCAACTTCCAATTTTGACAATCTTATTACTAAGTCCAAGTTTGACTTGTCGCCTGTTATTATTCTTCACCTGTGACCTCGTCATCGCTTACCACCCATCTCTTCCTCATCATCGCTTACCCCCATCTCCTCCTCCTCAACTGGCCCCATCACTTGCTCTGCCTTTGAGGCAGAAAAAATTAGCCTGGGTGACTTCGCATCATTGAGGGCTACCTGGCTGTCTGACTACGAGTCTGATGGTCCTACCTACCTCAACACAGCATCACCTCCTCCTCATCTGGCCCCATCGCTTTCTCTGCCTTCGAGGCAGACAAAATTAGCCTGGGTGACTTAGTGTCATCGAGGGCTACCTGGCTGTCTGATGGTCCTACCTACCTCAACACAGCTTGACACTGAGCTTGTCAATTCGCCCATATTCATCCATCCTCAGTGAAGGCCCTTTTCCAGCTATTGTATTCTAATTGATTGTCTCCAGGGATTTCGAACATCTCAAGTACTTTGTATTCTAACTACCGATCAGTATGTCCTCCCCCCATCTTACATTATTATAATTGATACATTCTACTTACAACAGATAATCAAAGGTCGAGCTACGCAAAAGGTGGGACCCACTAACTAAACTTGTTCGGGAAGTGGAGAAGGTGAACTCTCAAGTAACTACTCTGCCCGCTTCACACTAGCTAACATGACAAAAGCAGTGAGATACACAAAGTAGACTGGCGGGTATACTTGTAAGAATACCTTTTTTGACATGCTGGAGGAGATTGTTGATGATGACCACACTATCATCAGTACTGCTAGTTTTGTCAACTAGTCAGCATCATGAACTTGGACAAGGATCTCACAGAAATTCACACTGATATTGTTACGACTAGGATAAGTCTTCTCAACACTGGTCCGAATGGACCGTCGCGTGAAGTGTGTCAAGGTCTTCTTACAGGTCGACGGAATGTCGAGAGGTCTCTCTGTCTATCTCGGTAAGGGTGGTGCCTCGTCGAGATGAAGGGCTAGTGAGAATATGGCTAAGGCGTGGGGAGTGACTTAGAAGTGCAGCAAGGTGTTCAAGGAAGCAAGTGGATTAGACAAGCTAAAGACCAAGTTCTGGGGATCTACCTAGTAGATTAAAGTAAAGAACTAATACAATAATCTATCTGCTTATATACTGTCTGTACATAAGGGTTCAAGCTCAGTCTGTATCTAAGGATCTATGGAGTCAGGGATAACAAGACATGAGGTCCACCATGAGGTGAGATAAGATACATGAGGCTTAACCTCTGATCAAGCATGAGGCACCAAGAGGTGCTGCACATCTACATGAGGCGGCATGAGGCAACATACGCCAGTCTAGGTGTCCATGAGGCGTACAGCCTCCAGGGACCAGGTACAAGGCCTTCTAGGCCAGGGGCGGTGTTACAGCAGTCCAGACCGCTGTCATTCTAAGTTCTAGCAGTGTGCTGCCGCATCTGGAGTCTAGCAGAGCGGGGGCTCCTGTAGATGTTGCAGATGACTGTAACAGATATTGGTGGTCTCGAGAACCAGATCCAAGAAATCAATGTAAGTTTGGTCCCTTCTAGTTCAAGTTGTTGAAGTGACACTTTCTCCATTTTACAGATCACAACCAAGCTAATTTGAAGGTAGACTGGCGCTATGTCCCCCGCATGTTGATTCAACGTGACAGGCTCTTTATTTACTAGCTGATACTTTCTTTCTCCTGTTTGAGTAAAATTGTGCGCTTGCTGTTGTCCGCAGTGAGCAGCCATTACCATATTAGGCAGTAAGCGCTAGAGCGAGCACCTGTCACCCAATCAGAACATTGGTACAGTTTAGTCTACACATACACTACTGGCTTACAGTAACTGACATTGCACACCTGAATAGTTATACCTATGTATATGATAGACCATCATTTTCTTGAGGAGCCATAACTACTCACATGCCTATCTTGACCTCTTTGCTGCCTTTGAGGTAGCTATGACGCTTGCGGCATAGCGACGATCATACTGAAGAAGTTTAAGCACCGCCACTTCATTTCACCAAAGATGCACATCTTTGCCCAATCACCCATGTTTACGTAAGCTTCGAAGCTTTGTTAATGTGAGCCATCTGCAATAAGTTAGTATGTGATCGTTTGCGGTGAATATTGCATTATTCTAATGACATTGTTTCAATGGAACTCTTTTTGTTTCAGTGTCGATTGGGCAGATTGTAGCTTTTGATTATTTTTTTGGTTTTTTCAATGTGTATTGGGCGTCTTATGGTCAGTTAAAATCCACAATGTTCATGTATTTTTGGCAAGAATTTTTCTTCTTCTGACTTGCAATCAGCTTTGTCTCCCATACTCTTCTATTGTCCTGTCAAGACTTTGAGTCTTGAAAAATAACTGTAAGACTTCGTGTTTTACTAGCTGCCTGCTTCTAACATTCGTGTTAGAAGCACCCCTTTTCTCAGTATCAAGCCCATCTACGTTTTAATGGCACCCTCCACCAGAAATGCAGCCCGTCGTGGTGCAACTAATATTGGCACTCAAGGCTCCACAGTATCCGGTAGCTATGTCATGCGCACATGCAGTGGTATTGCTATCAACCCTCCAACCAAGCAAAATCATAAACGAAAAAAGTCCCATCCTTCAGCTCTCTCCTGTTACAGATGGCCTTAACCGCCCCAACCCTCGTCCTCTACCCCGACGCTCATCAATCATGACCTTCGATGACTATGCTCAGATCCTTGCTCGCCCTCATAAATGAAACGTAAAACCTTCAGTGGACTCAGTCTCTTCTGACATTCAGTTACAAAACGACTGTGCCCCAGGTAATGATCTATGGTATTAACTAAAATAACCACACTGACCCCTTTCATAGACACCTCTGACACCGATGATGACCTTCTGGCTGCAGAATCTCACATGGTGTTACGGTATATTCATTCTCTTCGTTTCTCCTTTGTTACCGGACAATGGTACATGGATACGGCCCTTAACGAGCGACCAATCACTTTTCAGACCCTTACTCATATCATCACCAAGCTGACTTTCCGTACCAGTAACCATCACTATGTTTAGCCGATCATCTCTTATCGAAGCGGGCTGTCTGCACCATGGTTACTATCTCCTATCTCTTATCTCTTATCACTTACCAAGCGGGCTGTCCGCCTTCTATCTTGATACACATTTACAAGCTCCACTTGAACTCTCGCTATATAGATACATAGTGTACCACATGTAGCTCTTCACTTTAATCTACTGGGTTTTACCTGGAACAAGTCCTTTTGTTACAGGGATCTGTAACACCTACTAGAGCCCCAGCTCTCCCTACGCCTGCCCCCGCTCTGCTAGACTCCCCACGCGGCGGTGCGCCGCCTGCGCCTAGAAAGACAGCGGTCTGGACCGCTATGACCCCGCCTCAAGGCGCTATGACCCCGCCCCTGGCCTAGACGGCCTTGTACCTGTTCCATGGAGGCTGTACGCCTCATGGACACCCTAGATCAGCGCATGTATACAGCATGTCGCTTCATGAAGATCCAGAGCGCCCTTGGCGCCTCCTGTACCTATGCGCAGCTGCACTTGGCGCCGCATGCTTGATCAGAGGTTAAGCCTCATGTATCTTATCTGAACCTCATGTCTGGCTATCATAGATTTACGATATACTATTGATTACAGACTGAGCTAGAATACTTGTAGTACTTCCCTATAAGTAGACACAGATTATAGTACTTAGACTTTACTTTAATCTACTAGGTTCATCCCCAGAACTTGCTCATCTAAGCTTACCAGCTTCCTTGTGTGAGACCACACTTCTAAGTCGCCCCCATACGACTTAGCACGTATCCGCTAGCCCTGCATCTCGACGAGCGCCGTCTTACCGAGATCGCCGGAGGAATCCTTGACGTTCCGTCAAGGCTAGACCACGCTCAGCTTCAGTAGACTCACTCGAGTCGTCGCTGAGAAGACCTATCCTAGTTCGCACACGCCGACCAACAGTCGACGTAACACCTTTAGCAAGGTCTCCAACCTTGCTATCTAAGAACCACTATTCTAAGGAAGTCGCCGATACTTGCCTTAGCCAGAAACCTTTGACCTCTCATTCGAGAGAAGAACCACGTCTGTCTCACCGAATCTCAGTCCACTCGGACTAAGACAGCTCGACATACCCCAGTCGTAACACATGGATGAAGATGATGACATGGTCATTGTTGGCGACAATGATGTCCATGACGATGATGGTAACGAAGACCATGAACACAGCCAGGCCAACAAAAACGAGGAACACGAGGATGAGGACGAGGACTTCGTATGTGCAAAGACTTCACCAGGTATATTATATCTTGTTTAATCTATGGTTGGGATGGCTGACAGCTGTGATCATGAAGATGACATAGAAGGCGATAGCGACAATGGCGCCAAAGCTACCGATGAGGAACCTGAGGATGATGAGAATAATGAGGACCTCAGGTGTGCAAAGACTTCGCCAGGTATATACTGTTTAATCATTTTCTTGGAGGGAGGACTGACAATTATCTATTCTATGCAGCCAGGAGACTTCGGCCCTGAAACGTCAAGAAAACCAACTACAATTTCGATGATGGGTCTCAAACCTCTCTGTTGGATAGCAGCTACACTTTTTCCCAGGCAAAACGTGAAGGTCCCGCAACATCAGATCAAGTTTACGCCTACAAGTCAGATGGCAATGAAGACCCCGACCACGACCATAACAGTCCGCCTTCACCGCCTACTAAGCGCCGGAAGACGTCTTCAGCAGTCAAAACTACCTCGGCCAACACTTCTCAGGACACTACTTGCTCAACAACCATTTGCACCAAGCATGCTCATACATCTATTTTACATTCAAGTGACAACCCCACTCCAGCTGGTATAGTTTTTGGCCCTACGCCAGACAACGACCCCAGTGAGGATGAGCAAGAACTCCCAGGCCATTTAAAACGAGGCCGGCTATGTCAGGAGGGCATCAATGAGGCCCAGGAACTTGGTTGGACAACAGTAGAAGAAGCTTGGGTCATTGGCGCCAAGTATGGCAAGTCCGCACGTAGTATTCTCATCGAGGCCGGCCTGTCCATCAAGCATTCGTGGTCAGAGTCCGATTGGAATGCCCACCAATGCTGGTTCATGGATAATAACCTGCACAAGGACAAAGAATGTCAGTGCCCCTTTCAGTGGTGTAGCTGAGGCTAAATTGAGAGTAACAGCTATCATCGACTGGAAAGAACGTCAATGCAAACATTACCATGCAATGGGCAAGGAGGATGGACAGTGGGACACAATTCACGATTATAACATTACTGGTGGCAATACCAACCAATCACGCGCCAAGACCATCTTGTCAATGAGGGAGGATATTGCAAGAAAGGTACATCTGCCTCATTTGCACATTCTGCGTTATAGCTAATGGCTTGATATAGTTGTCTGCTTATTCTCACCTTGAAGGAGTGGAGGCCGTCAGCTGTATATTTGATACAACACAAGATGAGGCTGCTCAACAGGCATCCAGCATTGTCGTGGGCTCCGACCTCATAGTCAATTTGATCAATGAGCATCAACTGGACGCTTGCGCAATCTTAGATTGAGTTGTGACCACAACAAAGTGCATCTTATTCTTTAAGACTTTTGCTACCTTCTGACATGTTCACAGAGCGAAAGGCTACAACATATCTGTGCTGCAGTTTATGGGGGAGTAGGGGCTTATGAAATTCTACTTTCAAAGCCGAATGAGCCTCCCCGCGACCATTACAGGAGGATATGGCCAATTATGGTGCTTGAGAATACTTGTGAGTACTCAAGCTTGTCTACATTCAACAATTAACTGGAGTCTGCTTAAATAGCAAAGTTTGGGTATTGACCTAAAGCAGTCCAGTGGCGGAAGCTTCTTGACTATGCTTTCCAGTACAAGTTCATGATCAAGAACTGGCCTGACAATGTTCCACCTATTGGTCCCGAATTCAATCCTCACTACCTGAGTTCACAGCATCTCAAGCTGCTCATCATCCCTTTCATCAAGCGCAAAGTGCATTTATACTATGAGGCAGAACTCCAGACCGAAGCTGAGAACTTGTTTGAGTTAGAGAAAAAGAAGTCTAAGGGCAAGCACCGAGCTCAGGACCACACTGTGGAAGATATCATGAGCAAATTAGATGTTACTGTACCTGAGATTGAGTTCGCAGCTTGGCCAGATGGTATGTAGTCTCCAGGTTGTTATTATACTTTCATTTTCTGATATCAATTATGCAAGATTGTCTCAAGCAGCTCCAGGACAAGGTGCCGGAGATGTTGGACATCCCCTTGGTGACTAGTACCTTGGATGTCGTGCTGTGCAAGCTGGTCGACTCTGCGAAATTCAAGCTGTCAATCCCTGAAGATATGTTAGCAGTTAATGAAGCACATTCGGATGCCCCCATTCCCTCTACTCAAGAAATGCTGCCAAGAGACCATGAACCACCTGTTACTTTGAGCCCCCCGACCTTGCCATCAAATCAACGTCACTCTGTGAATATCACGCCAGTACATCGCCGAGAAGGAAGTCATCCTACCCGAGTGCCAGATGTGTTGGATCGTGAATCCCGCCCTGCTCTGCCTATAAGGAGAGAAGAACCCACCGGTGGTGGAAAACAACAGACTAGCCTGCCATTCAAGGCGAAGAAAATTTCATGGGTAAATACTGTATTACTCCATCTTCCATTCAATATTGATCTTCTTTAGGCTGACCCTACATTGGCGCGGTGCATGGAGGAGCGTCCCCCTCATTCTCACAATGGCACAGACTTGGAGTATGTCTTTACTTACTTCTACAAGTTGCAGCAGCCTAACTTAATTACTCAGATGTGAGCCCTACCATTGTCGCGAGGACAGGAATTTTGCTGCCCCAAACCGCCGTCGTGAATATTCACGTTCACCTCCTGTATACCCAGAGCGAGACGAACACTCTCACACAAGGTACTATCGCCCCATCTACAGACAATGCGAGTCATCTCCTTTTGCGGATGACGAGGATTATTCATATCCTCCACATCATACTTACTCACACCGGCCAAATCAGGCTGATGATAATAGCCAGAGGTTTCAAGTAAGAGAGACTGGTGACTCTTATCGTGAAGATGGGCCTTTGCAGTTTCGCTACTAACATTCTTTAGACAAGAATTACGCTGTTCATTTGTATTAAACATGACTGTTGCTTACCTTTGGTTGTCCATACTAGCGCGAGGCTCAAGTTTGTCGTACTTCGTGTACCTCTTCACTTCTGTTGTTGTCTCTCTTTCCCGGTTGAAGCTTGGACATATCTTCATATTATAGTACCCCCATGTGTCGGAGCAATGAAGGTTGTATGTCAGTCTCCCTTTCTTCAAGACTTTGTATTTCGTCGTTGGTTACTTTGTATTGGCAATATTATGCATTAGCTGGACCAATCTTGGTGTGATGCTGTGGTGAATTATCTCAGCAGGGTAGTTGGTTGTGTCCCACATCAACTCTGATTTCTCTGCTCAGATAGAGGGGAATGCTAATCTGGCTATCTACGTGCTATTGTAAGGATAATCTATATCTTCTAAGTTGATTAACAAAGACGTCTGGATACCAGAATCGAGAATGTGTGCATCACATGACTTGAAAGACTCCAAAGAAATGTGTACATCATTTGATGAAAATATCAATAGAATTTCAAGTGTCAATGTAATTGCCTGTGGTATCCCCCAAAATGTCATCATGATTCTTTCCTATTCCTCTTATCACTCACAAGTCAAGCCTGTTAACTTTTATCACTCTTGCTGCCCTTTGTGATGCCACTCCCAAGTAAAGCTCCCCCATTTCATCATGTATGCATTTCACCACACAAATGTTAATTGTGCTGGGCTAGAGTATCACTGCTTTACCTTCTAAATCACAAGTAAAGCTTCCCCATTTCATTGTATATGCACTTCACCACACAACTATTAATTTTGCTTGGCTAGAATATCCCCCCTTTCTCTTCTAGTACAGCCTCCCCATTTTATATGTGCATTTCACAGCAAAAATATTAAATTTGCTTGGCTGGAGTATCCCCCATTCTCATCTAACTCACAAGTAAAGCTTCCCCATTTCATCGCACATGCATTTCACTGCACAAATATTAGATTTGATTGGCTGGAGTATCCCTCATTCCCTTCTAACTCACAAGTAAAGCTTCCTCATTTCATCACACATGCATTTCACTGCACAACTGTTATTTTTGCTTGGCTAGAGTATCCTTACTTTCCCTTCTAACTCATAAGTAAGGCTAGGTGGGAAAGCCCAGATACTACTGGAAGGCTGGGCGGGAGAGCCCAGATGGTAATAACATGGCGGGTGGGCTGGGCGGGAGAGCCTGGATGATTATGACAGGGCATGTGGGAAAGCCCAGATACTGCTAGAAGGTTGGGCGGGAGAGATCGGATGGTGATGACAGGGCAGGTGGGAAAGCCCAGATACTGCTGGAAGGCGGGGCGGGAGAGCCCGGATGATCATGACAGGGCATGTGAGAAAGCCCAGATACTGCTGAAAGGCTGGGCGGGAGAGCCCAGATGGTGATGACATGGCAGGTGGGCAAGCCCAGATACTGCTAGAAGGCTGGGCAGGAGAGCCCAGATGATGATGACAGGGCATGTGGGAAAGCCCAGATAGTGACAACATGGTAGCTGGGAAGGCCCAGATGCTGATGGACAGCAAGCTAAGAGAGCCTTAATGGTGTGGGACACAAAGGAGAGCTCAAATAGTGTGGAATACTATATAATTTTGACCTTAGGTTATGGGAATTTTAACACTGCATTATGCAATGACTATGTGACATGTTTGTTGCTTGAAGACATTGATACAAACTTGCAGTAAGTTTGTATATATGAAATCAGTGGAGGACTGTGTGTACTCTATACACAGGGAATGGATCCAAAATGATAATAATGGAAAAACTAAGTGTTTGGGTAAAGATTTTCTTGAAAAAAACATTATCCTACAAAGTTGGGTTTGTCAACCCAAAACTGCTGTGACCATTATGAAAAAATAGGTTCAGTTCATTGGGCTAGTGATGGTGTGACAAACCTAAGGTCAAAATTATATAGTAGATTGGTGAGAAGGCTAAGTTCATAGTTAAGGATACACAGCATCACTCAGATAATGATGTCACTACTGAACAGAAATAAAATATGTGCCTGAATTGAAACTTTTGGTATTTTTTAATGTATATTATCTTTCTGTGGTCTCTTGGAGCTCTATTTCATTTCCTATGTAGACTTTTGTATAATGTCATCATGACAACCCTTCAATGTGATTGTGTTGAGAAAAGATATGTATCTCTTTTGCTATTGTGGCATCCTATTATTCAATTTTCTGAATTAATTTTACATCTATATCAATTATTGGACATGCACACACACATATACCTACTACTTCTTGCTCCAATAAATGTACAAATTGCATATTTCAATGGCCAAAAATGTTTCAAAATGGACCCCTGTCACTCTTATTTATGATGGGAAAGCCCACATAATATGTGCACAGGGCTGTCCCAGAGCAATGCTAAAGTGATCCCAGATGGGATCGGGAAAGATCACAAATAGGTACTTGGGATAGCCCAGATACTTTGTTCAGTGTGGTCTGGGCCATCCCAGGATACAGGGTAAATTATTGGGAATACCATCCTAGAACACACCCACTAGGTCCTTTGCTAGCCACAAACCAATAGACCTAAGAGGTCTTTTCAAGTGGTTGACTGAAGTGGCTGAGTCTGCGCGAGTCCATTTGCCCATGGCTAGCAAGTAAGTATTCAACTTAGTCAGCATAACAGAGCACAAATCATGTTATTGCATCGATTTACAGGCACTAATGACAAATCTGCTTCCTGTGAATAGTTGGAGGTAGTGATGTGCGGGCCCGGCTCGGCCTGAAAGCCCCGGCTTAGGCCTGGCTTTGGGGGGCTTGGGCTTTGCAAAAGTTCAGGCTGAGCTGTGAGCCCAAGCCAGGCCAAAGCCGCGGCTCGGCTTGGGCTCAACAACGGCTTTCAAGAACAAAATGATCTAAAATTCAATCTAAGCATATTTGTAACGGTGAGCAATCAATGACACGCGCATACCAATGTAAATCGGTACTCCAAGTCGCACGTGAATTCACCCAGGTTGAGAAGCTCCACCACGCCATTCCCAACACCACGAATGCCATGCGCAAATGCCCAGTGCATGTCAGCAACTGCTGATATGGCTCAAACGAGTGCAGACGACAGACGCGAGTAGGAGGAGGGAAGAGGATGAGGAGATCTCACGAAGGGTGAACATAAGCACCTGTTGACCCCCGCAACATGAATCATTATTTAAATATCGTCAACAAAAATATAAACGCGTATATGGTTTGGATGAGACTGCATAGTGCATGAAGATTCTCGGCGTTCTCTAAGTCCTCTGCCAGCTTGAAGATCATCTTCGCAATACATGCCTGCTAAAAGCTTAGCGGTCCATCATGAGGAATTTGATGATCTGACGACGGACCTTGTGCAGGATATACTCGTATATGTTGGTGACAAGCTTGAGGCTCTTGAACGGAACGCAAACGCCACGGAGTACAATGAGGACAGTGATACAGATGGGAGCATTGAGACATCGACTTCTTCTGAGAGCTGCCATGTGGCTAGCAATGATTGTTCCAAGCACTCATAGATGCAAACATGATTATCGGAAGAGACAGTTGCCTTGCAGAGGTTTTCATAAATTTTTAAATGAGACGAACGCCTAACGTACCAACTTCAACCCAAAATGATGAGGGGCAAATTCGACCGCGCGGACAGTGCCTCTTGCATCAACCAATACACCCATCTTAAGGAACCACATGAAGCAGCCTGAGGAGACCTCTGTTGGATTCTGGGTGTACGTCCAGGATGGATTGGGTGATTGGGTAGTGGTGGAGTAGGAGGTGGTATCGAATGGAGGGATGTACATGGTTGGTGGATTAGCTGGACTGACCCTGTTTTCATAGTTACATGGTCGCAAATATCAAGGCCGATAAGGGACAAAAAGCCGCGGCCTGAGCCGCCGGCTCAGGCTTTTCAACACCTCAAGCCAGGCCCTGGGCCATGGTCAGGCCCTGACTTGGGCCCAGCTCGGCTCGGCCTAATCAGGCTCAGCTTTGGCTGGCCCACGGCCTGAAGCCAGGCCGTGCACATCACTAGTTGGAGGGTCATATGGGCTATCACACCCGAAAGCCGATTACTATTTAATGTAGTGTAGCCTCTGAAATAAGCAAATGTCATGCTTTTCTCCCTCAAAATTGCAGTAGTGTGACTAAATACATCATGTGACATTGGTGGTGTTTGAGTGAGGCCTATCTTAGCATGCTTCGGCATGGGTTTGGCTAAAGTTGCCATGGTGCGGTGCGGTTATGGTTAGGTTCAGCTGATACACACTGAGAGAGGTTCGCAGTTTGGGCACCAAGCATTTTGTGTGAACCATAGCAAACCTGTTCGAACCATGACCACACCAAATGTACTGGTTGATAATCACTTTGAGAAATAGGAAGCTCAATATCTGTTTTGCACTTATGCAGCTCAAAAATTCAAAAAAAAATTCAACTGCACACAGCCAGCATGATACACATCAAGATCCCTTTCAACTCAATGCTCTAGCACTCAATCCCGATGGCTCCCTCAAAAAGCTGAGGAGATGGAATCTGGCAATTGCACGTGCAAGAAGGAGAGGAAACATCGCAAAGTGGAGATGGAAGCTAAGGAATCTGCGTGGGGATAATGTTCACTCGACGACGACGACACTGTGAATAATAAAGTACAGTTGGGTGCAATAGAGGCTCTTATTATGCCTATTTTTCAATTTAATTCAATTTTTGGTAGTAAGAAAAGTTCGAACCGGTTCGCACCTGAACAGCACCTTATAGGACCGGTTCTTGACCGAACCATTGGCTAAGGTTCGGTTCGGGTTCGGGCTGTCAGGCCTCGAACCTGTTCCGAACCGCACCGCGGCAACACTAGGTTCGGCACTGTTCGGCATACTTTTGAGACACTTATCCACACAGCATCACACTTTGTCACATGCAGGTGATGTTCGTCGCATTCACAAGTCCGCTATCTTACACGTGTGCTGGGCGTCTAATGATACACGAAGCACAAAAAGGCCCGGTACAGGTACCTCTGGAACTTAGATTAAGATTCAGGACGCCCGCAATCTCTCTAGCAAGTTGTGCTCAACACCATCCACCTCGAGCAGAATGACGGAAGCAGAACACCCTGCCATTCGAATCGTCACCCCCAATCAAATATTTCAAGGTCATGGAGATAGTCTCTTTGCAGTTGCAGTCTTCCCCGATAGACGCCGTATGGTGACGGCCTCGGCTGACAAGACACTTCGTCTTTGGGACTTAGAAGACGGTGTTGTACTGAAGATAATGGAGGGGCATTCCAACCCAGTGGAAGGACTTGCAGTATCAAGAGATGGGAAATGGATAGCAAGCGGTGATCGTGGCGGAGAGGTCATAGCCTGGAACAGAGACGGCGAATCTCTCACCCAGCCCATCAAAGTCCACTCCAAAGAGATAATTTGGCTCGATTTTTCCCCAGACAGCACAATGCTAGCGAGTGGCTCATTGGACACCACGGTGGAGCTCTGGAACACCAAAACATGGCAGGTGAAAGGAAGTCCAATCAGTTGTGGCGCTCCAATCTACTGTGTTCAGTATTCACCATCTGGTGAACATCTTGCCATCGCAACCTCGTCAAATATCCAAATATGGAATCCAGGCAAGAGGGATTGCGTCGCAAATTTCCAGGCTCACTCTGCGTATGGAGCATGGAATCGGTCATTAGCGTGGACACCCGATGGCAAACAGCTTGTTTCGGTTGGTACTGATGCCGATCTCACCATAAGGATCTGGGATTCATCAACCTGGAAGCAGGTCGGTGAGCCCTGCAAGGGCAATGCTACGACTATCTTCAAGATTGCCCTCAACCCTGCTGGAACCCTTCTCGCGTCCGCGTCTCACGACCACCAGGTTTACCTTTGGCGGCTTTCGGATCAACAAACCATTGCCATATTCAAACACACCAAAGAGGTGTATTGCGCCGCCTTCTCCATGGATAGCAAGTACATCCTGAGTGGAGGAGGAGATCGTATGATCTCAAAGTGGGCAGTGCCTTCGCTAGAGGACGTTCTCAGGGACCAGGCAACAGATGTAAGATTCTGTTTATTCTTCATCCCTTCTTCATCTTATTTTCTCCGAGGATGCATTGCAAGAAGACACTTCGAAGGAACATGCGGCAAATAATGTGAGTTCCCGTTCATTTGCAGGCAGTTCGTCTTCTTCGATATTGATCATCAATCTTGATGCCAAGGCTCAACAGTCTGATTGCGAGGTGTGTTTCTAACCTTCATTCTTACCACACAATTTGATCATGCGTGATGCAGATCCTCGCCATCAACACAACAGCCCGCAATGCATGCATAACCGGGGACTTGCCTACTGCTGACAGGCTTTTAACACAAGATATCGTCGCCGCTAGCAATGACTACAAATCTCATGCGAATCGTTCGTTTGTCAAGGCAAGAAATTCAGACTGGGACCATGCACTTGATGACGCGCTCAAAGTGAGATGCACCATTTCGTCCTGACCTTTTCAAAACAGACTAACTTATATGGTGATACAGAGCATCAGTATCAAGCCATCCTTGATGGGCTGTATATCCAAGGGCATCGCCCACTGTGGAAAAAAACAGTTCCGAGACGCGATGAAAGCATTTGACATCGCGTTCATGTACGTGGATGCAGACTTGAATAAAACTCGTCTTCTACTCTTGATTAAGGTATGTCAATGATTGTGTCTCATGTACTCGCTGCTCACACTACAACCATTAGGCCATCGCCCTTTTCAATGCAAATCAACATGACGAGGCGATTCTGCGCGTCCAAGAGCTAGCTACCACTCGTCCTAATCCAAATTCTCTTGCCTGTGGTGTCGTGGAAGTGAGTGCTCCTGACACAGTCGACTCCAGATTCATGCATCGATGCTGATTTTGCGAACCTCGCAATCCAGGCTTATCTACACGTCCAGCTGGGAAAGTATGCATCACACGACGCACGTCATAACGAGGCGGCTGGCCACTTCACTGCTGCTGTCAACACTATTGATTTCTCGTCTGTGTCTGCCATCCACTCTAGATACGATGTCTTCGTGGTGGTAGGTTGATTGAAATGTAACCGGAAGTCTTTTTTTGTCGCCTCACTGTGCTTTTCTAGTTATTTGGGTGGGATCTGCGGTCTTTGTGGCGAAATGCACATCAGAATTGGTGCGATGTGCTCCTTCGGGCAGGTAGACTTCCAGAAGCCATCAAAGCATACCGATACATGATGGACAGGGTTGATGAAGCTACGAAATCACGCTGCCTTGATTGGTCCACTGGCGAGTATTCTTGATGCAAACCTCGTATAACTCTCATCCTTATCTCACTCAGATTTCAAGCAAGATTGCAGCGTGCTCCATGCTGCTGCCGGAGTGACTGATATCATTGGAAGCGGAGATGCTGCCCTCGCTGCGGGTAATTACGACAAGGCTATCGAACTTTACTCTGCAGCGATCGACCTCGGTTTGGCAACAGATACAACCTTTGCGAACCGCAGTAAGGCAAGGTCGGGAAAAATGTTGTGGGATGACGCACTTCTCGATGCGAACAAGGTGCGATAACAGTTACTGTTTTCGTATTCGATACTCATTTTAGTGATATGCAGGTCATCGAACTCAACCCCTCATCTTACTCCGGATATCAGTTGAAGCATTCGGTACTTCATGGTGCACACCGATATGATGAAGCCATTGAGGCGTTCAAAATCGTGATCTCCAAGTTGGAAAATGCTTCCAAATCCGACACGCAAACTCAAGGTACGCCTCAAATAGCACACCCTCTAAATATTGTTGACTCCTTGTCCAGACTTGCGCCATCAGCATGTTAGTCCATCCGAATCAGAACGTGCTATTGAAGAGAGCATCAACGCTCAGCTCGACGACGCTCCGCATCGTTTAATCAACACCTCCACTGGGCGCTTATGCAATAGAGAGACCCAGATCGATGCCTTCAAAACCGAGCACGGAGTACAAGGAGCTTTTGTCATCCACCATGAAGGATGCAGATCTCCAATGCAGCGCATCCAAGACGTGGTGGCAGGTACACTTCCGTTATGTCATGCTATCGCATAGGTGGGAAGGGAAGGAGCCGTCGCTGCATGACATCCAGACAAGGTGGTGTACGACTTAGATCCAGTTGGCGGCATCGCGAAGTTGCAGTCATTCTGCAAAACTGCTCGTGATAAAGGGTATCGCTGGGCATGGATCGATACCTGTTGCATTGACCAGACTAACAACGTCGAGGTCCAACAATCGGTCAACTCCATGTTTGTCTGGTATCGCCACTCAGCACTCACCATCGTCTACCTGTCGGATGTTCCACCTTCATCGCAGCCTGGAGCACTCGCAAGTAGCGTTTGGAACACGCGAGGATGGACAGTTCAAGAATTCTTGTCCCCAATATTTGTCTTATTCTATCAGAAGGATTGGTCCTTATATCTCGGCGATCGCTCTCCCTAACCACAAGGATTCCCTTGCAATCATGCAAGAGATGGGAAAAGCGACGGGAATCAATGCAGAGGCCCTCGTCGCCTTCCGTCCAGGGATGAGAGACGCCCGGGAGAAACTCCAATGGGTGTCAGGCACGTGTCACCACGTGGCAGGAAGATATCGCATACTCATTGTTTGGTATATTTGGCGTTAACCTGCCTGTCATTTATGGGGAGAAGAAACAAAAGGCGCTAGGGAGGCTCTTGCAGGAGGTCGTAGCTCAGTCGGGTGACATCAGTGCCCTGGACTGGGTGGGGCAATCATCCGAATTCAATAGCTGTCTGCCGGCCGACATCACTTCATACAAAGCACCACCATACACCCTGCCATGTCTGTCTGAAGATGACATCCAGATATCAATCTCCTCGCTCCGACAAGTCATGTCTGTAGATTTGGCTTAAACATTTACACCCTGCTTGACGACCTGAACGCGCCTCGTTTCGCGAACTGCAGACTGCATCTGCCTTGCATCACATTTCGTATCACAGCAGTCAAACGGAGTCGCGCGGAAGACCAAGAGATATATGAAGTCAAGGCCGACGGGCTTGATGACCTGCGGATCACCACAAAGGACAAATTGAATCAGTTCTCGTCACCACGACCCACTATGCAGACCTTATTGCTTGTTCGTCCGTGGAATCGTTATCTGCTCGAGCTTCCTCACTTTGTGAAGCCGTCTGGCTTGGCAGGGCTTCCTGACGTTGCTGACGACACGGACAGCGAAGAGGAGTATTGGTCTCCGCTCAGCTCTCCATTACAGAATTCGCCCGGCGAGTTCCCTGAGGTACAGGAGTCGGTCGACTCGGAACTGAGCGATCGAGCCTTGCGATTGATCGTTCATCTTAACCAGCCTTTCAACGCGTTTTTGCTAGTGCATCAGCGTGGCGGAGAATACAAGAGGATCGCGTCAGATTATGGTATCATTGCGCAAGTCAAAGATATTTCTTCTATTCCGGACATGATCAAGACGCTAGAGATACTGTAGCGACATGCATTTTGGGTGTTATTTATATCAATAATCCACATCTCTGTCCGAAGATGAGATTCAGACCTCGGTCTCCTTACTGCGAAACACCGAGGCTATCGAATCAGCTTCAAAGCTTTATACCCTCCTTATCGATTAGATGAACGCTCCTCGTTTCGCGAACCGCATAGTACTGCATCTGCCTTGCATAGCATTTCGCGTCACAGCCGTGAAACGGAGTCATACTAAGATTCACATGCCGCGTATGAAATCAAGGCAGACGGTCTTCATGACCTGCTAATCACCACGGAGGACAAACTGATTCTGTCCTCCTGGACATTTCCCACACGGCAGATATTCTTACTTGTCCGTCCATGGGATCGTGATCTCCTCGAGCTGCCTGATTTTGCGGAGCTGTTTGGCTTGGCAGGGCTGCCTGACATTGCAGACAAACACACAGCGAGGAATATTGGTCTGCGCCTGTGTCTCCATCACAGGATTCACGTGGCGGGTGCTTTGAAGCAGAGCAGCCGGTTGGTTTGGAATCGAGCGAGCGAGCATTGCGATTGATCGTTCGCGCCTCGGACAGCCTTTTAGTGCATTTTTGCTAGCGCAGCAGCGTGGGGGAGAATACAAGAGAATCGCATCAAATTATGCCATCATTGCACAAGTCAACGACATGGCCTTTGCTCCGGACATGGTGGACGTCACTTGAGATATTGTAGATAGCAGCTGTGTTTATGCGTATAGATCTATTACAAGATGATGGTACCCCTTAAGTTCGAACAGACGGGCACGCGCGTCGCGTAGAAACTCCTCGAACATTAATAAGCAGCAGCTCGCCAACCTTCTATTATCGAACCCAAATCATATATCGTCATCATGATGGTAGTCGACTGCACCAGGAGAGAATGTGCACGATAGCCCACCGTACTGCGTATTTCTCGCACAAGCTGCTTCATAATGACATCAATCCGCGTTCCGTCTGTCTGCACGTGAATGATCCAAGTGATGAGAGTGTCATACCGTTTTGGAATGCGGATGGAACGCCTCCCATACGCCAAGCGATGCTCTGCGGCTGGAGATTCGCAAAACACATGGACCCTGAACACAAGAAGACCAGTATAGATTCTCGGTGAGACCCCTGAGGACCTATATCATTTCAGCCACTAGAGGTTTTGTAGGAATACTTAGCAACAGAAATATTGTGGCACAAGAGTTGTTCGCCACGACGAAGACACGATCTGGAATCGTTCCTCTGGGTCATGCTTTCCATTTGCATCAATTTTGTCGGGCCTTATAGCCAAAAACGCACGGTACTACCTAGCTGCGTACCCAACTGGCTGCAGCCAGATTGCCTGCCTTCCCATCGCCTAGACATATCTCAGGAGAGATTCCAGGTGGAGGACTGGTCTTCCACCTGCAGTGCGTGCTTTTCAGATTACTTCAACCATCCGCCTATTGTGAATGGTCTTGCAAATCTCGCCTCAAAGCTATCGCCTCCGGGCTCCTTGAAAATTAAACCCAATGGTAGCAAGTCTGCCACTTTCCCGGAAAATCCTGTCACACACGATGACATGATCTTAGTGCTGAAAGATATCGTAGCAGAGCTCCCAGTAGAACAACCACCGTCGGAAGATGATGTCTGAAAAGCAAGGGAAAGATATAGAAGTATACAGAGTTCAGTATCTTACCGCGCTCCAAATATCTACAACTGATCGCTATCGCCGATCACATAGATGAGATAATCAACGCATATTCCTTCGTAATATTAGTACAAACTTAATCATCATCTGGAAGGTGTCCGATCTTCTCGACGTCCAAAAGGATTGAATTCAACATCTCATGACAAATAGTGGCCTTGAGAAAGAGATCACATTGGCTTAGAATCGTCATTAAGTATATCGAACAGCCGAGATATATATAAAAAGAGGGCATACTCGTTATATCCTGGGGGTTCAGTTCGTCTTTCATCTTCCCACATGTTTACTAATCGTCTATCAATCCATATTGCACTAGGAGAGGGCGATAGCCATGGGATTTCCGGGAGGTCCGCTTCATTACGAAGCATTGAATAGCGCGGACCAAGAGGGGGGAAGATGGGACTATTTGGATTGAATCGCCAAGGAGACATAAACCGAATGATTTGCGACCGTCGATTGCCAATGAGGCGAGAGAATTTCTGGACAGCCCAGGCGGTATCAAGAGGCCCGCGTATATTCACAGAGGCAGCAGCAAAATCGGAAAGGAGGGAATGAGCCTTTGCAAGCTCAGCTTTGGTATTCACGACCAGTTTAGATAATGGGTGGTCCAAAGACAGCAAATCTGGATGACGGTCACCGACTGTGACAAATACGTCTCGCACCGGCACCGGCACGTTCGTCTTGCTGTGTGACTGATGCCAGCAGGAACTTGCCCATCGTGAGACGATGCATACAGAAAAGATGAGGAAGGGGACGACCATGATGAGTTTCTCCCAATATGAGTCAATTGAGTACATGATAACTGAGCAGCTGAGTAGCCATGCGATATACTCCAAAATCGAGTTCTCGATGGCTTTTTCAAGTGCTAGCGCTACATGTCTGGGAAAAACTGCCAGGAAAGGCTGCACAGTGGTACGGCTAGTGAACAGAAGTATGAGCACGGTTGTTATAACTGGCTGCCAGCCTACTGGGGCCAGAAGATAGCAAAGCCCAGTCACAAATGTGGCATCTAGAGGATCATCCATGTTCTGAACGACTGGGAGTGGTGAATGTGACGAGTAACGAGTTGTTTGTCCTTGCTAGAAGTTGAAGGTGCTGGTAAACAAGCACAAATACGTTGAGCTATTTATGTACGCTAGCGTCGGCAGGTTTTCGTCTCTGATAGTATATCGGTCAGTACACCCGCCTGTCAGGAAGCAGCCCGCGGGAGAGCGGAGTTCGATTCTCCGTCAGAGAGATATTTTTGCACTTCAATGAAGTGATAAAGGTATGGTTACGGATGCAGCTTGTTTCTACATACTCAAATAAATGAATACTAGGTTTATGATGGATGGTTTAGTAGCAGTCCGAGGAACGACGTACTTCACTAGTACGATGATCATTCGCGTAGGTTGTTGAACAGACGGATGTGGTCCCGATACGCATTAGCTTTTGCCGTCGCTCTGGCACTATAATATTGGCACTCGGTGTCGACATGATGTCCACTACTGTCATTTACGAGTAAGTGACTTTACAGCTTTTCAATTTGCAATTTCGTTCTTGTGCATCTTGGGTCCACTTTGTTGTCACACCAGTAGAGTCTAAACATATCTGTGACCTGATCCGGTGTGCACTGATAAGGGGAGATTCCGGACATCATACACGTGTGCTGGGCGTCTACAGTGTGTTGCATATGAGATTGCAGTACCTGTTTTTGAAAACTCGGCCTCGCTACCTTTACCGACATCTTTACACCCACCGTGAGTCACTCACACGCGTATTACAAGATGTCACATCCCTTGACCTAATTAGGGTGTAAAGGTGCCTTTGAAAAACACGGTACTACTGCAATCTCATATGCAACATACTGTAATGATACACGAAGCACAAAAAGGCCCGGTACCTCTGAAACTTATATTAAGATTCAGGACGCCCGCAGTCTCTCTAGCAAGTTGTGCTCAACACCATCCACCTCGAGCAGAATGACGGAAGCAGAACACCCCCTCATTCGAATCACCACCCCCAATCAAACATTTCAAGGTCATGGAAATAGTCTCGTAGCAGTCACAGTCTTCCCCGATAGACACCGTATGGTGACGGCCTCGGGCGACGAGACACTTCGTCTTTGGGACTTAGAAGACGGTGTTGTATTGAAGATAATGGAGGGGCATTCCAATCCAGTGGAAGGACTTGCAGTATCAAGAGATGGGAAATGGATAGCAAGCGGTGATAATGGTGGAGAGGTCATAGCCTGGAACAGAGACGGCGAATCTCTCACCCAGCCCATCAAAGTTCACTCCAAAGAGATAGTGTCGCTTGATTTTTGCCCAGACAGCACGTTGCTGGCCAGCGGCTCAGTGGACACCACAGTGGAGCTTTGGAACACAAAAACATGGCAGGTGAAAGGAAGTCCAATCAGTTGTGGCGCTCCAATCTACTGTGTTCAGTATTCACCATCTGGTGAATATCTTGCCATCGCAACCACGTCAAATATCCAAATATGGAATCCAGGCAAGAGGGATTGCATCGCAAAGTTCCAGGGTCACTCTGCGTATGGAGCATGGAATGCTTCACTCGCGTGGACGCCCGATGGCAAGCAGCTTGTATCAACTGGTATCAATGGTGATCCCACCATACGGATCTGGAATTCATCGACCTGGAAGCAGGTCGGTGAGCCCTGCAATAGCCATACTGGGGGTGTCTTCAAGATTGCCTTCAACCCTGCCGGCACCCTTCTCGCGACCGCGTCTAACACCCCCCAGGTTTGCCTTTGGCGACTTTCGGATCGACAAGCCATTGCCATATTCAAACACACCGAAGCGGTGTATTGCGTCGCCTTCTCCATGGATGGCAAGTACATTCTGAGTGGAGGAAGTGATTTTATCATCTCAAAGTGGGCAATACCTTCGCTAGAGGACGTTCTCGGGGACCGGGCAACAGATGTAAGATTCTGTTCATTTTTCATCCCTTCTTCATCTTATTTTCTCCGAGGATGTATTGCAGGAAGACACTTTGAAGGAACATGCGGCAAATAATGTGAGTTCCCGTTCATTTACAGGCAGTTCATCTTCTTGTATATTGATCATCAATCTTGATGTCAAGGCTCAACAGTCTGATTGCGAGGTGTGTTTCTAGCTTTCATTCTTGTCACATAATTTGACCATGCGTGATGCAGATCCTCGCCATCAACACGACAGCCCGCGATGCATGCATAACCGGGGACTTGCTTACTGCTGACAGGCTTTTAACACAAAATATCGGTGCTGATGGCAATGACTACAACTCTTATGCAAATCGCTCGTTTGTTATGGCGAGAAAAGCTGACTGGGACCGCGCACTTGATGATGCATTAAAAGTGATAATGTTCTCGTTGTGATTACTTTAAAACTGGCTAATTTTTACGGTGATACAGAGTATCAGTATTCAGCCATCCTTGATGGGTTGTATCTCCAACAGCATCGCCCACTGTGGAAAACGACAATTCCAGGACGCGATGAAAGCGTTTGACCTCGCATTCATGTACGTGGACGCAGACTTGAATAAAACCCGTCTCCTACTCTTGATCAAGGTACGTCAATTGTGTCTCATGTCCTCGCTACTTACACAACAGCTGTCAGGCCATCGCCCTTTTCAATGCAAATCAACAGGACGAGGCAATTTTGCGCGTCCAACAGCTAGCTACCACTCGTCCCAATCCAAATTCTCTTGCCTGTGGTATCGTGGAAGTGAGTGCTCCTGACAGTCAACTCCAGAATCATGCATCGATGCTGATTTTGCGAACCTCGCACTCTAGGCTTATCTACACGTCCAAATGGGAACGAATGCATTGGATGACGCACGTCACAATGAAATGATTGGCCACTTCACTGCTGCTGTCAACACTATTGATTTTTCGTCTACGTCGGACATTCATTCTAGATATGATGTCTTCGTGGTGGTAGGTTTATTTCAATGCAGCTGAAATCATTTTTGACGTCTCACTGTGCTTTTTCAGTTATTCGGGTGGGACCTCAAGTCCTTGTGGCGAACTGCACACCAGAATTGGTGCCATGCATTTCTTAAGGCAGGTAGACTTCCAGAGGCCATTAAAGCATACCGATACATGATGGATAGGGCTGATGAAGCTACGAAAGTATACTGCCGTGATTGGTCCACTGGCAAGTCTTCATGATGTCAATCGGGTATAATTCTAAACCTCATTTCACTTAGTTTTCAAGCAAGGTTGCAGCGTGCTTTATGCTGCCGCTGGAGTGACTGACCTCGCTGTGGGCGGAGATGAAGCCCTCGCTGCGGGTAATTACGACAAGGCTATCGAGCTTTACTCTGCAGCGATCGATCTCGACTTTGCAACCCATACCACCTTTGCAAACCGCAGTAAAGCGAGGTCAGGAAAAATGCTATGGAACGATGCACTCCTCGATGCGGAAAAGGTGGGATGACAGTTACCGTTTTGCATTCGACGCTGATTTTGGTGATATGCAGGTCATTGAACTCGACCCTTCATCTTACTTTGGATATCAGTTGAAGCATGCGGTGCTTCATGGCGCACATCGATATGATGAAGCCATCGAGGCGCTCAAAACCATGCTCTCTAAGTTGGAAAGTGCTCCCGATACGGAAACAAGGAGTACGCCTCAAATAAAACATCCTTCAAACATTGTTGATTCTTTCTCCAGATTTGCGGCAACAGTATGTTGGTCCATCCGAAGCAGAACGTGCTATTGGAGAGAGCATCAAGGCTCAATTTGACGACACCCCGCATCGCTTCATCAACACCTCCACTGGGCGCTCATGCGATCGAGAGGGACAGATCGATGCCTTCAAAACGAGCACGGAGTACAAGAAGCTTTTATCATCAACACTGGCGCATGTGGATCTAATGCAGCGCATCCAAACCGTGGTGGCGATGTACTTCCGTTATGTCATGCTGTCACATAGGTGGGAAGGGAAGGAGCCGTCACTACATGACATCCAGGGCGAGGGGGTGTACCACTTGGATCCAGTTGGTGGCTTCATGAAGTTGCGGTCATTCTGTGAAACTGCTCGTGATAAAGGATATCACTGGGCATGGATTGATAGCTGTTGCATCGACCAGACTAACAACGTCGAGGTCCAACAATCAGTCAACTCCATGTTTGTCTGGTATCACCACTCAGCACTCACCATCATCTACCTATCGGATGTTCCACCTTCATCGCAACCTGGCGCACTCGCAAGTAGCGCTTGGAATACGCGAGGATGGACAGTTCAAGAATTCCTGGCCCCAAAAATTGTACTCTTTTATCGACAGGATTGGTCTCCGTATCTCGACGATCGCTCTCCAAACCACAAAGATTCTCTTGCAATCATGCGGGAGATGGGAGATGCGACGGGCATAAATGCACGAACCCTTGTTGCCTTCCGTCCGGGGATGAAAAACGCCCGGGAGAAACTCCAATGGGTGTCAGCGCGTGTTACCACGCGGCAGGAAGATATTGCATACTCATTGTTTGGTATCTTCGGCGTCAACCTACCTGTCATCTATGGCGAGAGGAAGCAGAAGGCGCTTGGGAGGCTCTTGCAGGAGGTCGTAGCTCAGTCGGGCGACATCAGTGCCCTGGACTGGGTCGGAAAATCATCCGAATTCAATAGCTGTCTACCAGCTGACATCACTTCATACACAGCTCCGCCGTGCACGCTGCCATCTCTGTCTGAAGATGAGATTCAGACTTCGGTCTCTTCACTGCGAAACACTGAGGCTATGGAATCAGCTTTAAAGCTTTATACCCTTCTCGACCACACGAACGCTCCTCGTTTCGCGAACTGCAGACTGCATCTGCCTTGCATAGCATTTCGTGTCACAGCAGTGAAACGGAGTCATACTGAAGACCAAGATTCACACGGCGCGTATGAGGTCAAGGCAGACGGTCTTCGCGACCTGTTAATCACCACGGAGGACAAACTTATTCCGTCTTCGTGGACATTTTCCACACGGCAGACGTTCTTACTCGTCCGTCCATGGGATCGTGATCTCCTCGAGCTGCCTGATTTTGCGGAGCTGTTAGGCTTGGCAGCCGGGCAGCCTGACATTGCAGATGACACGCAGAGCGACGAATCTTATTGGTCTGCGCCTGGGTCTCCATTGCAGGATTCACCTGCCGAGTCCCTTGAAGCAGAGGAGCCGGTTGATTTGGAATCGGGCAAGCGAGCGTTGCGATTGATTGTTCGCCTTGGACAGCCTTTTAGTGCATTTTTGCTAGCGCAGCAGCGTGGGGGAGAATACAAGAGAATCGCATCAGATCGTGCTATCATTGCACAAGTCGACGACATGGCCTTTGCTCGGGACATGGTGGACGTCAAGACACTCGAGATATTGTAGCTAGCAGCTGTGTATGCGTATAGATCTATTACGGGATGATGATACCCCTTCGAACAGACGGGCACGTGCGTCGCGTTGAAACTCCTCCAACATCAATAAGCAGGAGCTCGCCAGCCTCCTATTATCGAACCCAAATCATATATCATCGTCATGATGGTAGTCGACTGCACCAGGAGAGACTATCTGTTGGACTCCCAAACTCTTCTTTATCAGATATTGTTTTCGTAAGACAGACATCTATCATGCCCGCTCGCCGCAGATTGGCCTCTGTCGGATGTTGCACATCTTCCAGGACTTCGTTGATAGAGGCTGAACGATGACCCAACCACAAGAGTTGCAGCACACCTATGTTTGGGATAGCAGCCTGACTGTCGTGCGATGCATGAAATGCTCTTGTCATATGTAGCGCCAGTCCCAACATTATCACCGATGCAGACGCTGCGAAAGCCAACTAGAACCATTTTCGATGAATAGTCATCGCATAGATATTACCACGAACTCACAGGAAGAAGGTTGATCTACAATGCTCCATTAGTTATTTAAAAACAACATCTGCGCAGTTCACTTACGTTGAGGCGTAGGGCAATGAACTGCTCGTTAACATAGGCTGTCCCGTTGCCAGGGTCAATTCCTCCATTGGCTGTACCCATTTGTCCGGCTAAGCATGTGGCACAGAATGAGCGAGAGTTTAAAAACGTCAAACGTATCCCTTACCCAGCCAGATGAGTTGTGCAGCTGCTCTCGCAACCGCGAATTCTAGTTCATCCGGTCTCAACGTGAAATTGGAAATCGGAGGAGCACCATCTCGGAATTGTGTATATTCCTCAGTGAGATTCAAGCCTACCAACGACATGACATACCTAGAAGTCAAGCCGTACGTGAGACATTTTAACAGTGCAGTCAAAGTTTTTGGCCTACTCGTCCGCAACAGAGAGTTCAGTGATTTGGGAAGGTGTACCATCAAATATAACCCCGCTGCTGCTATCCGGGGTAGCCAAAGCACTGCCGATCTAAAATTGACAGTATGTCATTGAGCTCGAAGTGAGCGCCGTATAACGCACCTGTGTTTGCCAACTAGTATTCGACCACCCGAATTGATACATTTCCCATTGCGAGGATGGCTGCGATATGGACGTAGGACTCAGTAGGCTGTTGGTTTGCATGTTGACTATCCCATCTGTAGTGTTCGCTGACAGCGAGCAATATACGAAATAGACCTGGATGACGTATGGAGTGGCAATGTCAGGGATAGCTGCAGAACGTATTGTTATCATGACTGTATTACAAATAAGCAAACGTACCCCAAGTCATGTTCACAGCAACTTCATCTTGTACTGAAGGGTCGATCCCCAATAATGTGGAGACCATAAGATAGACACCAGGAAGCTGGAGTCAAATTGTTATTCAACTTCTATGGTGGGCGTGAACTAAGAGAACGCTGACCTTCGAGACGCCACCGTAAGAATCCTCATATTCCATCCATGGAATTATATGTATCTGATCTGACCCTGTAGATACTGTCAGCGTGATAATAAACATCACCGCAATCACAACCACTGACAGAGAGTGCTCGCATTAAGCAACGCGAGTGGCAACTGGCCCAAACGGAACGATCGCTGTGCTGGTATTCGCAGAGTATGTTGACATTTGGAACCAACCCGCAACTCGAGGCTACCGTCGTTGCGTTCACAGTCGCATTCCACTGCTATAGCGGTTGTTTTGAGGGTGTCGTAGAGTGTGGTGTTGGACAACCCTGCGGACACGAGTCCAGTCAAATGTATTGACAACTGGTAGGGATGTGGTAATGGGTCCTAGGTCTTGTTAAATAGCTATACGACGAATCGTCTAGCCATCCTAGTGTTGTGGGCACCGAAGTCGTCATAGAAGCATTGAAGGTTTGAAATTGTAGGAGAGTAGAAGAGGTGACATGCAGCACGGTTATGCTCGCAAGGTAGGCTGCCACAGCGGAAGTCGTCCACCATGAAGCGGGGATGTCAGTTTGTCGCCAGACACTAGTGAGTGCAGAACCGAGACCCGCCCATGCGCCAGAGATGTCATGAACGGCGGTCAGTTTTGCATGGCGTACGAGTGTTCTCGAAATCGCAAGCCGTTGGGTAAGGAAGAGCAGAAATAGCCGTTGTATATCTGGATCAAGTCATGTCATTGGTGTATCGTTAGGATACCAGTGGACACTGGATACGTACGGTATAAAACGCTTGCAGTGAAGCACTAAGCACCACAGGCAGAATCATTGTTTGTTGGTGTGAAAGCGAAAGTTACATGGTGTTCCCAGTGACGGACAATAAAAGAAAAAAGGACAACGTGGATCATGACCAGCATGCCATGCATGATATAACATGCGCGTGGCGCAAACAATCCATTGCGCGCGTTTTTTGAAACATTTTTCGAACGAGCCTTCCAGTCCACCGAGGGGGGGATTGCAGTTGTCGGCACGCAACAGCAAGCATTCGATCGACACGATACACACTGAGTCCTCGACATACCAAATGAGTGCAGTGGATGTTAAATCAACTAGCTGGTCTGCCTTGAAGTGGCCGGGCCTCAGACCTTGATAGAAGGAAGTCGGTCATTCCTTGTATTTTCTTCTTTATATGTGAAGGCATCAATGTTTCAAACTTTGGGTGAGGGTGATGCGGCGGCCGACCCGTGTCGTAAAGCGGCCCATCAAAATGCTCCCGAGGGCGCATTAATGGATTTGTCGCTTTTGTTTTTTTCTATACCGTATTGTTCTACGTACTACAAGGTCACGTAGGCTAAATAATGATGCGGCATCAGTGATATTGGCATCCCTACACGACGCACATCAATCAACGAGACTCTCCCCTGACTCGTGTGCAATTTGAATCACACTGTGCAGCACCGATGAGTCAACAGGACAGGAGCGTATCGAGTGACCCATTGTCGTAAATTTCCGAAAGTGTTGCAATTCCTAGTACCATCGAGGGATCAAAGTGGTTCGGGCCGTTCGGGCCTATGTAGTTAGGAATAATATGTTTTGTTTGTCACATGTATCTGGTCATAACAGTTTCGGCCAATTTCCTGATGCCGGTGACCGTTCCAACTTTCAAGTTGTGCAACCTCATTATTCTCCGCAACAATACTCTAGCAGGGTTTTGCAACTTTCCTGCATTCCTTGTTCAATCCTGATTTAAACGTGTCCTGTCGATTTCATATGGCCACTGATTTCTGGGCCAGTTCGCACTAGTGAGGAGGATCAAAGTCACGAGGCATAAGCAGCTTATGGTGGGTATCATAGCAAACGATGGATAGTGGACCGCGCTACCTTGAAGGAGTCTCGTTCAGATGACCTACAATACGTGGATGATCCGGAGTACCTCGATTTCTTTGCAATCTTCTTTGCGAATGGTGAGTGTAATACACATGCGAATGCGGACTGACGTTCAAACTTTTCTAGTTATAACAAAACTAGGAAAAAAGCTCAACTTCAGGCAACGCGTCATCGCGACAGCCAT